AAAATACACGAAGGATGATGATGATGGCAGGCTCATTTCTTCTTTTTCTTCTTCTTCTTCTTCTTCCATCTTGGCCGAGATTCGGCCACGCATGCCGGCGGTTGTAGTCGTAGATTCGTAGTAGATTTGCATACGAGCCTATCGCTCGGCGACAGGGATGCTGGAGTGGTGGGCTGAGAGGAATCGTCATCATCATCATGCATGCGCATCCCACCTCTCGAAGAGTGGAGATGCACGTTTGCCAGACAAGACGGGTCCCCAATTTCGATTCGCATCAGGCCACCAATAACTGGATCTCAACGGGGCAGATCCACGGATCCTTGGAGCGAGGCGCGTGCGCCCCCGACGTTCAGACAAAGCAATCGGGATGCGTCTGGCATAGGGACCCTGCCTATGCACTCCACTCCACCTAACCGCTGTCGCTCGCTACCCTACCTACCGTCCCTCCCACTCTTGCCCACGCACTCTCCGACCTCTCGTTATATTTCAAAAAAGCCATGTCGCCGCATCTCTGGGGCCTGGTCAAGCGCAGCGCACATTCAAGGTTTCACAAAATGTCCCCAAGCGTCATTCCGGACGAAGAGCTCAGAGAAGGCAGCGCCGACGTCCTCACGGCCGACGTCCCCCACGTCAACGCCAACGGCCTCCATAATGGCCACTCCGCACACGGACCCTCGATGAGCGACGTCCTGGTCGTGGGCGCCGGCCCCGCGGGTCTCATGCTTGCGTAGGATCGCCCCAACCCCTCCAAAACGGAACCGTGACATCTGACTGAGGCTCGTGCAGGGATAACCTCGCCCGTTTCGGCATCAAGGTCGACATCATCGACAACCGCCCCGACCGCACCCTGACCGGCAGGGCCGACGGCCTGCAGCCAAAGTCCATCGAGACGCTGCGCCAGATGCGCCTGATCGACCCGCTGCTGCGCAAGGGCGTCAAGGTCTACGACATCTGCTTCTGGGTACCTACTACCTCTACTGAGTGAATCCCCGAGTGTTTTTGGTGAAGTGTGCTGCTGATATGTATTGTGTGTCGCCCCCCAGAGGTCGGCCCTGAACGAAAAGATGCACCGCGCCGGTCGCGAGATCCACTACCCGCCCATCGTGGACCTGCTGGACCCGTACATCCTGCTCGTGCACCAGGGCATGGTCGAGCAAATGTTCATCGACGACCTGCAGGAGCGCGGCATCGAGGTCAAGCGCAACACGGCCTTTATGGACTTTGCCTACGGCTCGGCCAAGTCGGCCGCCCTCGAGGTGACGTGCGCCGTCGACGTGACGCACAGCAAGCGCACGATGCGCACCAGTTTTGTTGTTGGCTGCGACGGCGCCCACTCGGCCGTGCGCAAGTCGATTCCCGGCGCCACCCCCGTGGGCGCCTCGTCGGATGCCATCTGGGGCGTCTTGGACGGCCAGATCGACACCGACTTCCCCGACCTCTGGTCCAAGGCCGTCGTCTACTCGGAGGAGGCCGGCTCCGTCCTGCTCATCCCGCGCGAGCGCAACCTCACCCGCCTGTACATTGAGCTGAAGCCCGAGTCGCGCGGGAGCACGTCGAGAGATGAGCTCAGCCAAGAGTTTGTCATGCACCGCGCCCAAGAGATTATGCATCCGTTTGAGCTGAAGTGGAAGACTGTCGGTGCGTTGTTGTCCCTCATTCATTCATTTATTCATAATCTTTCTCTTCTCTCCTCTCCCCCCCTCATACTAACACTCCACCACAGAGTGGTTCGGCCGCTACCAAGTCGGGCAGCGCGTGGCGACCAAGTTCAGCGACGAGCGCGGGCGCGTCTACATTGCGGGCGACGCGAGCCACACGCACTCGCCCAAGGCGGCGCAGGGCATGAACACGTCGATACACGACGCGTGGAACCTGGCGTGGAAGCTGAACCTGACGGTGCGCAAGCTGGCCAAGCCCGCGCTGCTGGCGACGTATGAGCACGAGCGCCGCAAGATTGCCCAGGACCTCATCAACTTTGACTACGAGCACGCCAACGCCTTTGCCTCGGGCGACTCGGCCAACCTGGCCAACAACTTCCGCCAGAACGTGCGCTTCATCTCGGGCATTGGCGCCGAGTACGAGCCCAACGTGCTGAACGTCAACAACAAGGCCATGAGCGGCAGCGGCGTGGCCGGCGGAGACGGGAGCAGCAGCAGTAACGGTGGTGGTGGTCTGCGGCCGGGCTGCCTGCCGCCCCCGGCCAAGGCGACGCGCTACGTGGACGCGAACCCGATCGACGTGCAGCTGGACATTCCCATGCTGGGCCAGTTCCGCATCTACTTCCTCTGCAACAGCGTGCCGGCGGCGCGGCCGTTCCTGGACACGGTGTGCGGGCTGGCCGTCAGCGGCAGCAGCTTCGTGGGCCGCATCTCGGCCGCGGCCAACGCATCGTACACGCTGCAGCCGCCGGCGGCGGCGCCGCACGACGAGTTTGTGCGCCCGGCGCGCTACACGCCCGTCAGCGGGCTGTTTACGTTTGCGCTGGTGGCCGGGGGCGACAAGGGCGGCTTCGACATGACGGACCTGCCCGCGGCGCTGAGGGACAGCGCCTGGACGATTTATCTTGATGATGTGCCGCACTTGGACGCGACGGGCAAGGGGTGCACGCAGAAGTGGCTGGGGGGGCTGAGCGCTGGCGAGGTGGCCGTCGTCGTGGTAAGGCCGGATGGCTATGTCGGCACGGTGAGGGTGTGGGCGGATGGCGGGGACAGGGAAAGGGGCGTCGAGGCGGCGCGGTGGCTGGACGAGTATTTTGATGGGTTTCTGGAGGCGTAGGGGAGGAAGAGCGGGGCGCTGCTCCGTTTTCATGATGCGCATGATTGGGTAATTGGATTGGGTTGGTTCTCGTTTTTGTGGGGTTTATATTGGTTGGTAGATGGGGGTGGGCGGAGGGACACTGGATTGGGTTGGATGGGGTGTAGATAAGATACTCATACACCTACGCGTGCATGTGCGTATACGGACGGGTATACATGTATATATTTTTGCATTGTACACATGGAAAAGGCGTTCAGTGGTGGTGTGCGCTAGATGAATGACTTGGAAGCAGACATATACTACAGTGCTGGATGGCGTGGAAGGAAACATAGAGAGAGACTGAATCCCCTACATCCATCCAGACAGACAGACATACAGACAGAAAAAGAGAAGGACAGAACGCACCTGCCGGAAGCCAAACCCAACCAAACCACGCAAACAAGCCAAGCTAGATCCACTCCACTCCACTCCACTCCACCCCACCCCGTCCCACCCCGTCCCACCCCGACTCAGGCCGGCCCGCGCCCCCACCGCTCCCGCTCCGCCACCACCACCACATCACATCTATCACAACTTCCCCATCTCAACATCCTCCACCCTCTCCACCACACTCTCACTCCTACTCTCACCCCACTCTTCCCTCCCCTCCTCCCTTTGCCCACCCCCCCTAAAAAACTCCCCCCCCCTCCCCCACCTCACCTCCGTCACCCACACCCTCAGCGCCACCACGCCCCTCACCACCAAAAACAGCACCACCACCCCCGCCCCCACACCCGCGCAATACGCCACCACCCTCCCCCCGCCCCCCTCCCCGCGCGGGTCCAAAAACGCATACACGTACCCCGCCCCCCCCTCCGGCCCCCCCTCCGCAGCGTGCACCGCGTACGCCAGCCCCACGTACAGCGCCAGCACGCCCAGCAGCAGCGGGAGGTGCGCCCAGGGCGGGGCGGGTGTGCGCGACAGCAGCAGCTCCGCCAGCGCCAGGGGGGCCGGGAGCACGTGCGTCGTTGTGGTCGTGAAGGCCGCGAGTGCGCTGGCGCCCATTCCGTTGTTGGGGACCGAGTTGCGCAGGACGCCCCAGTACATGCCCACGACGAGGAATGGCAGGACGGTGGCGCACGTGCGCAGCGCTCCCAGCGCCCCCATTAGTACCCCCCCTCCCCTCCCTCTCCCACCACTCCTCCCTGGACCGTGTAGAGCATACGCCGCCCCCGCCGCCCCGGCACCAGCAAAGTACGCCCCCAGCCCGGCCCACGCCAGCGTCGTGAAGTACGCGAGCTGGCGCGCGCGCGGGGGCGGGGCGAGCCCGATCGCCACGCACAGGGAGAGGAGGATGTAGAGCGCTATTGTGCTGCGGGCGATGGCGAGGGCGAGGGGGCGGAGCAGCCAGGACGTCGTGGCGCGGTCTGTGGTGGGGTCTGCGTCCGTGGGGTCTGTGGGGGTGGAGAGTGCATGGCGCAGGCGGGTGAGGGGGCCGTGGTGCTGGTGGGACGGGGGCGGCAATGGCATGGCCATGGCCCTGTGGGTGGGTGGCGCGGCGTGCAGGTGCCAAGGTGTGTGTGTACCTATGTAGGTAGGCGGGCTTGGCGGCGGCGGCGGCGGCGGAGGAAGACGAGGCGGTCTGCCGTAAGTGCTGCTGCTGCAGTGTTGTTGGGACAAGAGACTTTTTGGGTTCTTTGCGCACCTGCGATGCGATGCGATGTGATGGCAAGGCAAGACAGGTAGGCAGCGTAGATGATATGGCGGGCTCTTGGCCTGCGTTGCGGGATTCTCGTGCCCAGCCCTTTTTTTCTTTTCCCCTCCTTGCCTTGTGTGTCGTGTCGTGTCTTGTCCCCCTTGTGTGTGTGCTCCCCGAGCGTATGTGTCTCTTTTTCGTGTTTGTGCGTCCTTCCTCACTCACTCTATTCCTCGCAGCCAGCCAAGCCACTCACTCTACTTGCCACTCGCTTCGGATGGTTGGTTGGTATGGTACGGGGTATGTATGTATGTATGGTATGGTAATGGTAGTAAGTATGGTATGCGCGCTCCGTCCCGAGCCTAGCCGCACGCACGCCTGCCCGCCCTTGCGTCGCGCCGCAAGCAAGCAAGCAAGCAAAGCCTCGCCAGGCACTCCCGCGCAGCCAAGCCCTGAGCCCCGCTGCTGCTGCGGCTAGCCGGGGGCGTGCGTATTGTATATGTACGTCAGCAACCAGGTGACGGTGCCAGTGCCAGGCAGGCAAGAGGATGAGGGTAGGCAGCAGCAGCGCAGACAGGCTGGGTGCTGGGTCGGTCTGATCCGTCCGATCCAATCCAATCCCTCTCTTCGCCGCGCAGATACCCGGTACACGCGCACCAGCAGCTGCAGGCTCGAGAAGAACGAAACAAAGGTTGAGCAGAAGTAATTTCGAAAAGAGGACGACTTGACGAGACGAGTAGGGAAAAAGAAAATGGATGGGAGGGAAAAAAGTATAGCGACCAGAAAAGGGAGAAAATCAACAGCAGCAGCAATAGAAAAACACCTCTCCCCCATGGCTCCGGAACAGGCAAACCACAACAAACCGCAAAGTCAAAAAAGTCAACGGTCCCCCACACCACCGGGCTACGCATGCGGCCTCCGTCACGACGGCTGAAACGGCCGGAAACCGCGGTTCGCGAGCGCCGTGCTGTCGGCGTGGGCGGCATGGTATGGGCATGGTAATGGTAACGGGCATCTCCTCTCCAAACCCGCCCAGCCCGAGCCTACCACTATGCATCAGCATCAGCATCAGCATCAGCATCAGCAACAGCAACAACACAGCCCCACCCACCTGCCGCAAGCATCATATCATCATATGCATATGAGAGACCTAGGGAGGGGCCCGCCCGCCAGCCCGCCAGCCCACCAGCAGCCAGCAGCCGGGCGTCGGCAACGTGCATACTATGCCTGACCGGCCGGTCGCACACACACCCCCGCATGCATGCACGCATGAAACGCACGCGGGTTCCGCCTCGCTCGTCACGGTCACGGAAGGAAGGAGCCAAGGGCCAAGGGCGGGTAGTCGTCGGACGTCGTCGGACGCACACCTACGTGGTCGGTAGGTAGCTAGGCACTCTAGGTTAGGTAGGTAGCATGTATGTACGACCGCACGCCGCGGTCCGTCACATCGCACACACAGCCAGCGCGCGCACATAAACGCCAAGCGCCAAGCGGCCAAGCGGCCAAGCCCCGCGCCCGCCCGCCGTGGCTGCTTGGCTGTTTCGCCGCCGGCCAGGGCCAAGCCAAGCGAAAAAGAAAAAAGATAATATCCCGATGCGAGTGTTGTGCTGCGTTGGGTTGCACTTGCGCTCCACACCCAAAACCGCCCGAGCTCCTTCCAGTCTGGCACGTCCGCGCACGTGACACACACACACACACACACACACACACACACACACACACACACACCACCAGGGCCACCTCTCCACGCACACTCTCCCAGAGCAAAAAAATACAGCGGCCGAGACTTGAACTCGGGACCTTCAGTGTGTTAGACTGACGTGATAACCAACTACACCACCGCTGCTGCCTTTGCTTGAGGGTTGTGTCTCTTGTCTATATCGAAAAACATTTGGTGGTGGTGGGCGGCAGCATCCTTGCACGTGTGCGGCGTCGCGACTGGCTGGACGGATGCATTCGTTCATTCATTCGTTTCGTGCGTGTGCGCAGTCCTCCGTAAAACAACAAACAGTAGTTCTTTTTCGATTCCATGTCCACAGGTAGCCGGGTTTTTGCACTGCGCTTTCTGCGGATGTAGTTATGTGGTGGGATACGAGGTACCTAGACCTCTGTGAGAGAGAGAGAGAGGCACACGTGAGGGACTTGGGGAGTTGGTTGGTGCCCCCATCGCGCCATCGCCTACGCCATCGGCGCAACCGATCACCTTACTGCAAACGCGAGCGCGAATATATAAACGCCGCGCTTCTACAGCATGCGCGTGCGTGTGTGCGTACCTACCTATTAAGTCTATCTATCCATCTATCCTCATGTTGTTGTTGCTGCTACTGCTGTCGCTCAACTCAATATCATATCAGAAAAAGTTTATCGATCCATTTTCTTGACTCCAGCTAATGGTTACCGTAAATTCCTGCATGCAGTACTGAATTAACCTTGCTAACGGTAAGTAAGCCTCCAAGATAGTTACATATCATTGATACACAAACTCGAATACAGCCATAAAGTATTTTTCTTTTTTAAATGTGACTTTGTTGTGTTGTTGTTGTTTGTTCACTGCCTGTCTACACTACTACTGCGCTGCCTACAAATCAACAGGTATGCACACCTTCCTCCCCTCCCCTCCCCTCCCAACGCTACGCTATGCTACGAGATGCTATGGTATATAGAGAAAAGACTCATCCTACAACCGCACACAGGAAGACGCAACACTACCACCAACAAAAGAAGAAGAAGAAAACAAACCAAACCAACCAACCAATCGCTTGCAACAAGAGCCAACCAAACCATATAAACAGCATACAACAAAACAAAAGAAAATCTACATCTCCCCCTCCGCCAAACTCTCCGGCGTCCCCTCCTCGTCCTCCTCGTCCCCCTCCTCGCCCCCAACACCCCCACCGGCGAACCCCTCCTCTGCCGCCGCGTCCGCTTCAATCTCCATGTCGTCGTATATGTCCACGCTCAAATCGTCCGCGAACCCGCCTCCAAAGTCGCCCGACCCGGACGCCGTCGAGCTCGAGCGCTCGTCCTGCTGCGCGTACGCCTGCAGCTGCTGGTGCAGCGGGTGGTGTTGCACGGCGCCTGAGGCTGTCGCACGCTGGTGCAGGAAGCGCGGCGTGGCGCTGGCGGGGGAAGAGGAAAAGTTGTTGTTGTTGTGGTGATGGTGGAATTGCTGCGGGAGCTGCTTCATGGGGCCCACAGCGCCGCCGAAGTGGTGGTTGTGGTGGGTTTGCTGCTGCTGTCTCAGGAACTGTGGATGCTGCTGTTGATGTTGCAAGTGTTGCTGATGTTGGTTCTGTTGCTGCTGTTGCTGCTGCTGCTGCGCCAGACTCGGCTTCTCGCCCAAGTTCGCCAGCATCGCGCGCGACACATCCAGCATCTGCACCGCGTACTTCAGGAACCCCGCCCGCGCCGCCGACACGCTCAACGTCCAGCGGTACTCGCGCAGCCGCGTCTTGTAGAACTCGGCCTCCTCCTGCCCCGGCGCCGTCGCCCACAGCAGGCTGCCAAACGTCCCGATCAGCGTAAAGTTGATCTTCGACGCAAAGTACCAAAAGGCCGTCAGGTGCGATGGCGTCAGCCGGTTCACAAAGTCCATGGCCGAAATCAGCCGCGTCTTGGCCGCGCTGCGGCATATGAATAGCAAGTAGGGGTCCGATGTTTGCGGGTCCAGCGATTGCACGATGCGTCGGTGGAGCGTAATTTCCGTGGCAAAGTAGGCGAGGTGCAGAGCGCCGGTAGCTGTCGACGACGGTGCGCGGTTGCCGCTCATAGTACTGCTGTCGATCCTGGTCGAGGCGGGCAGCCTTGCGAACCACTCCTTCAATTTGATCTGCACCGGCTTGGCCCGCTCGAGGATCACCCGCGTGCTGTTCTTGCCGGCAGCCTCAAAGTCCCGCATTGCCGTCTGCGTGTAGAACGTGTCCATGACCTCGGCCATGATGGCAGTCAGTGCAATCATCTGCGCGAATACATACTGCCCCTGCTCGTCCTCGACGGTCTCCTCTTCGCTGCCGGGCTGCAGAACCTCGCCCGCCTGACCTTCCTCGTAAAAATCCTCGTCCGTGATTGGCGTCACGGCCCAGTCTGCATTCGAGATATGCGAGGGGCGCCCATGCACAAGCGAGCTCCATTTGTCTTGCATATACAAGGCCCAGGCGATGCGTTTCCGCAGGCCCCGCTCCCACAGGGGTATCGCCCAGTCGGAGCAGTCGAGGTGCAGGCCGAGCTCTTGGCCGATCGCAACCAGCTGAGTGGTCAGGCTCCACGAGTCCGACTCGGGCCTTTGGAGCAAAAGGAGGCCGGCTTGAATGGTTGAGAGTTTCGGCCGCTCCATGACCCTGGGCAGCCACTTCGTCGCAATGTCTTCGAGCGCGCCCACGTCGGGCTTGGGCAGAGACGACACCCGATGGTCATTGTGCCAGAACTGAAGGGCTAGGATGTAGATGCCCGCAAGCAAGGGTGGTGAGATCTGCCGATCGGCATCACGATGCCGCTGCAGGAAAAGAGATTTTTGGATGATTGGAAAGTTGGAATGAATGTTGCGGAAGTAAATGTCTATCAGGGTAGAGCCATGGGGTGCCACCACGGCCTCGACCGAGTTGAGCGCCTCGGCCTCGCCCTCAAAGCCTTGTGTGTTTTCGTCTGCCAGCATTATGAAATGCTCATTATCGTAGACCTTGCGCAACACGCCCAGGTCAAAGACGCTCTCGTTGCGAGCGTCAAATTGCGTGAGGCCAATGAGGACGGGGTCAAAGGGCGTCGTGGCCCCGATGTAGCGGCTGTGCTGGCGGCGTTGGAGCCCCAGCGTCTCCTGGAGCGCGTGTCCCGTGTGGTCCCGCAGCTGCGGGGCTTGTCGCGAGAACTTGGTGGTGGGAGAGGGCTGCGGTCGTGTCGTCGCCTGAGGTTGTTGCTCGCGCTCCACGGACCTGGTCCTTGGCATTAGTCGAGATGCTGCATGCAGGGCTCAACATGGCAGGTGCGTGCGTACCTTTTCTTGGAACTCTCTTCGCGCTGGCCGTCGACGTTGATCTTGCGTTTGCGGGGAAGCGGGGATTGGACGAAGGTGCACTCTTGCTTGTGAAACTCGCAAAGGACGCAGAGCAGAGCTCCTTCGTGGATGACGCAACGGCTCTTGCGGCGGCGGCACGCGTCGCACGGCCTCTCACGGCGCGGGCGGACCTGGGGGGTGGCGGAGACGTGGCGGGGCGAGGTCGCGTGCTGCTTGAGAGAGAAGAGGTTCTCTTTGCCCTGCATGGAGAGTTTGGACTTGGGACGGGCGGCGGCGAGAGGGATGAGGTCGGAGCGAGGCATGGCGGGCTGCATGGCAACGGCAGTCGTCATATCGAAACCGGTGTGGTCAATGCCGTGGGAAGGAGCGGAGATAGGCAACACCAGCGGGTAGAGCGTCGCTAGCGGCCGATGGCAATGGGGTGCGTGTTGCGGAGGTCGATAACGAACAGGTGCCCGGTTGGCCTGGGCGGATGTGGATGGACAGGATCGGCTTATCTCTGGGGGAGGAGTGGAGAGGTAGGGCAGGTAAGAGCGGGCCAGGGCTCTCTCTCTCTCTAGGTTCGAGAAAGTGGGAGATGGAGAGAGAGAAGAGAGAGAAGAGAGACAGAGAGAGAGAGAGAGAGAAAGGGAGGGAGTAGAGGTTTTGCCGTCGTCGGGCGACAAAAGAAAGTCGTCAAGGTCCGTGAGAGAGAAAGATGAGGAAGTGGATGGTGCGTTCGGTCATGGAGCTGGCGGCGCGGTCTGGGGACGGAGGCTAAGTCGGGATGGTGGGCTGTGAGGCCGGGGAGCTGGGGCTTATAGATAAGTGTCTAAGGTAAAGTGTAATGGCGACGGTGGTGGAGTGCGTTGCGGTGACATGGGCTTGGTCATAGTTAGGGAAGTTTACGTACAGGAATGCCCGAAGAAGCGGATGCTTCAGCGTAATGAAGGCTTAAACGTGCTGCTGGCTTGCGGATCGTCTGGAGAGTCTCCGGGATGCTGATAAGGAGCGGTGCGCGGCCTGCCATTGGGCGCGCACATCGCTCCAAATCCGCGTGATTGGCCGGTTTCGCCCGACCGTGGGCATTTCCGTGACACCTTCTTTTACCCAACCGTCAGCCCGCCCAGGGTCTCGCACAGATCTCGACGCTCCTCCGATCTGCCCAAGACCCATGACGTCCGCACCCCCCTCCGCATTTTAGACTACACCAAAGCCCTTCGTCCCACGTTACCGCTCCCGGCCACCTGCTCCCCGGTCCCTGATCGCCAAGCCTGCGCAAACGTCACACCAGCCCAAGCCATCATCGTCAATTTCCACGCTAATTACTAAACACAACCATCCATCTCGTCTGCTTACACCTTGATCTCCTCCAATTCCCGCTCCGCCCTTCCGCCATAGTCGAAGCCCTGCTCGCTCTCCAGCGCCCGGTCGAGCGGAAGGCCCTCTGTCAAGAAGCTCACCACAAACGCCACCGCCGATATCGCCGTCATGACAATACAAATGTACCGCAGCCCATGCACGTACGCCACCTTGAGCTGCTGCGTCTCCGCCAGCCCCGACGGCATGCCCTTGATGATCTGGACAAGCCCGCTGGCGTCCTGCGAGTACGCCACCGCCTTGTCCGCAAGCAGCGGGAACGTCAGCAGCTTCTTCTTAATCTCGTTCTGAAAAATGACTCCGCCGATGGCCACGCCAATCGTTTGGCCCAACGCCCGCGTGAACGTAAACATCGTCACGGCTGCAGCCTGGTCCTGGCTCGACGAGCACGCCTGCACCGTTATGGCCATGCTAGGGAAAAGAATGCCGGCGCCCAGACCGGGAACAAGGTTCAGGAACACCCACGACGGGACCTTGGTGTCAACGTCGAGGTAGATCAGCAAGCCCATGCCAAAGGTCATCAGGAACCACCCGCTCCATAGTGCCCACCGGTAGCGACCCGTCTTGGCAATGACGAAGCCCACAATCATGGCCGCTGGGGCGACAGTGAAGGTTTGCGGGAAAAGCGCGACACCCGCCAGGATGGGCGAGTATCCTTTGACGGCCTCGTAGTAGAGCGGTAGGTAGTAGAGCTCACACCACAGGACCATGCCGTGCAGGATTGTCTGAATAAAGGTCGATGCCGCCGTCCTGTTCATAAACACGCGCGTCCTGATCAGGGGGTTCGGCGCGAAGCTGTGCTCGTAGATGATGAAAGCGACCAGGGCGGCTCCGCACACGACCAGAGGCACCAGCGTCCTCCACGAATCCCAGGCGTACTGAACACCACCCCAGGTGATGGGGATGAGGAAACCCGTCATTGATGCGACGAAGACGACCATGCCGATCCAATCGACTTTCATCAGCCTGGAGGCAAGAGAGGACGTCCTAGAGTGCAGTTTCATGAAGAAGATGACAAGGGCACTGCCAACGGCGATGAAAGGAAGGTTGATCCAGAAAATCCATCTCCACGTGACATGCTCGGAGAACCCACCACCTGTAGACGGACAATTCAGTCAGCTCTGTACAAAGCGTAATTAGGTTCGACAGGAAGAGAAGTGGGATTTAGCTCACCAAGCAGCGGGCCAACAACGGTCCCGAGCGCCCACATGGCAGAGATAAAGCTGAAGTACTTGCCACGCTCCCTCAGAGGCACCAAGTCTGTGATGATGACCTCGGACAGCACGATAATGCCGCCCCCACCGATTCCTTGGATACTGCGGCCTACGAGCACAACAGTGAAGTTGTTTGCCACGGCTGCAATGATGGCGCCGACTCCGAAGAGGGCCAAAGAGAACAGGATGATGGATTTGCGACCGAACACATCGCTGAAAGAGCTCAGGATAGGTTGAAAGACGGTGGCGGTGAGCAGGAAACTGGTGCCGGACCAAAAGGCCTCAATGGCACTGCCGTGCAAGGCTTGGGCCATGATCTATTGTACCACGATGAGCTTGAATGTCCGTGGAGAACTTGTCGGCGGAGTAAGAAGCTTACCGGCAGAGCGACAGAGATACTGGTTGCATCAAGCGCGGCCATGAGGGTGATGACGGACAGGGAACAGAAGGCGACATACAAGCGCCAGCCGGGGTTGAAGGCGGACGAGGACTCGAGGTTGGCATACTGGGAGACGGGAGTGTCACCTCTCTTGGTTTCCCGAGAGCTCGAAGTCGCGTGGGATCTGGCCGAGGCCGCGACAGAGGACTCGGAGTCGTTGGCCATAGCGGCGAGTAGGTGGGTGAGTGTAGGTCAGAGTGTAGGAGTGAGTGTGAGAGTGAGTGTGGGAATCGTCGAGTCGCGTCTTGTACTCGTGTGTTCCTCGTGGCGGGGCGGCGCGCGCGTGGCTACCTAAAGAGAGAGGAGCGTTGGTGAATGAAAGGAGAGGCAACTGCCAACCCTTTCACTTTGTATTCACACTTCTTTAACCCACGGCGACTCCGAGGCTGTGGCTTTGGATGAACGAGCTGAAGTGACAGTGCTTCAACCAGGTCGCGAGCCCAGCGCATTTATTTCAACTAACTCCCCAGCCCCGATCCATCGCGACGGCAGCCATGCTCGTGGACGTTTGCGTTTGCTACCCTCGACTGCCCGTGCGATGCACCCGTCAAGCCACATCATCTGCTCAACGCGTGCCACATCTGCCTAGTCAGCGGAGGGATTTCCTGCCGCGTGGTGCACGATTTGTACGAGTGGTGGGGGAACTGAGCTGACAGCGACGTCCCGGCGCGATAGTTAGCCCGCCTGGCGGTGTCTCGTCGACGGGAGGATCCCGCCCAATCGCTGTCGCTCCACTCGGGCTAAAAGTCAGACCGTGTCCAGAATCCAGATCCAGCCAGGGGGTTGATTGATTCGGAGGCTCTAGAGTAGAAAAAGTTTCGATTGCACCACTCCATCCATGATGGCTGGGCCTGGATCTCGACCGGTCATCTCCTCAAATCTCTATTGGCATCGTCTGCTCGCTGCCAAGCCTACCCTTGGAAGCTTAGACTCTGTCTTCGCTTTCAGCTACTCACGAACTATACCAGCTCGTTACTATAGCCATCGCGTCAGCACGGCTTCGTTTCACGATTGCCAACGGCCGGCCAAGTGCAACGAAACTCAAAGAACGCTGTTTCGGTTAATAAATCACCAACCCTATCGATCTGTTCTACTTGAAATAGAGAGTATGCAGGTCATCCAGCGAACTTTGGATAGAATGAAAGAGCTTGGTAATGATGATGCCTTTGAAAGAAGGCTGGAGCAGTCTGTTTTGTCGGCCTTTGCGGGGCGCGAATTGGCAAAACACAAAGAGCAGCCATCACCCGGTTGCCTGATCTTGAAACCAGAGGGCTGCCTTGGCCATCGCACCATGTAAGCAGAGATCGGGATGCGCATCTATCTCATGTACTCATGGGGATCCGTTGTCCAAACTCCCAAAGAACTGTACGCTCACTTCTGAGATGCCATTATGAGATTGAGGGTCTTGCCTGAGCACAATGCACTCAAGCAGCAAACTGAGATCTGGGCAAACAATTGGTCTTGGGCATGGGTATAACCATAGAGGCCTCCTTTCAGAAGAATACCGCGCGGATAGAAAGACATACGTCTTACTCCACGCCACTGACCTTTCACTGCCTTTGTTCAACCGTTGTCAAGGCCTTGGCCTGGGTCCCAAGCATTCTACACGTGCCTTCGACGTCCTTTATTGCGTCTCTTATTTTTCTCGAAGCGATCGCCTTCCCACTTTCTTCTCCTGCCGAAGAGCAGACACTTCATTCGAAAACATGCCACGGGCAAAACCACATCTCAATAAGCCCTATCTCCATGCCAGCCTCAGTGGTTCATTGGAAGGCATGGAGAAGAGCATACCGTCTTTCCAAGAGTTTATGAAGACGGCTCCACCGGATCCCCTTGCCGACAGGCCATTGCCACCGGTGCCTCAACAGGGTCCGAGCATTTCTCCCAGTCAGCTGGCACCTAAACCATCATCGACTGGACATTCGAGACGTTCCGAAGGCTTATCATGGGCGACACCGTCATCGTGGGAGTATGAAGCCGAAGCGCGCTCCGCATCGCAAAAGCACCCCTCTTCGCCTTCCGAATTCTTCCTGCAACCCATGATTTACAATAGCAGCAGTTCTCCTGGGTTTGAAAAACCAGCAAAGACACGTTCTCCTGAGCCTAGGGTCTTTTCTCCGCTCCTGGATGACCCTGATGAGTACTCGCCTTACTCTACTACCGAGTCGCTGAACTATGGGCCAGCATTCGAGTATGATGCAACCATGGATTTCCATTCAGATTTGGGCTCAAACTCAACCCCACCAAAAGTCCCCTTGCCACCTGTATCACTTTTGGCCTCCACCAAAGCCGGTAATATATTATTTACTCTGAACGACTTTCCTACGCCGCCATCCTCAGTGGCTGATTCAACCGCTGAAACCTCGTCGGCCAAATGTCCGGTCCTTTCCACATTTCAAGGAGGCTCAGCATCAAGGTCTTCGTCCGATCAACGGAACTCGACCAAAAAGCTGATGCCCCGCCCTGCAGCTCCAGGCGCTGAGAACTGGGAGGGCCTGGGCGAAAGTACTCAAATCAAGTATGACAGGCGGTCGCAGGACTACCACAATGCGCTTGTCGAGCAGTACCGTGACCTTGTGCCTCGGTCTTCCGAGATATTCAGGGACTCGGAGGTTCCCTTGTTCTCGCACGGGAAGGAGCCCAACCTCGTTGAGAAGAGCGCCACAAACCATCATAATGCCAACGACGAGAAAATGGTCCCGAAGCCACTATCGTACTCGAAGAACTCGTCCGACGCAGCTTCCGAGTCTAGTCAGCATAGCCAGCAGCAAGAGCGACTGCGGCGCCACAGCAGCCTCCGTGAGAAGATGCCAGGTACGCTCAAGATGATCTTGCCCACCCACCACGCACGCAAGTCATCGAGCCAAACCGCCACCAATACGCCTGTCTCACCCTCGTCACCCCGGAAAATAAAAAAACACCGACCGCGCGCCATTGCCGTCTCCATCTTCCCTTCCTCGCCTACCGCCATGTTCACCAGCCGTAGCCCTAAATCCCCCAAGGCCAAAGCGAAGAAAGCCGGAAAGCGCGGCGGCGGTTTCACAGAGCACACGCCTCCGCTGAAACTCTCGCTGGTGGCATCACTGTCCTCAACTTCATCGTCACGCCGCCCGTCGGCCGAGCTTTCCGCTCGCAGCCGTGCCGCCTCGGGTTTCACAGCCGCTTCCGCTTCCGCCTCCGCCTCCGCGCTCAACCCCGCTCTCGCTCCGGGCCCCGCCGCGCTCTTGCCCTTCCCGCCCCGTTCTTCCTCTCCTTCACCGGTAGTCTCCCCCCCCGCTGCCACGCTGCCGCTCCGCCCCGCGCCTCCGCCCCGCCCCGACATCTCCATCTCCACCTTCTCATCCACCACCACTGTTGATCGGGACACAGCGGACACGTCTTCTCGCCTGCAACCGCAACCACTATCGCAACACTACGTCAGCACCCGCACCCGAACCCACCTCCCTGTTTCCACAACACTCAATGCCCCATCTCTGCTGCACCCACGCGCGCCCCGCGTCGGCCCCTCGCCTTTGCGCAATGCCAGCGCACCTATCACCACTGGGACCACGGACCCCAGCAACGGCAGTCCTTCGCCTTCCTCTCTCAGTCCATCTAGCCTCACTACTGCCGCCGCCGCTGCTACAGAGCCAGAGTCAGGCGCCCAAGAAGCAGTCTACCCCCGCCGCATGACGCGCCTCTCGGAGATCCAGCGCGCACGCGCGAACACACCAACCGCGTCGCCGTCGGCCGCTCGCGCGCTGCTTGGTCGCGCGAAAGCCAGTTTCTCGAGCCACGGCAGCGGCAGTGGTAACGGGCACGCGCTCAGAGAGTCGATGAGCTCGACTGCATCGGCGCCGATGGAGACGCAGGCCCACCGCGCGCCGTTTGTGCACGAAGTGCTGTTTCCGCCGCTGGAGCAGACCAAGAGCGGCGGCAGCGCTGGTGGCCTGAGTCCTGGGATGGGGAAGGGCAAGATTGGGCTTGTGGCGCGGGCGGTGGCGGCGCGGAAAGAGAAGGAGAGGGAGCGGCGGAGGGATGAGATCAAGGCTAGTATTAGGGTTGTTGGGGAGAGGGAGAGTGGTGGTGTGGATGTGGATGGCGAGAGGTTTGAGAGGGTGGCGTGGGGTGAGAGGGGCCAGGTAAGAGGTGATGACGAGGAGGTCTGGGAGCGGTGGGTGTAGGTAGTGGCGTTTGACGGGAGGGTTGCTTTATATGCACAAGATATGTACCTGCTGGTTAATGGGGTGGCGTGAGTGAGGAGTTTGTAATGGAATAGACGAAAGACGAAACAGACGGATAAGAAAATACTCCTCTTATTAGCGCCGTTTAGTAAATAGAAATGAGTACATGGATAAGAAGATGATACACCTTGTTTTCCATAGGAGTAAATTATATGAACGACAACATATAATCATCACAAATCTGATGGGACACCTACGGCGTTCGTATGTAATATGAGATGTAAGTGAATCCATCACTGTCCTCAGCCCACCACGCCAAAAGCCAAAAGCGAGCCAAACAACAACCCAAGGTCTATATCTGCATTTTGTGATTTCGGTGATGATAGTCATCATCGTTTTAAGGTCAATGATGGTAATAAGCGTCATCGTCAGTTAGAAGCAATAATGGTGATGATGGTCATCATCAAAGCTGCAAAATGCAGAATTGAACCTTGGGTTGCTTGTTTTTGCCGTTGGCTTTTGGGGAGCAGATATCTAGGGAAACCCCATCCCTACTTTATAGTTCTTGTTGTACCATATGGTTCGTGGCTGAAAGTACAAGCGGCATGCCGTGTAGCTATAAGAAAACGGTTCTATATCAGGGATAATATAAATATAGGAAGTGACATAAAAGTATATATAATTACCGCAACGGTAGCACATCACGGTCCAACACGACGGATTGCACGCAAAGACGAGAGACAGGAGGAAGCAATCAGCTAGTTATAGTTGTAGTAGTGGTAGTAGTAGCATCCAGATCAACAAAATGCAGGCCTCCTCCCCCCGATTTCAGGCCAATCAAAACCCCCATTCTAAACGCCGCTCGAGGAAACGCCCCCTTTTCAAATAGACACGCAGACCGCAACGACAGAAACGACAACGGCAACAACGATAACAACAGCGGTCACATCACGGCAAGAACTTGTCCGTCCACCTACTGACTCGCTCACCCACCAGCACACCCCAACATCCCCTCCCTACTCACCACTGACTAGCCCATGCACTCAACACGACTCAATCAACCCTGGTGCAGCTTCTTGATCTTGGACGCGCCCTCGTACACCGCGCGGTCGACGGCCGCCGCCACCGTCAGCGTGCCGCCAATGACGGCGCACACGCCAACCAGGAAGCCCGAGAACGACTTGCTGCGCGCCTCGCGGTTGATGACCTTCATGGGGGAGATGTCCTGCGGTCGTTAGTGACGGCTCCGAGAAAGAGAGAGAGAGGACAGAAGAGAGAAAAGAATAGAGTGGTGGGTGGGGTGTATTGAAGGGAGAGGGAACTCACATAAGAGAAGAAAACACCCGGGATACCGCCCCGCGCGTGCAGGCGCTCCTTGTGACCCTCCTGCTCGTCATTGCCGCCCGCCAAGTGCCGCTTGTGGCTCGTGACGCTGTACTGGTGCGTCTCGATGCTGCCCGCCGCGTCGCGGCCGTACGCGCCGAGCGCGACCTGGCTGTCATCGGCCAGCGGGCTGGAGCCGGAGCTCTGCTTCTCCCAGCCCAGGGGCAGGTACGCGGTGCTGACGACCTTGACAAAGTACATGTAGTTGAAGGCCTTCTGGTCGGTGCGCTGCTCGGTGTTGTCGAGCGGGTTGACGTGGTGGTTCGTCCAGAGCGAGGAGCTGCTCTTGCCGCTGGCCTCGAGGCGCGCGACCACGTCGTCCGGGAGCTGCGGGCCGAAGCGCAGGCTGTGGATCTGGTGGCTGAACGAGTGGTCGCCCTGGTCCTTGAAGTAGTTCTCCAGGTCGTGCACGTGCATGTTGCCGCTCGAGAAACTCTTGCCCGGCGCAAAGTGGAAGTTGCCCACGACCTTGTTCACGCGGATGCCGCCCTCGATGCGGCAGCCCTCGCGCCGCTGCGCGTCCAGCTTCTCGCCGTAGTGCTCGCGCTCGCATTGCTCGACTCCTTCGCCCCGCCCGAATGACCACGACACTCCCGCGTAAGCGTCCCGCACCTCGTCGCAGCTGTTGCAGCACCCGGCCTTCTTTGCGTTGCTGGGCGCCGGCGCTCCGTAACACTCACCGCAGTAGTTGGGGTCCAGGTGCGTAGCATCTTCCTGATGCCTGTTGTAGTGAATCGCCCGCGTTAGCCGCTGTCGTTACTACTGCTGCTGCTGCTGCCGCCGCCGCGCCAAGTCGACGGTGGAGTAGTGGGTGGAGGGGAATTCCTCACAATTCAAGCGCCTTGGTCTCGATAACGCGCGAGCCCTCGTTCTCGGGCGTCAGGCGCACCTTGTTGACGCCGTGCATGACGCCCATTTGGATCTCGCCCGAGACGTCCATGACGTCCAGCGTGAGGAGCTCACACGGCACCCGCGGGAACGAGATGTTCATGTGAATCTCCATCTTCTCGCCTGCAAGAAAGCACCCATGTCAGCCACCACACATCCAGCTTCTCAAGGATTCCCTCTGTTCTCTTTCTATCCCTCGCCCTTGCTTTCCCGCATCCAAAGAAAGTCATAGACCCACCTCTCCCCTTATCCACCACCAACTCTGGCCTAACGACAATGTTCCTGTAATCCGTCCACTCGCCCCATACGAGCCACAGGATCAGCATCAAGCTGGCAATCGTGACGACGCCACCGGACGTCGTGCGCACGCGCGCGTCCTCGACCGTCTTGGTGAAGGCATCGAGCCTCGTGAAGCGGGACTTTGGCGGCATGGTTGCGGTGCGGAAATAGGGACGGGCGCTCAGCCGATGCGAGCGTAGGGGCCAATTCGTAGTGCCGAAGACGGGCGTGAGTAGGTTGGTTGTTAGGAAGGAAGGAAGAGCTGATCGGCGGGCGGGACAGCTCCGGGATAAATGGGTATGCTCTCTCTCGCGCGCGCGGAGGGAGAAAGAAGGGGCAAAAGAGAATTGACGCAGCGCGCAGGGACGGAATGTAGAGAGCGAAGGGCGCGGCGCAAGCGCTGCAAGTTTAAAGGGGACGGGTATCGCGAAGAGGACGTGGATGGGAGGGCGATTTGGACACAGTTTCAATGCGGACAGCGGACGGGCGGGCCGCGTATGAGGCACGAGTAGTCAGCCGCAACCAGGGTCCGCTATTCCGCTTTCGTCGCCCGTCTCCGCTGCCATTGTTTCGTCCAAAGACATCTTCCACTTCAAGACGAATCGACTTTGTGCTTGAAAACACTTCTGATTAGAAATAATCCTCCTCCTTCGCTCAGTGGTGGTATCTTAGCTCTATCTATATCTCTCCCGCTCCTTTAACTTTTTTTGTTTTTCCCCCTCTCTCCTGCTCGCAGAAATGCCGTCCAACAAAGAACTAAACAAAGACAAAGTCATTAGATGCACATAGCATAAAACGCCGCTCCTGTATCATGACGGAGCCAGAGTATCCATCTCAATATCCACCGGTGAATAACCAAGCCAATACCGCCTATGCAAAGACCCAAAAAGATTAGAAAACCAACCGGTCCGTCATGCCGTGCCCTTCTGGTCCACATCCTCGCCTGCAGTCGCGCCATAGTTGGGGTAGTCTTGCGATGTTTGCGAGCTGTTTTGGTTGTGGGCAATCTGGCTGTGTATCCGCTTGCGCTCCGCGTTCTGCACCGCGCTGATGAGTGCCGACGTCAGGTCGATGTGGAACAGCGGCCGGTTGACGCCGTGCACTAGGATACGTTTCGAGTTGTCTTGCTCGTATGCCTTCGCCCGCGAAATCTTCTTGTCGAGGCTGGGCGAGCCGCCGTCGGTGCTTTCGCTGCTGCGCTCAATCTCTATTCCGTGTCCCGTCTCCTCGTCGCCGTGCCGGCTCAAAGCGCGGTCGTCCGCGGCCTGCCTAACGTGCGCAGCGCTGTCGTCGCCGCCGATCTCCGCAACGCTAAAGATTGGCTTCCAGCGCGCGTACGACTCACCGCTCTGAAGGTCGGGCGTCGGATAACCAAACCCGGCGGCAGCGAGAGCGCGCTTGGTCCATCGGTTGTTGATGCATGCAAAGTGCCATTCGACGGTTTCGGGCGCAGCGAAACGGTCCAGCTGATTCCGAACGTCGATGAGATGCTGAACAGATGTGATGTCAACGTTGTTGACCGAGGAGAAGTCGAGAATAACGGACTTGAGAGTTGGGCGAGGATCGTGTTCGTCGAGCGTCTTGCCACGGCGGGGACCAGGGTCATTCCATGGGCGGTCGCCGAGCTTGCCGTAAGTGAAGGGGTTGGTGCGGCGGCACTCCTTAAAGATGACCTGTACCATGTAGTCAAGGTAGTGGGTTGCGTTAGGGTAGTTGTAGCCTTCCGAGAAGCGGTAGATAAAGATACCAGGCGCAGGAGTCTGCAGCGGAATCTCGGGGTTGGATCCGTCGTTGTGATCAATTGGCAGATAGATTTCCCTTGTCGAATCATCGTTATCGTGGGACTTCTGGCGGTTGCTCGACTTCATAACGTTCTCAATTGTCTTGGGTTCGTCGCCGAGCAGGTGGTCTCCTTCAACAGAGCGAACCTTGACCTTACCAAGGAAGCGACCACGAGCCTTGAAAATCCGGAAAAGAAGCATAGCCGCCGAAACGCAAATGGTAGTGTAAATACCGTTCTCAATGCTGCTGAACACCGTCACCAAGACACCGGCGAAAAAGATGGGGACTTCGAGTGGTGAAATTCTCCAGAAACGGTAGACAGTGTTAGGTGGGGTGATGAGATCGCCGACAGCGTGAATGATGACACCGGAGAGGGTAGCGTTAGGGATGTAGAAGAAGACGGCTGGGAGAGCGTAAATGGCCAAGAGGACAACAATTCCAGTGATTACACCGGCGAAAGGAGTTCTCACACCAGCCTTAGACTTGATAGCGGTACGAGAGAATGAACCAGTAGCAGGGTAACCTCCGAGGAAGGGACCAAGGAGGTTGGCAGCACCAATGGCAACCAGCTCCTGCGAAGGGTCGATGCTGTAGTTGTTGACGCGACCGAAGGACTTCGAGATCGAAATGTGTTCAATGAGGAGAACGATGACCGTTACAGGGAGGTCGGATGCGAAGCCCGAAATCATATCCTTGCTGATAACAGGAACCGCCGCGTGTTGAAAGCCGCGAGGTACCTTACCGATGAGCTTGAACCTGGGGTTATCGCGATGATGCATGTTGACTAGCCAGCTGACCATGGTGTACAGAAGGATGATGAAGACGGTGCGCAGCGTAGAGAGGAAGAAAAACATCTTCGCCTTGGCAGGATACCGCCCGGCCAATGCAGTACAACCGAAGCGAATGACGTACAAGGCGACCATGGCAGTCAGTCCCATGGCAGCGTCGAGTTTGGTCCTAGGCAGTCCTTTGAGCGTGTTGATTATGACTTCGTAGGTTGCGCCGCGAGTAGAGAATCCGGTGATGCCCATCATGGTAGGAACCTGGCCAGCAATAATGTTGATAGCCGACCCAGTCATGAAAGCGGAAATGGCAGTCAACGAGATAAAATCGACAAGCCAGCCGAGACGAGCAAGGCCGAGGAAACAGACAATGGCACCGGCAATGATACCCAGTGCCGACGCAATCTGATGACCTTCGTATTGGGGAAGATTCCCCGCGGCTCTCGTGACGATTTCGCCGGTGACAGTGGACATGACCGCGACAGGCTATTAACGATTAGATATAACGTTTACCACAAGCAATGATCGTAACTTACTCCGATGGTAATATCCTTGGAGGTAGCGAAGAACCAGTAGACAATGACACCCATGAATGAAGAGTACAGACCATACTCCACAGGCAACTCAGCCAGCTTGGCGTAGGCCATGCCCTGAGGAACGACTACCGCACCAACAGTGATACCTTTCGAAAGATGTCAGTACTGCCGTCGCTGGGATTGGGAGTAGAAAAACTTACCGGCAACAAGATCTCCCCACAGCCATGTCGTGTTGTACCGCGTAATCCAGGCCAGGAATGGGAACAGGCGGTACAGGTAAGCTACCACATCGCGCCCGTTGGGGAAGGTTTCACAGATCCACTCCCAAGCGGTCGGCTCTTGCTCGACGTAGGTGTCGGCGCTGGAAACGGAAAAGACGGATTCTCCACGGGTAATCTTGTCAGAACCGCCTTCGGGGGCGTCGAGCTTGATGCCCAAGACGTTGGCAAGGCCATGGCCAAGCTTCTCCATGTTGGAAGCCATAGGGAAAGCTTCTCCCGGAAAGAACGGCTGGCAATGGGGAATTGATGTATGCAGATCCTGCAGGTAAGGATGCAGCCACGAGACCAGGAACCGGTGGGCAGAATGGGAGGGTATATAGGCCTCGTGAACCTGGTAGCGAGCGCGGACCCTACGAGGCTAGATCAGGCGGGTAGGCGAAAGCTACACAGTGGATGCTTCCCTGTTGGCTTGGCCAAGGCAGGTGTCAGCAAGCCGTGTGATTGCGTGACGGCAGGAAATCAGCCACCAGGGCTGGGATAGGTAGGTGGGAGAGATGAGAGAGGTGTGGAAGGATTAGAGGAGGAGCGGCGACAGAGGAAGAAAAGGCACCAGCAGAGACATTGAAATTTGGAGACGGGGATGGCTGAGAAAGGAAGGGGATATCGGAAGAGGGTCTACGACGCTGACGAAGACATCATCACCACAGCTAGGTCGAGTTAGAGTTGAAATTAGCAGCGGAGTGCCGATAATGGAGGCGGCCATTGCCCCAAGTTTGCATCTGTGCTCGGAAGACTGACGTTTTGGCGGACGCAACGACGGGGACAGCGGAGCCTTGGAGGAGCAAGGTCGGGCCAATAGCGAAGCGAGTGTCTTGCGTGCTCGGGTGCGGCGATGTCGTTTTGCCCAGGCCCGGCCACGAGCGTCGGCTAGTGTGGCGGGCACCTAGCGGGCGGCAGTCGCAAGGAAGAAAAAAAAAAGAGCGTTAACTGCCATTTTTTCACTTCGCTTCTGCTCATCCCCCAAGTGCCGTCGTCACCAGTGTAAAAACTGAAAGGCAACTAGCGACAACGGCTCCGGCGCCGTTCCTGACACCGTTTTTTCCCATTGTGCCAGCCACTGCCCGCCTCTCCGCTTGGCAGATACCGTGACGTTGCCCCGGGCTTGCCCAACGCGTGGCGGGACCCATCGGGCTGGCAAAGATGGAGCCAGGCACGCCGGCCATCGACAGGAGACTTGCCAATTGTGCGCAGCGTTGACCTGAGCGGTTTAAGCTCCCCCCCGTCGCTCACCTGCTCGTTTCGTGCCTCGCCTCAGGTAGACGCGGCGCTTGATGATGCTGACGACGATCGCGCGGAGTCGACGAAACGAAACGTTCGCCAAGCCCGAAGCCCTGTCCCCTTCCGCTGCCCTGGCAATCTGCGCCAACACCACCTCCTACGTACACCGACGCGTCGCTCCTCACGCTCTGTCCTTCCCCTGGTGCCATGACCAACCTCGATCTCTTCCTCCTCAAGGGCCCGCCGGGAGGGGACCTCGCCCGCGGGCTCGACGATCTGCGCCACCACATCCTCAGCGCGGGTATCCCAGCGAATAGCGATGGCATGGTATGCCGCCTGTCGTCTGCCTTCTTCGTCCTCGAACTAACCACGCGTCGCAGTCCGAGTTGCGCATCTACATCTGGCTGACTTTCCTGAACGCTACCCCCATCCGCACCGATGTTTATCTTGACCTCGTCCGCCAAGGCGCATCTCCCGCCTATACGAAGATACGCAATGACACTTTCCGCACACTGGCGACTGATCCCTTGTTCCGGCGCCGGGTGACCGAGAATAGCTTGACCCGTGTCCTGAACGCTGTCGCGTGGAAACTTCACGATGCTCACGAGGCCCGTGTCAACGGTTGGCAATCCCCACCGACTCTGTCCGACTTCGGTAGCCCAAACTTCTCCTCCAGGCGCTCTTTGACGGGAACGACCATTACCGACGGTGGGTCGCAAGCTGGTGACACGGCTGGGGAAGTCGGTTACGTCCAAGGCATGAACGTGCTGGCGGCTCCCTTCCTCTACGTTGCGCGCAGCGAGGCCGAGGCCTTTGTTGCATTCGACAAGTTCATCACCACCGAGTGTCCGGGTTACGTTCGCGGATCCATGGACGGGGTGCACAAAGGTCTTGCCTTGGTGGATACCGTGCTCGAGATTGTCGATCCCAAGCTCTCATTCTACCTCACCTCCAAGGGCCTGAAGGCCGAAATCTACGCCTTTGCGTCCGTGCTGACCATGTGTGCGTGCACGCCGCCGCTGCCCGAGGTCTTGCAGCTGTGGGATTTTCTTTTTGCCTACGGCCCACATCTTAACATTCTCTGTATTGTTGCACAGCTCGTGCTGATCAGGGACCAAATCCTGGCAAGCCCAAGGTACGTTCCAAGCCAGTGCTTCACTACCCGAGATGCTCTGCTGACCCAACGATGCAGTCCTAATCAGATCTTGCGCTCTCTGCCGCCGTTGCAGTCCAAGGCAATCATCTCCCTCGCCGTTGCAAACGCGCAGAAGATCCCCGAAGACATCTACCAACAAATCATCGACCACGCGAAATGAAGCATTGAATTACGAATCACGCAATTATGACCGAAACGAGGATGAGAAAGAAGAATTCCTGGAGTTTGGCACTGTAACGGTATAATAGAAGCTTGGGTCAATTCCTTAGCCGATGATACCATCTGGAGTCTTTTTGGTTGGTTGGTCCAAGGTTACGACAGGTTGGGCTAAAGAAGAGGTGACCCGGGCTCGAGGTGAGCATCGATGAATTTTCACTTCTGAAACTCTTAGTTTTGCTTTTCTCCATCTCTAGCGCATAAGATGCTCTGTTCTAGGACCTGTACATCATTAGAGAAACGACCATCCAAACCCTTGCAACTCGGTCCTCTGTTCTCGCCGCGTCAGTCCCAATTTCATATCACTCCATCGCAAACCGTTAGCCCCACGGCATCAATAGCCCCTTCTCCGCCCGCAGGCCGCCGTTCCGTTCGCGCAAATTAGGCACCTCGCCCGAGCGGGCATGGCTATGATCCCCACCACGCATCCCCGAGCCGCACGTCCGCACGGCGCACGCACTCCAGCACGACAGACCCTTGCTACCTACTACTGTACCACCATCGTCTCGACCCCGCGCGCAATATAGTGTATTAGGCGTCGCAAGCAAGAAAAAAAACTATAGACAAAGCCAGAACCGCCCCATCCCCGCACACCGTCACACCACACACGCCATGTCTCGGCCGAAGAGGCGCGCCGCGCCGCTGCTTGCCGCTGCCTGATAGTGGGTCCCACGCGCGCATCAGCCGACTTCCGCGCGCGCTCGTGCGAGCGAGCGAACGAGCAACGTCTGCTTGCTTGCTTGCTTGCTTGATTGCTTGTCGCTTTGCTGCGAGTCTGCGCTCCAGGCCTCACTCAGGTGGTGCACGCGCATGATTGCTTGCTTCCATGCTCGCTCACGATGGCGGTGGCGACGAGGCGAGACGGCTTTGGACGTCGGGTGTTGGGTGTTGGGTGTTGGGTGGTTCGTTTGGTTGGGCGGTTGTGAGGATGTGATATACGAGGTCGATGGTGCTGCGTTTTGCGATCGGTTCGAGATGCGGGGTGAGTGGGTGGATGTGGCGGTTGGCGGAGGGGTGGGCTTGTTTGTGTGTGACTGTCAGACTGACTGACTGCGCGAGCAGGGTTGGGCTGGATTGGGGTGGTGGTGGTTGGCTTGGGGTTCGTTGAGCTTGAGCTTGAGCTTGAGCTTGAGCTTGTGTGCTTTGACTGATGCTTGATGACGAGCGGTGCGACTTGGTGATGCAAATTCTGTTTAGCTTGGTGTCGCAGGTACGTCGGTGGTTGCTTTTTGTGTTGATGTGTGAAAAAAGCGATGTGGCACGTGTATTGTGGTTTCCTTTCTATCCTATTCTTCTTGAGCTGTTTTGGTTTGGTATGGTGTTCTTTTCGCTGCTTATGTCCCGTTTCTTACTTCAAGCTTTTGTCTTTCTCTTCTCCTTTGGTACGGGCAAATGCTGCTACACCTCACAATTGTTTGGTTCCATGTAGGACGGACGGCATGGATAATGGATTTCACTGCAATGCTATGGCAACCAGACGAAAGAATTGTCGTCTACAGAGCACTTCCAGCGCCGATGCGTGAAAGACGCCTAAATCGGTACGTAAAACATTTGCTCAGTGAGATAGACACCAACATCGGGCCCGCATCTTTCATTCCCTTCTCAGCTAGAGCAGACAAGCAGGTTCGTCCCATTGTCCACATCCCCGAGCGTCCACCTTCGCGCGATCAGTTAGCCACTCAACACCAAGACCTTGGCCTCGGGGCCCAGATCCAGCCAACCGCGAACCCACGCACTGGACCTGTGTCTCCACCGCCATGCCAGACCAGCGGCATCCAGGGAAATAGCAGATCGATCCCATTGCCACGGGCCTGGACCAGCTGGCGCGCAGCCAGGCAGCCGGGATAGTCAGGATGGGCAGCCAGATAGGCATGCAAGCACGCAAGCATATCCCCGCCGCGGATCGCAAAAGGAAAAAGCATCAACGCCAAATGAGAGCCTAGAAGAAAATCCCCGCGCCACAGATCGCGTCTATCTATCGAACGCCTCTCGCTCGCGTGTGTGGGTGCGGGCGTGGCCAGGCGCGCATGCATCATCCGCGCGGCGATGGCGTCATCCGGTCCAACAACTGGAAGGGGCAAAGGTCGTCAAAGGTCCCTAAATTGCGGCTACCACACCAATAAAACGTACACCAACACTAGAAAACTACATACGGGCTTTGCCGCAGCCGCCACCACCGCCTCCGCCGCCGTCATCGGAGTGTGGTGGGCTTGATTCGTGGTGGCTGTTTTTCCGCTTGGCTGGCGGGGGCCGAGGGCGCGGGAGGGTGTGGGCGCGGGCTCGATATGAAATGGGCGTGGTTCTGGGCCATTTGGGGGCGCGAAGCTGGTGGCGGATTAGGTGCGGTGCGTCTGGATAGGTGGACTGGGGTGGTATTGGTGGTGGTGTTTGTTGGTATCGGAGTGGGGCATAAGCGGGCGCGAGCTGGCGAGACGGGCTTGGCAAAGGGACAAGTCCCAAGAGGAAAAAAGAAGAGAGGTGTGGGAGGCCTGGTTTGTTTTCCTCCGTGTTTGGTTTGGGGCTGTGAGGTGTGCTCCTTTAGAAGGGGGTCTGCGGGAAGAGGTATGTCTTTTGGATATCCGCTCGTCCGGAGAGCTAGGTAAGTGTGTCTCATTCGAAGGTCTGGAAAATCATCCAACTTGTTTTGGGAGTATGTTGCGAGTTTGCGAGTTTGCGAGGTTGCGAAATAGCCACGAGGGAGCACGTATGAACTTCCTCCCCGTCTAGGAACGACTTCCTTGACAATGATTATATGACTTTGCAGTTCAAACTTTCCACCAATAACCGGACCCATTGTGTAATCTCCTTCAGGGTTGTTGAGCGGCATGTCTAGAGCAATGCGGTGTTAAATTGACGCCTTCCAGCATCTCTCTGTGTGCAGTCCGCACCATGAATGAGGGACTACAGCCTAAAGTTCCGGCAGATGCTTCTGTAAACTTTCTAAGGACATTGGATTCTCTATGGAGACCTCACGCCCTGAAGAACCCATATCCAGACCAAGCTGGCCGAGGGGACCTGATACCATGCGCACCGTCAGATCTTGAAAGCAGTCATACCCACCGCAAAGCCGAAGTATGTTGGAATCAAAGGCCTGTTCGACTCCACGCAAATATACTGACGATGTCCATACTCGAATCCCCAGAGCGTTCCGCGAGACAATGTCACCATATGTCCTCGAAATACTTCCACCTCTTCCAAACATTGAACTTCATATGCATATAAAAGCGCTCATCCTGATACAAGAAATATCAAACCATCTCTCCATGGGATTGCTTCCACACCTACGTACTAGAAGGCAGCTATGTTTAGGTATAACTTGTCTGGAACCTCTATGCGGTACATATACATATATATAGGGCCGGAGATGATTTGTCAACCCTTTTCTTGACTATTTCGCTCATCACTTGGTCGCTTAACAAACCAAATATGCAATATACAAGTATTCTTTGGCACCTATTAGGCGGCCTCCTGGCAGCTACGAATACGAAAAGATGTGAAGGCACAGGTATGGTAACAGGTACGAGGGCGCAAAGTTGAATGGGAAAATTGTAAGTTTCACTTTGCAGGAGTTGAGTAAGTATCATCTAAACTTATATCTAATAGAATAAATACTGCTTGAATACTGTTGTATTTTCCCCATCACCGAGTATAACAGGTTTGTCGATTTTTGAGATATCTCTGTAACAGTTATCTTTGTCTTCAAAATGCGCAATAACCTGTTGTCAGTACGAAAAGGAACTTTCGTCTTGATACAGGCCCCCGAAACAGAACAGTCGTTGTTGACCAAACCACCACCCAGCCTTCATGCCACGCCATAGCTTCAATTGCAACTACGCTTGTTTACCACACACCAATCTTGAGAAGTCTTTTAATATCGACAAGGAAATGAAACGGTCACTATCAAGATCACAACCTGGGTCATACATTATTTTGAAGTCATTCTTGATTCTTTTCGTCTATGGACATTCAACGTTACTTTTCAGTTTCAGCAACTATCCATTCGCACACTCACCGTTTCTTTAACGGCTAAGAGCGATATCGTCGATTCTCAACAACTAGGGACATGTTAGCAATGATCCATAAGGTTCTCATTGAGATGGAAGTTAAATGGGGAAGTGGGGTTCATAAGCTTACCATCTTAACGGTCTCAGCCGCCAGCTCGAGGGCGCTGGTGCTGACGAGCAGCGGCTGCAGCACATTCTCCTCGGCAATATTGTCCTTAACACCACCACTCTTGATGCTGATGCCGGCGTTCTTCTCGCCGAGAGCATGCCTGTGCCTCAACTCGGTGACGACCTTGATGGAGTTGAGACCAGCGTTCTCGGCGAGGGTGTTGGGAATGACCTCCATGGCGTCGGCGAACGCCTTCCAGCAGATCGCCTCAGTGCCAGTGAGCTCGCGCGACTTTTGCGAGAGGGCCTGAGCAATCTCGATTTCGGGCGCGCCACCACCAGCCAACATAGCCTTCTTCTTGACGAGACACCTGATGACACAGTGCGCGTCGTGCAGAGAGCGCTCGGCCTCATCCAAGATGAGTGAGTTTGCTCCTCTGCAGACGATGGAGACGGTCTGTGCCGCGGCCTTAACACCAGTAACCTTGACTATCCTCGCGCCCGAAGATTGCACCTCCTCAATCAGGTCCGCGGAACCAAGCTTGTCCTCGGTGAAAGAGTCAATGTCGGCAATCGGCTTGCAGCCGGTGCTCTTGGTAATGAACTCAATCTCGTGGCGCTCGACATCCTTGATGACAAGGATGTCCAACTTGGCCAGGAAGTGCAGGGAAAGGTCGTTGACGGCATCGCGCAAGATAGACTTCTGGATGAAGAGAACGTTACACTTCGCCTTCTTGATCTTCTTGACCATGTTCAGCAGGTACGTCCGCTCCTCCTTCAAGATCTTATCCATCTGCCTGTAGTCGTTGACGACAATCTGGTTCTCCATGTCGGGCTTGGGGGGGCTGAGCTGGAACTGGATCAGGCCTATCCGCGCCTTCTCTTTCCTCGTAGGGCCGCCACCGCTCTTCACGACCTGCTGCTGCATCACCAAACCGTCCACCATCTCGCTCTCATCTATGGTACCGCCGGGCTTCTTCAGAATCCTAATGTTCTTCAAGTCGACGTTGTCGGCGGTCTTGGGGTCAATGACCTTGAGGACAGAGTCCACGGCCATGTGCGCCAGCTTAGGCTCCTGGGCAACAATCTTGGAGGAAAGCGAAGTAGAAGCGGCCTTGAGAAGGGTAGTACGGTCGGCGAGATCGATGGGAAGGGACATGTCGTGAAGAGTCTGAACTGCCGCAGCGGCGGCACGCTGGAAGGACTCCGAGATCACGGTGGGGTGGATACCTAGGATAAATATAAGCTCGTTTTCCTCATGACGAGGATTAGAGAGACGTACCCTTTGCCAGTAACCGCTCCGCGGCACCGAGCAAACTGCCCGCAATGACAACAACCGACGTCGTGCCGTCACCGGCTTCGATATCCTGGGCATTGGCCAGATCGACCAGCATCCTGGCGGCCGGGTGCAAGACACTCATATCCCGCAGCATGGTGTTGCCGTCGTTCGTCTGAGCTGCATTAGGTTATTGAATCCAGGGAGGCGGGCGCTGCGGGAGCTTACAATGATGGTCTCGCCCTTGCCAGTTTGGATCTGTTTACTGTATTAGAAGAGCTCTCGAAGCAAAAGCTTAATAGCAAACATACCATCTTGTCCATACCCCTAGGGCCGAGCGACTAGCATGCCTACATCAGCTTCCTTGAACCCCACATTCTGGGATATCCCCTAGCTTACTGTCCGAATGGCGTCGGCGACGGCTATTCATCTCAGTCAGCTTCCTAAGCTCTCAGGGTGTCTGGCGGAATCGCATACCTCTCGCCGCAACAATGTTCGCCGTGCGCACCGCCTGGGGCTTCTCCTTGTCCTGATGCACGGTTAGCCCTGAGCTGCGTCTGTCCCGCAAGATTGGGATTTTACCTTGAAGGCATTGTTGCCGGCGTTACTGCTGGGGGGCGCAGTAGTAGCCATCTTGACGGAATCAAACAAGTGGACGGTCGGGAGATAGCAAGGAGGGGCGCGGTGTTGTCTCTAGGAAAAGTGCGGGCCGCCGACTCTTGCAGGACGCGATCATTTTCCAGATGTCGGTCGCGTCGGCGGTTCTCTCCGTCCACTTTACAACAACCCGGAGTCGATGCTTAGGTACGAAGCCGGCCGACCAGAGAGCTCCAGCTCAACTACGCATCACTTCCATACCTCCTCCGCTCACCTCCATCCACCGCACCACGCCCTCACCCTCACACTCCTCGCCGCACGCCTTGCGCCCGCTTAACTTCGACTAAGAACCACCCGACCCTCCCGCGGCGAGCTCCACTTCGCCTCCGTTCACCATGCCCAGCGCCACCGGCCAGAACTGGGAGAAGTACCAGAAGACCTACTCCGACGAAGAGATAGAAGAGAAGAAGATCACGCCCCTCTCCGATGAGTACGGAACCACGCCCGGTCCTTGGCTAGGATGCAGTCGCTGACTCCGATGTAGGGACATTCAAGTGCTCAAGACCTATGGCGCCGCGCCCTACGCAGCAGAGCTCAAGAAGCTCGAGAAGGAGATCAGGGACAAGCAGCAGAGCGTGAATGAGAAGATTGGCGTCAAGGTATCCTCAAAACGTTCCATTTAACACGAACGTCAAGCTCACAACAGCTAGGAATCCGACACTGGTCTCGCACCGCCGCACCTCTGGGATATTGCCGCCGACAGGCAGCGGATGCAAGAGGAGCAGCCCCTGCAAGTCGCGCGTTGCACCAAGATCATACAAGATGAGAAGGATGCCGATAAGAGCAAATACGTCATCAACGTCAAGCAGATTGCCAAGTTCGTAGTCAACTTGGGCGAGAGGGTCAGTCAAACGGATATCGAGGAGGGAATGCGGGTCGGGTACGTTTGCGCGCCGATTATACGGTTCGGAGATCCTCTGTAATGCTAACAAGTGTGAATAACAGTGTGGACCGAAACAAGTACCAGATTATGCTGCCGCTACCCCCGAAGATCGACCCATCGGTGACGATGATGACAGTGGAGGACAAGCCGGACGTCACGTATGGAGACGTTGGTGGCTGCAAGGAACAGATCGAGAAGCTCCGTGAAGTTGTTGAAATGCCCTTGCTGTCTCCCGAACGCTTTGTCAACCTCGGTATCGACCCGCCCAAGGGCGCGCTGCTCTACGGCCCCCCCGGTACCGGTAAGACGCTTTGCGCTCGTGCCGTCGCCAACAGGACGGACGCCACCTTCATCCGTGTCATTGGTTCCGAGCTGGTCCAGAAGTACGTCGGTGAGGGTGCCCGCATGGTGCGAGAGCTTTTCGAGATGGCGCGGACGAAGAAGGCCTGTATCATCTTCTTTGACGAAATCGACGCGGTCGGAGGTGCACGTTTCGACGACGGCGCCGGTGGCGACAACGAAGTGCAGCGCACTATGCTGGAGCTGATCACGCAGCTGGACGGCTTCGACTCGCGCGGTAACATCAAGGTCATGTTCGCGACCAACCGGCCGTCGACACTGGATCCCGCGCTGATGCGGCCCGGCCGTATCGACCGCAAGATTGAGTTCTCGCTGCCCGACATGGAGGGCCGCGCCAACATCCTGCGCATCCACGCCAAGAGCATGAGCGTCGAACGCGACATCCGTTGGGAGCTCATCTCGCGCCTATGCCCCAACAGCACGGGTGCCGAGCTGCGCAGCGTCGCCACCGAGGCGGGCATGTTCGCCATCCGCGCCCGGAGAAAGGTCGCCACCGAGAAGGACTTCCTCGCCGCTGTCGACAAGGTCATCAAGGGCAACCTCAAGTTCAACTCCACCGCCACTTACATGCAGTACAACTAATCGCGCGGCTGCTGCGCTCCTCCAGCATTTGGCTTGGGGGCTGGGGATGGCGATGGAGAGAGGTTGCTCTTTGCGTTTTACGGTTATGGATCTTCCTTTCTGTTGTGCTTCTGGGGAATGCCGGCCCATCGCTGGCTACACGTGACATGGCGACGGCGGGCGTGTATAGTAAGGATTACAGGAGCTCTGATAGAAGAGGCTCAAAGCATTACGGAGCATCGATTAAATCGAGTTGAGTCTATGTCCGAATTATCAAGAAGATTGACAACGGTGACGTAGTGTATGTGTGAGGGTTAATAATTGTGTTGCCACGAATATGCCAAGGGGCGTATATTGTTGTAGTTTACATAGTCTTGTGAGGCTACTTGTCTACCTACGAGTTCATGCTCCACATCCAACTAAGGAGTGACTGAGAGGCGTAGATATTGTTAATCTACATGTTATTTTAAACTATCTCATCTAGTCACGAAATCGGGCTCTACGTCCAGCTAAGAAACAACTTGTCGAGAGTAGTTTTGTCTACCAACAAAACCATATGAACACATTTGTAACTTTCACAATTGTTTATGTTTGGAGTTATTTGAAATACTTCTACGTCTACAGAGATACTACTCACCATAGGGATATGAATAACAGTGTCCCGCTGTAACCGTAGTAAGGCGGAGCAGTAGATAATTATAATCACTGATAACGAGCAGAGTTCAGAAGTTGGATGGATACAAGCAGATCAACAGCCGCGCCTTTAATTGCTAACAGGACAAATGTACACTAAGTCTCCCAAAATAAGAATAAACTAGTAAGTTCTCTTGAACGGCGGCACCGCCTTGCACTCGTTTTCATCCAGCGTCGTACCAACGACAGACCTGTAGCCCAGCTCCGTCTTGCCGTGCGGCTTCTTCTGCCACGTCAGCGTGTGCTTCATCCAGTTCTCGTCGTCACGGTCCGGGAAGTCCTCGCGGGCGTGCGCGCCACGCGACTCCTTGCGGTTGGCGGCGGCCTCGGCCGTCTGGACGGCGCACGTCAACAGGTTCCGCAGCTCTAGAGTCTCAACCAGGTCAGAGTTCCAGATCATGCTGCGGTCCTTGGTGCCGACCTGCGAGAAGGTCTGGTCGACATCGTTGATCTTGCGCACACCCTCGTCAAGCGACTCCTGGGTACGGAAAACGGAGACATCGGTCTGCATGACCTTCTGCATGGCAGAGCGGATTTCGTGGGTCGACTTGGGGCCGTCGGCGGTACGGACATGGTCAATGACCTCGATGGCGTCGGCGCCGGCGTCGGCGGAGATGGGGTCATGCTTCTGGCCAGGAGTGAAGTTGTCGCGGATGGTGTGGGAAACAGCACGGCCGAAGACGATGAGGTCGAGCAGGGAGTTGGCACCCAGACGGTTGGCGCCGTGGACAGAGACACAGGCGGCTTCACCGCAAGCGAAAAGACCGGGGACGACCTTGTCCTTGCCGTTCTCATCAACGGTAAGAACCTCACCAGTGTACTTGGTTGGGATACCACCCATGTTGTAGTGGACGGTGGGCAGAACAGGGATAGGCTGCTTGCGGACGTCGACACCAGCGAAAATGGAAGCCGTCTCAGAGATACCAGGGAGACGGTCGTGGAGGACCTCGGGAGGCAGATGGCTGAGCTGCAAGTAAATGTGGTCCTTGTCAGGACCAACACCACGGCCCTCACGGATTTCCATGGTCATGGAACGAGAGACGACGTCACGCGAGGCCAAATCCTTGGCAGTGGGAGCGTAACGCTCCATGAAACGCTCACCCTCAGAGTTGAGGAGGTAACCACCCTCACCACGAGAGCCCTCAGTGATCAAGCAACCAGCGCCGTAGATACCAGTGGGGTGGAACTGAACGAATTCCAAATCCTGGTTAGGCAGACCAGCACGGGCAACCATAGCCATACCATCACCGGTACAGGTGTGTGCGGAGGTGCAAGAGAAGTAGGCACGGCCGTATCCACCGGTAGCCAAGACCGTGTTGTGGGCAAGGAAACGGTGCAGGGTACCATCCTCCTGGTTGTAGGCAATGACACCCTTGCACTTACCATCCTCCATGATCAAATCGGTGGCAAAGAACTCAATGAAGTACTTGGTGTTGTGACGAAGGGATTGACCGTAAAGCGTGTGGAGAAGAGCATGGCCGGTTCTGTCAGCGGCAGCACAGCAACGGTAGGCCTGGCCACCCTTGCCGTACTTCTGAGACTGACCACCGAAGGCGCGCTGGTAGCTATCCAGCTGTTAGCTGCCGAGTCCCCATTTCAATGATAGTAGAGCTTACATCCTGCCGTCATCGGTTCTGGAGAAGGGGCAACCGTAGTTCTCGAGCTCAATGACAGAGGCGGGGGCCTCGCGGGTCATGTAGTGGATAGCGTCCTGGTCACCCAACCAATCCGAACCCTTGACGGTATCGTACATGTGCCACCTCCAGTCGTCCTCGTGCATGTTTCCAAGCGCAGCGTTGATACCACCCTGGGCGGCGACGGTGTGGGAACGGGTGGGGAACAGCTTGGAGATACAGGCCGTGTTGAAGCCGGCCTCAGCCAGACCGAAGGCGGCGCGAAGACCGGAACCACCAGCGCCAACAACAATGGCATCGTACTCGTGGTCGATTACAGGGTACTTGTGGCTGACATGGGGGGATGCCTCCTTGGCGCGGAGCGGCTCGTTCGTGAAGATCTTGGAGACCGGCCTGGAGGAAGAGAAGGCGCGGGTCTGGGGCCTGAAAGCCCTGGCGAACTGCGACAGAGTCAATCAAGCTGTGCTAGACGTGCCACGACGCCACACGGAGGGGTATGGTGATGGTGGCACAGAATCGGCGCGGGTGTCCTTGTCCCCAGGAATTTCCTGCGAGGCAGCTCGCGGGGCCACGGAAGCTTTGTACGTGAAACCGAAAGGCCAGGGCATACATATGCAGGGCAGAGCAGATGAGCGGGCAAACGTACCTGAGAATTGGCGGCCAGCTGCCGCATCCGAAGGGCGGACATTTTGTGGATGAGGGGAGAGGGGAGAGTTGATGGCGTTGGAGTCTCGGGTCGTCGAGGCGTTGATGCTGCGATCCACTAGTCCCGGCTCGCCGCCCATGAGATGCGGCATAAGCAAACCGCCCACGCGCTCATTGGCCGCTGCGCCTGACACTACCTCGGCAGAATACGCCTACACGACACGCGCCCGAGTCTCGATCTCCGCGATCAGTGGTGACGGACGACATCGTTTTCGCCTCTTCCCTTGCCTTCCAATGTCAACTGCCAGTTGGTCGCCATCCGAAGCCGCAGCAGTCTGCACGCTTTCGTGCCCATGTTATCTGATATTCCTTTGTCCGATCCGAACAAAATCCGGGCCACCTCTAAGCGAAAACAAACCGGAGTGGTGGAAGACGGGGTAATGAAATACCTCAAAAGGCCATTCATCCGCAGCAATTCTGGACGATGGGTCGGTTGAGTAGCGTGCACATACATCTATTCCAACGCTTTCACTGGCAGAAAGCCTTCAATACTAGAATATATACATTATATCTCAAAGTAGCTTCATGGTGGAAAATTCGATACAATATTCCAATTTCCTTGATATCTTATTAAAAGATGTATACAGTTCCAGCAGGCTACTTCTTGAGCTCTGGATATAGTTAACCAAACTTAGAATGCATAACTACAACTTCATAAACATCTTACATGGGTTTCGTTTTCACTCCGTCCAAGAGTGATCATCTCGTTATACGGCGAGTCTCGCTTGACGGTGATATACGTTAACCATGAATCGCGTACACATGTTTTCACACAGCAAGCCTTTTCATCGGATCGGCAATGCACGCAAGGCGAAAAGGAACAGATTAGCGAAAGCGCAGTGGCATTTCATTGGATCCATGACTTCCATTGAGTATCTTTTATTTAGCGCTGAACATGCTTTTGTGCATGTTCTACGTGGGAATTCGGGACATGAGAACGCCAAAGCTACCCCGCCACTCGTGAACTAGATGCAAACCAAACCGCGAAAAGATAAACAAGCTTAAGAAGAGGCCTGAAGGTCCTTCTTGAGCGTGCCGATGTATTGCTTCTTCTCCGCGGCGGTCTGGTAGGCACCGTGACCGAACTTGGAGGAGGTGTCGATCCACTTGAGCTCGACCTTCTCGAGAGACCTGCGGCTGGTGTGGACGAACATGGACTTGCGCAGAGTCATGACCCGCTTCTTGACACCGGGGATGGAGCCCTTCAGGAGGACGAAGTCGTTCTTGACCTCACCGTAGCGGACGAAGCCACCCATGCTGAGAATTTGTTAGTCTTTGCTGCAGAAATTTAACAAATGGTACTTACGGAGTGATGTTCTTCTTGGAAACGTCGAACTCGGTCGAGGCGTTACCAGCATCATCGCCCTTGCCGATGCGGTAGATCTTGTGGTTGACCGAGGTACGGTGGTGGTAACCCATCTGACCGGCACGGGCAACAGTCCACTGGACATGGGACGGGTGCCAGGCACCGATACAAGCAACCTTGCGGAGACCCTTGTGCGTCTTGCGAGGAAGCTTCTTGGTGCCCCAGCGGGAGGTAACACCGTTGAAACCGTGACCCTTGGTGACGGCAATGCAGTCGATCATCTCGTCCTTCTCGAAGATGGAGGAGACGTCGACGGACTTCTCGAAGAGGCCGTGGGCGAAGTCGACCTTGTCGGCGATCGAGCCACCGTTGACCTGAACCTCCATAAGGTGGGCCTTCTTCTGCTTAAGAGGGGTCTTGGAGATCTGGGTGTGGGCGAGGACGCGGACGACGGTGCAGTACTTCTTGATGCGCTCAAGCTCGCGGGTGATGCTCTTGGAGCTGTTCTCGGAGTACTGCTTGGCGTACTTGGTGAACGCCTTCTTCTTGCTCTTATACCAGTTCTTGTAGAACCTCCTCTTGACCTCGTCCGACAGGTGCTCAGCCCAGACGGTGGTCAGGGAGCGGAGACCGCGGGGAGTCTCAATGTAACCGACGACACCGACGACAACCATCTAAAACAAATTGTAAGTACAATTGACCGTGGAATTGCTGCGCTCGGGTTGCTTCGGTACGTACAGGAGGGGTCTCGACGACCGTGCAGGCCTCGACGATCTCCTTCTTGTGAAGCTTGGCACCGGGACGGTCGAGGTCGCGGACGATCGTGGTCATACCGGCCTTGTAGCCCATGGTGGCAGTGAGGTGGACGGGCTTCTTGGGGTCATCCTTGGGGAAGCTGAGAATTACAAAGAGTTAGCAGGTGTAGAGAAAAAGACCTCCAGCCCAAAGACAAGCCACAGCGCACGCCAGCGATCGCCCATTGTAAAGAATTCCGTCTCTCTTTTGCATGACCCAGACCGCGTGTCATTGTGCCAACCCTTCGTCCACCTCTTGCCGTGCGTGGTAATGTTCGTCCGAAAAGTGCTGAAATCGGCGGCGGTGCGAAAACGTACCTCTTGACCTTTCCCCGGTGACGGGCAGCCCTCTTGCGGGGCAGGTATGCCAGCGAACCGTGGCGAGGAGCCTCGTACTTACGGTGGGACATCTTGTCGACGGAGTTCGAGGGTTTGGTCGTCCTTGTGTCGTCGTCGTCGCGATCAGTGAGAAGAGCGTAGGAAATTCAAGAGGTGTGGGCTTTAGCGAAAGGTGGTCCGAGCGCGGCACGTGACCCGGCCGCCCGAGATCAAGCTCCAGCGCCACGGCCAGGCAGGACGCCCTGCATGTGCAATTGACGTGAAGGAAGTCTAGCTTACTTTTGTCGCCCTATAACCCCAGGTCCCAGGGCGCCCCTGGGATCGTAGGCAACGGGGCCTGGGACATCCCCCATGCTCGCATACTACGGTGCATATGCTGCTCCAGTGCTCCCTATGACGCAGCCCATGTGCAGCAAGCTCCTTTGCTGGTGCTTCTTGACTGACGACTGGCCACTGACCTATGCGCCCTGAGCCTTATTGGCCGCCTCAGGCACTGCACGTCTCGGGCCGGCCAATGCCAGGCACGAGGCTCTTGCCTTTGCCCACAGTTTATTGCAAGGCGTGCGAGCAGCGTGGAGCGGGAAGCCCGACGTGGCATTTAGATGCACGCCAGCATATGGAACCAAAACCGCCAGAACCGTTGCAACCAGCTAGCGAGATGAAAGTCGATGCGTTGAGGCCTTCTGCGCTGGCAGCAGACCGAAGAGGCTTGGCGTCAATCGGAGTTTCCCAGCTCCGGCCGCTCTCGCTCGCCGTCACCTCTGACCGTCTTCGTTGTGCGGGCCTGCCTGAAGTGAACTCCCCGCTAACCGTCCAAACATTCACCACACCCCGTTTATCTCCGTACGTAATTGATCAGCTCCCTCCAACAGCCCTTACTCACCTCGCCCGCCGTTCCAAGGTCTACACTACGCCTCTCTCCACCACCCGCATCCCACTCCACTCTCAACGGCGACGCGCCCAGTCCAAGCCGGTTTCGTCCACCCGCACTCCGCTGTGACATCGTCTCAGCATCTGCATCACCGCGACTAATACCTCGCGCAGACGCCACGCTCTCACGCCGCTGTATCTTCAGCCGCCCGTTGCATTCTGTCTAGACCGGATCACACCCCGCTATTGCTTGCTCTAGGTTAAGGACCTGTCGGCGCAACTTTGGAAAAGATGGTAGAAGCAGAGGGCCAACCCACGACGTGGAAGTTCACGCAGTAAGCGCCCCTTGCATCCTACATCGCCCTGGTCGGATAGAGCCCTTCACCCGCGGCCCTGTATCGCGGCCCCACAATGAACGATCAACGTGCGGCGGCCTTCACCGCCAACGGCCTCGCCGCTAGCTACGCCACAGACTACGAAGCCTTGTAGATCAAGAGCTGACGACCTTGCTTCTCAGGTGCTTCGGTGACAAAGGAGATGTAGAGGACATCACGGAAGGTTTGTTCTTGTCATTCGTGGCTCTAAGCGCCTGTCCCTACACTGTGCCATTGAGAATCAGAGCTCACAGTGTGTTAAAGACTCGGCTGCTAATAACGGCGTTCCCACAGCGGATATAATCTCGACTGTCGAATTCGACGAAACGGGTGATTATCTGGCGACTGGCGACAAGGGTGGTAGAGTTGTGCTGTTTGAGCGCAATAGGACGGTACGTCTCCTATCTCATGACATGCGCCCACCCAACGCCCCCCTCATCTAGCATTGTTGGACATACTGACCGGCGTAGAAAAAAACCTGCGAGTACAAGTTTCACACCGAGTTCCAGTCACACGAGCCCGAGTTCGACTATCTCAAATCCTTAGAGATCGAAGAGAAGATCAACAAGATCAAGTGGTGCAAGAGGCAGAACCCCTCCCACTATCTTCTCTCCACCAATGATAAGACGATAAAGCTATGGAAGGTCTTTGAGAAGTCTCTGAAGGTCGTAGCAGAGAACAACCTCTCTCAGGAGTTGACGCCAGCCGGCGTTCCGAGCGCTGGCGGCCCAGTGCAGCGCCCTCACTTCCGATCCGCTGCAGACCTCAAGCTGCCCCGCCTCACCCTTCACGATACCGTTGTGGCAGCCGTGCCTCGGAAGACCTACGCCAATGCGCACGCGTACCATATCAACAGCATATCTGTTAACAGCGACGGGGAGACGTTCATCAGTAGCGATGACCTTAGGATCAACTTGTGGAACTTGAACATTCAAGACCAGAGCTTCAACATTGTCGACATCAAGCCAGCGAACATGGAGGAGCTTACGGAAGTCATCACTGCCGCGGAATTCCATCCCGAACTTTGCCACCTGTTCATGTACGCCAGCTCAAAGGGCACGATCAAGCTGGCCGACATGAGAGAGAGTGCGCTCTGTGACCAGCACGCTAAGCGTAAGTGGACGCGAAACTCGCCCAACTTTTCATATACTAATGTCCATCCAGAATTTGAGCAGGAAGAAGACCCCCAGTCTCGTTCGTTCTTCTCGGAAATCATCTCCTCTATCTCCGACGTGCGCTTCTCCCGCGATGGCCGCTACATCCTCTCTCGTGACTACCTTACCGTGAAGATTTGGGACGTGAAGATGGAAAACAAGCCGGTTAAGACGATTCCCATTCATGAGCACCTCAGACCGCGGTTGTGCGACACCTACGAGAACGACAGCATTTTTGACAAGTTTGAGGTTGTGTTCTCGGGAGATGCGAAGAATGTTATGACGGGAAGTTACAACAATAACTTCATGATCTACCCCTCGGACCCCGACAAGGAGACCGAGGTGGTGCTGCAGGCCGACAAGTCAGCTTTCAAGGCGAAGAAGGTGGGGATTCCCACGCCCATGGGCCAAAGTGCGACGAGCCCCACTGGTTCGGGCAAGAAGAGCAACTCCCGGGCTGGCAGCCCCGCGGCTGGTGCCATAGGCCCCGGCCAGAGGATGAGGAAGGAGACGGATGCGGACCAGATTGACTTCAACAAGAAGATCCTGCACATGAGCTGGCACCCCAATGAAGACAGCATTGCCATCGCGGCTACGAACAACGTAAGTGGAAAGGGTGGAGAAGGGCCATACGGACTCAGTTGCGCTAACAGGATATATAGCTCTTCGTCTTCTCGGCGTTGTAAGAGGAGCCAAGGGTCTTTCGAGGGTCATCTGGAAGGCGTTCCTGAGCACGCAATCTGCTATTCCTCATTAATCCAGCGCCTAATTTCGTCGTACTTGATGATGCAGCTAGATAGCATTCTCATGATGTCGATGAGCCAAGACTGTAGAGCGGGGACGGGTCGCATCGACGCGGACGTCAAAAATGAACGTAAAAGGACTTGTTCCACGAGCGTTTCGTGTACCATAGTGATTTGCGGGTGCTCCATGTGCAGCTGGCTCTTCATTCTCAAAATAGATTGCTTGATCATCCATGTGTCTTCAATGCAGATCGCCCGCTCGTCAACGAGAGTGAGCTGCGATGGGCGATGGGCGATGGCAATGGCACGGCGATCTTCAGCCCTACCTATTGCCAAATTGGCCAAGGAGACGCTTGGGCACGCGCTGGCGCTCGTCAAGCAAGTCCATGACACGGTTGCCGCAACGTCGTCTCTTCCACAAAATTCAAAACGTACTCGCATCGTAGACTTAGACTTTCATTGTCATTGAATCTTTTCGTTTGTGAGTTAGTCACCTACCCCATCCAGCCCTTATCTCGCATAACAACAATGTGCCATACCGTTATGCTCTGTCAGGGTCTCGCGATTCGATCGAATTGCCTGTTTAAGAGCGGGCTCTTGTTAACGTGCTCGATCTTCTCGGCTCTTCGCCCGCCCCAGATAAGGGACTTCATTGCAGAATCTGACCTTGCTTACCGTAACTCTTGCAGTAATCCCGGATTGCTGCTTTCTCAAACAAGAAGCCTTTCAAATTTGTCCGCAGCACGTCTTGATTTATCATGATACCGCTCGCACCCGTGGGCATCACAGCCCTCATTTTCGGAGGCTGCTGTTCTAACGTAAGTATCACGGAGTTCTACTAGTTGTCCGCTCGTACTCATTCTCCATCGCAGGTTTATGCCCTTGAAGCCATTGTCAAGTAAATTATGTCCATTTCCTTCGCCGAGTTTTATGCTAATTAATGACAGGCGGGAACCTGGCAGCGGTAAAATGTCAAAGCAGTAGAACTGATTTCTGGTCGCTAATTGTCTTAGGTCTTCTCATTACGCTGTTTCAGTTTGTTCTAACAGCTCTTGCTGCATTTCCTTCGCAGTATGACCCGAGTCAGCCGTACTATCTCAAGAAAAGCCCCGTCCCATTCAGGAAGTGGGCTCTCAGTGCCGCTATGTTCTTCGCCGTCAACATGCTGAACAATTGGGCCTTTGCTTTCAATATCTCTGTGCCTGTTCACATTATCCTGCGCAGCTTCGGCAGCGTTACTACAATGGCTGCAGGCTGGCTGTGCGGCAGGAAATACTCTCCACTACAAACCTTCTCTGTGGCTCTCCTTACGGCTGGAGTTATCGTATCAGCCTGGGCTGATGCTGCTTCCAAGGTAAGACTTCCTTTGAGAGCACCATCATTTTTCTTCTTAAATCGATTAATGGTAGCATTGCAGGGCAAATCTATGAGCACTGCCAGTATCAACTTCACAGACGCGTCTTTTGAAGCTGGACTTGTCATCCTTCTTGTAGCACAGCTGCTGTCTGCGTATATGGGCGTATATGCGCAAGGAATTTACGACGAGTACGGCAAACGCTGGGATGAGAACCTCTTTTATTCTCATTTCCTCAGCATTCCGATGTTCCTTCCCCTCCAAGGCACGCTGAACTCTCAGTACTCGCGTCTAGCATCATCGCCACCGCTCTCTCTGAACGCATCAGTGGCTTCTTCCTTGCCAAATGCTGTTGAGCGGATGCTTCATTCAACTCCGCAGTCTGTTTTCATGCTCCTTTTGAACGCTGCCACGCAATTACTTTGTATCAGTGGTGTCAACTTGCTTAGTGCGAACACATCGGCCGTCACGGTGACCATTGTGCTGAATATTCGTAAGCTTGTCAGCTTCCTGATAAGTATATGGCTATTCGGCAACAAAATGGGTGGTCAGATGATGTTCGGAGCTGCTCTTGTCTTCGGGGCGGGAGCGCTTTATGGATGGGAGACGACCGTTGGCATCAAGCGAAGGAAAAATGCGGCTGAAAAGAAGCCGAAATGATGGAATTTGCACAAGCAACATTCGAGCGTCAGTGTTTGTAGAATATTAGCAAGTACATGGTGTACAGGCCTTATTAGGTAGATGAAATAGAAGTAGAATGGCGCGCGACAGCCGTGCCTCTCAAGTTAAAATACGAGTAGTTGTTAAATGAAAATCGTGAGAACTGGTGGTGGCGCAGTTCATCAGGGGAGGCACGCCCGCTCAGGTGTGGCTTGAAACGCAGGGGTAGCACTTGCACCGCGCGTCTTCTGAACACCTAGCTGTATCGCGACAGCTGTTGGTTTCTTTCCTCACCACTCCCTCACCCACTTTCTGTCCATTGACATCTGTAAGTCGCGATCTTAGCCGCATCGGGATTTCCCCTCATTCTGACCTTCAATTCCGGTAGTCGTCTCTCGTGTGGCCCAGCATGAGCTCACCCGCACCCTCCGTGAGACATCGCGGAGGAGCAAAGAACAAGCGTCCTACCACCCCGAACCCGGACGATCCAGTGGACAGTGTCGACCAGGTTATTTCTAAGGCGCAAGTTCAAGCGACAGCAACGGTTGGCAAAGAATGGGATTACAAACTCGCACTTGCGGTCATCACAGTGCTGGCTTTTGCTACGCGCTTCTGGGGCATCAGCCATCCTGACCAGGTGGTCTTCGACGAGGTGCACTTTGGAAAGGTATGTATAGCAAACCTGGGGCTCTTTGTCAGGGACCTATAGTAAGAACCTGTCGCTGACTGAAGCATTGTTGCAGTTCGCGTCCTACTACCTTCAGCGCACATATTTCTTCGATGTCCACCCTCCTTTCGGAAAGCTTCTCTTCGCTCTGGCCGGCTGGCTCGTTGGATACGATGGCTCTTTCCTGTTCGAGAACATTGGAGACTCCTACATCACCAACAAAGTTCCGTACGTGGCTTACCGCGCCATGCCCGCTACCATGGGCGCACTTACGGTCCCAACCGTCTTCCTGATCATGTGGGAGTCCGGATACAACCTTCCCGCCTGTATTACAGCCGCTGGTTTGATCTTGTTCGACAACGCGCACATTGGTCAAACCCGCTTGATTCTGCTGGACGCAACTTTGGTCTTCTCTATGGCCCTTAGTGTCCTCTCCTACGTCCGCTTCTATAAGCTGCGTCACGATCCTTTTGGCCGCAAGTGGTGGAAGTGGCTGCTTCTGACCGGCGTCTGTCTGAGCTGTGTCATCTCTACGAAATATGTCGGTCTCTTCACGTTCTTTTCAATCGGTGTCCCGGTGGCATTCGACCTCTGGGATTTGCTGAACGTCAACCGAAGGCAAGGCTCTCTCTCTCTGCCGGACTTTGGCAAGCACTTCGCTGCTCGCATGACAGGACTGATCATCATTCCCTTCTTTTTGTATCTCTTTTGGTTCCAAGTCCACTTCACCATTCTCTCAAGGTCCGGTCCTGGCGATGATTTCATGAGCCCTGAGTTCCAAGAGACGCTCAGTGACAACATCATGACTATGCAATCTGTCGGTATCGACTACTTTGACGCTATTACCATGCGTCACAAGGAGACCAAAGTCTACCTCCACAGTCACCCGGACAGGTACCCCCTCCGTTACGAGGATGGCCGTATCTCTTCCCAGGGCCAGCAGGTCACTGGTTACCCTCACAATGATACCAACAACCAATGGCAGATCCTTCCCGCCGCTGCTCCTACTGACCAGCCTCGCCGTGTCAAGAACGGTGATCTGGTCAGGTTCCGTCATTTGGTTACTAACACGATGCTTCTGACCCACGATGTCGCATCTCCTTACTACCCCACGAACCAAGAATTCACCACCGTCGACATTGAGGTTGCCGAAGGTGAGCGTTACAACGACACTCTATTCGAAATTAGAGTCGAGAACGGCAAGGCTGGCCAAGACTTCAAGACCATGGGTTCTCACTTCAAACTGGTCCACTTCCCCACCAAGGTTGCTATGTGGACGCACACTACTCCGCTGCCAGACTGGGCTTACAAGCAAGCCGAGATTAACGGCAACAAGAACATCCAGCAGTCGAGCAACATCTGGTATGTTGAGGAACTTCCTTCAGTCCCGGAAGACGACGTTCGTCGCCAGCAGGAGCCTCGGAAGACCAAACGCATGCCTTTCTTGAGGAAATACCTTGAGCTGCAGAGGGCCATGTTCTTTCACAACAACGCTTTGACCAGCAGCCATCCCTACGCTTCATTCCCTATTTCTTGGCCTTTCTTGCTTCGTGGTGTCAGTTTCTGGACAGAGAACGAAACGAGACAGCAGATTTACTTCCTCGGCAACCCGCTTGGGTGGTGGCTTGCTAGCAGCTTGCTCGCTGTTTTTGCCGGTATTATTGGAGCTGATCAATTAGCCATGCGCCGTGGCATAGACGCTTTGGACAAACGTGAGTTAATATTCAATTTCCTAACTTGAAATCATCAACTGACCAAATTGTTTTCAGGTACCCGCTCCCGCCTTTACAACTCCACGGGCTTTTTCTTCCTGACTTGGGCTGCCCACTACGTTCCTTTCTTCATCATGGGTCGCCAACTCTTCCTCCACCATTATCTGCCCGCTCACCTTGCCTCCTGTTTGGTTACCGGAGCCCTGGTTGAGTTTATCTTCAACATCGAGCCGCATTCCGATGATGACGATGCGCAAAAGAAGAAGGGTTCCATGTCCCGCAGTCGTCCTGTCAGGGAGCGCATCGGTGGCCAGACCCTGTTCGCTTCTTGGGCCGCCACTGGCGTCATTCTCGCCATTGTTGTCTGGAGCTTCCTCTACTTTGCTCCTCTTACTTATGGCAAGCCAGGTTTGGACATTGATCAGGTTGTTGCTAGGAAGTGGCTCAACTACGACCTTCACTTCGCCAAATAGAGTACTGTCAGGGTGAGAGAACTCGACAATCTCCGTTATCATCAAAGCGGATTATTGATCGTATGACGTTTGTCGTGGGGGATATTGCTGTTGAACGGACACCTAGGTATGGTTCTGTTATCAGCAATGGGAAGGCTCAGCATGAAGATGCTGCTTTTGTATAACTTTCAAACCCAAAAAAAAGTCGCTAAGATCTGTCTACCCAACACAACTGTGATAATTATCGATGAGTTCTTTTGTTGCGAGTTGTTGCTAGCATCAGAACCAGATGATTTTTTCCTTGAATGCAAAGATGTCGAGTTGACTGACTTTTGTTTCAGTGCTTCGCAATATTTTCGTGGCAAACAAATGCAGGCTTATGTAGTAACGGTTGATTGCTTTCTGACAACAGAAGGATGCCTCCACACGAATATTTGTGGATGTACAATATAACACTGTCTGAACGGTTTTGGGAATAGAAAACGTAATGATTGTTCTGTCATCGTTCCGAGATACGCCGGTAGGGATATGGTCTAATCAGTTTATCAGGCAGGTGCACTCCAACTCTGAACGTAGCAAGGATCTTGGACTGGAACGTCAGGGCGCTGCCTAGACAAGGTTTGTATGGGAACGAAGCGGCATATCCTCATTTGCTTCACAACGCCCCGCGTGATTCCAACCCAAACTCGTGCAACCTCGAAAAATGCCCTGTGGCTTGCCGTTTCCGCGGCCCTAACTTGCTCAGAGGTTTGGTGAAGGGGTTATTTCTGCTCGTCTTCTAAATGGTCAGTAGCCTGCTGCTCACCTGCTGTGCCCCAAAGGGTTTCGCGGCACGCCGTATTCGGCACGTATCAATGATGTTCCGACACGACAAATAAGGTTCGATTGGCTGGCATGAGGGGTTGGAACAGGGTCGTTTAGCTTTTCCTCGGATCCCAGGATCCTTTCCAGCGCTTCCTAGATCCTGGAGTCCGCCGTGATTGTTTCCTGCCGCCCAGCATCATCGAACCGGAGAGCGAGTGTGACTTGGTCTAAGCATCATTGCAACATGTCCGGGTTTCGAGGCACACGCAACAGCAAACCTAAGGGCAGCTTCACAAGCAACACTTGGCACTGCGACTGCGCCCCGCCGTTGCCAGCAGACCATTTCAAAGTTAGGAAAGAGGGAAAGAACAAGGGTCGCTGGTTCTACACGTGCCAAAAGCAACAGGAAGAGCGCTGCGGTTTCTTCCTTTGGGAAGAAGAAGCCAAACCGCGGATGGATGCAGCGATCGTAGCAGCTTCCCCGAACGAGCCTCATTCTTCTCGATATGTGGCGGCTTCGAACCATGACCCAAATCAATCAGGGTTGCCAGGGCCAGCATATCCTCCAGGCTCTGTGAATCCTGGCAAGCGTAGGCTGCAGACCGAAGTCGATGGCGACTGGCCCACGGACGCGGATCTTGAAGCTGAACTCAGTAAGGTAGATGATTATGGCAATACCTCCATGGTCCCTCCGCCTCCTGTTCCGTCAGTTACTCCAAGGAAAGCGATCAAGACGGACGCATGTTCGACGCCAAGTAGCAAAGCGTTAATGACCCCGGTCTCGCGCCACACACATGGACGCATGACGGACGCTGAGCCCTCGGCCGAGTCACCTACACCGTCCCGATATAAAAATACTCCCACAAGCGGACGGGGGGAAGAGAGATCCGCTGTCCGTGAGGTCATGCGCCTACTTTCAGAGCGAAACATTGACATCGACTCGAGTAGCAGAGACGGGCTCCATGAGGTTTTGAGAGAAATTGATCTGCGCGTCGAAGGCATTTCGAGGGGCCGCGATATATCCAGGCTGGCCGTCAAGGAGCGAAACGCCAAGATAAGTGAGCTGCAGGCAAGAATCCTCTCGCTGGAGGCCGAGCTGGAGACCCAAAGGGCCGTCATCAGCAACCTCAACTGGCAGAAAGAGACCGGACAGTTTGACTGAAGTCCATGGTGCCGAAAGAAGAAAGCAAAACAGGCTGTGTGAGACACCAACGTTCATGTAACGTCGTTGGTCTAGTATATATGTACGTATCCGTCCTGTGTCAGGGCGAAGATGAGATCCCGACCAGACGAGCAGCACAGATTGTAGGAATCCGACCGGGTGGACGGTTGCTGATTTGCGTGCCGCATTGCCGTGATTGGTCAGGCTTTTTGTTTTTTTTTTGTAGACGTGGCGGGGATAAGAGCAGGGGTCAGAGATGTTTCCGTGGAGAGGCAAAGTGGCAGATGTCGTCGGGACGATTGGCCAGCGAGGGTTTTGGCGCTGGCGTGGGCTGGCGTGGCGCTAGGAAAGCTTGTTTCACCCGGGCGTCGCTGCGCGTTTTGTGCGGGAGCGTGCATGACCACTTTAAGCATCCTCCGCACTTCTGCCTCATTCTCCTTCTCTTCCGCACTATTCACTCATTCTTTCTATTTCGCAGAGGAACGGCAGGCCCGTCCCCCGCCTTTATCTATCTCTGTTTTGTTCCTCCCCTTCTTGGCTGGCCCTCTCATAATTTCACAAAACATTCTTCACCAACCATCATCTCTGCCGCATTCCTTCCTCTCTTGTACTTCCTTGACGGCGCCGCCTGATCACATCCGCACATCCGCGCATCCGCCATGGCACCAGCAGCACCAATGTCACCACGCGTGGGTGCTTCGACGCCGCAGCTGCAGAGCAGCACAATCTTCATATCAAACTTGCACTGCCCCTCATGCGTAAATAGCATAGTCGAGGCCCTCAACAAGCTGGACCCCGCTCCGGTTGCCGTCTCTCATTCGATTGTGTCCCACTCTGTCACCGTCCGCCACCACCCTGAATTGTCCAACGACACCATAGCAAAAGCTCTGGAGTTCGCGGGCTTCGAGGTTCACAGTATCTTCCAGGACAGCAACGCTCTCGGTACTGAGCAGATCGCATCTCCCGTCCTGCCCAGCGGCGAGTGGGAGAGCAGCTTGGAACAGGCCGTCCATAAATGGAGACAATCCTGGAGGGAGTCTTGGCGCCAAAGCAGAATGCCTGATATGCAACAGATGGAAAAGCACCTCACATGCTGTGCCGAGTGCGCCGCTGGAAAGGACTCAAGCGCATCCAAGAAAAGAAGAACAAAAACTTACGATGAGAAGGAGATCGAGCTGGATTCGGTCGGCCTTGTCACTGAAGCGGCGAAGGAGCACGGCGACATTGAGAAACAAAGCATTGTTTCAGACGCTCCCAGTAGTTTGGAATCGATTGTCGTAGCTTCGCCCCAAGCACCTCAACTTTACCAGGCCTCGATTGCCATCACTGGAATGACATGTTCCGCTTGCACAAACGCCATTACTCGCCAGGTTGAGGAGCTTCCTTACGTTCGTTCAATTGCTGTGTCTCTTATGACACACAGCGCATCCGTGGACTTCGAAGGCAAGGACAATGTCAGCAATATCATTGAGACCATCGAGGACACCGGTTTTGATGCCAGCCTGGATAATGTTAAGGAGCTTAGTTCCCCAAAGAAATCAGTTCAGCAGTCAGATTCCGACAAATGGAGGGCGGTTTTTGCCGTTGGAGGCATGACCTGCAGCGCTTGTACGAACAGCGTAACGGATGCACTGAAGCAACGCGATTGGATCGAGACCGTTGATGTCGTTCTGATCTCAAACAGTGCAACTGTCGTCTTCGACGGCAAGGAGCACTTGGATGAGATCAAGGAAGCCATCGAAGACGTTGGTTTTGAGGCCACCCTAGACATCGTCGAGAACCTTGAACAAGAGCGTCCGGAAGATGTCGAAAGGCTTATCACAATCCGCATCGACAACATGTTCTGTCAACACTGCCCTACGAACATTGTCAACGCCCTGGAACGACACTTCAAGGGAACGGTCCAGATCGAAAAACCGCCTACGTTCGACGACCCGTTGATCGAGTTAAAGTACATCCCGGCTTTGCCAAAGCTGACAATCAGAGAAATTATTGCTACTATATCGGATGTTCACCCAACCCTCTCACCCTCAGTCTACCACCCACCTACCCTTGAGGAGCGAGCAAAGCAAATGCATGCTCGCGAAAGAAGTAGGGTGTTATTCCGACTCGGACTTTCGATTACCGTTGCGATTCCTACGTTCATAATCGGTATCGTCTACATGAGCTTGGTATCTGCCGAAAATTCAACGCGCATGTTCCTGATGGCGGACATGTGGTCCGGTAAAGTCAGCCGCGCTCAGTGGGCGCTCTTTGTTCTCGCTACGCCAGTCTACTTCTTTGCGGCGGATAGCTTCCACAGGAGAGCAATCAAAGAAGTTCGAGCCCTTTGGAGACCGGGAAGCAAGACGCCAATCATTCAAAGGTTCTATCGATTCGGAAGCATGAACATGCTCATGTGCCTGGGAACCAGCATTGCTTACTTCGCGTCGATTGCCGAACTCGGCCTTGGCGCTTGCGGTATGCATGTGGGAGACAGCGACTACTACTTCGATTCGGTGGTTTTCCTGACAATGTTCATCTTGATTGGACGATTTCTTGAGGCCTACAGCAAGACGCGAACTGGCGATGCAGTCACTGCTCTTGGAAGCCTTAGACCCGATGAAGCAATCCTGGTCGACACCGTCAAGATGCAAGACCAAAAAGTCGGTGTTGATCTGCTCGAGGTCGGCGATGTCGTACGGGTTCAACACGGCGCCTCTCCGCCTTTCGACGGTGTTGTGATGGATGCCGCTGCCAAGTTTGACGAGTCAAGCTTAACTGGAGAAGCTCGTCCTGTCAACAAGGACATCGGCGACACAGTCTACGCCGGCACGGTAAACAAAGGTGGTCCGATCCAAGTCCGGCTCTCTTCAATTTCAGGCACCTCTATGCTTGACCAGATCATCAAGGTCGTGAGAGAGGGCCAAACGCGTCGTGCGCCCGTAGAACGGGTTGCTGACATGATCACTGGCCACTTCGTCCCTTGTGTCACTGCAGTAGCCGTTACCACCTGGACCATTTGGCTCTCTCTCGGTCTCTCCGGTGCACTCCCCGAAGATTACCGGGGCGGCGACTCTGGTAGTTGGCCGCTCTGGTCACTTCGCTTTGCCATTGCAGTTTTCGTTGTGGCTTGTCCGTGCGGTATTGGTCTTGCTTCACCGACGGCTCTTTTCGTTGGTGGCGGTCTGGCTGCCCGGCATGGTATCTTGGTCAAGGGTGGCGGTGAAGCATTTCAAGAAGCCAGCACTCTCGACGCCATCGTGTTCGACAAGACCGGTACCTTGACACAGGGTGGAGATCCAGCCGTTACTGATGTCGAAGTCCTTGCCCAGGGTAACCCTGAAAAAGTCTACGAGCTGGCGGCACGACTCGAGGAGGGCAGCGGTCACCCCATCGCAACCGCCATCATGTCTTACTGCGCGTCTCGATCATCCCAGCAGAACTTCCAGGTTACGAGCGCTGAAGAGATTTCCGGTAAAGGCATGAAGGCTGAGATCAAGGTTCAATCATCAGGCGCTCGGATTTTCAAGGCAATTATTGGCAACGAGGCTCTTATGGCCGATCATTCGATCGCCATGGGCTCGGCAACGGCCGCTAAGCTTGACGATTGGAAGCGCCAAGGCAAATCCGTTGCCTTGATGGGCATCTGTACCTCAACCTCGGAGACTGGTGCCGAAATGTGGACCCTTTCCGTCGCGTTCGCCATCTCAGATCCTCTCCGCCCGGAGTCTCTGCCCACCGTCACCTCCTTGCAACAACGCGGCATCGACGTCTGGATGCTCTCCGGCGACAACCCGACTACCGCGCACGCCATTGGTGCCCGCGTTGGGATCCCGCCCAGCAACATCATCGCCGGCGTGCTGCCGGATCAGAAGGCCGAGAAGATACAGTACCTGCAGAAGATGCTGCCGCCCAAGGGCCGCGGCAAGAAGCGCGCCACGGTAGCCATGGTGGGCGACGGCATCAACGACTCGCCCGCGCTGACCATGGCCGACGTAGGTGTGGCCATCGGCAGCGGCTCCGACGTCGCCATCTCCTCGGCCGACTTCATCCTTGTGACAAGCCGCCTTGATGCCGTGCTCACGCTCGTCGACCTCAGCAGGATTGTCTTCAGGCGAGTGTGGTTCAACTTCGCCTGGGCGCTGGTGTACAACCTCGCCGCCATGCCCATTGCCGCGGGCGTGCTGTTCCCGGCCAAGACGGCCAGCGGCGCGCACATCAGGCTGGACCCCGTGTGGGCGAGCTTGGCGATGGCGCTCAGCAGCTTCAGCGTCGTCTGCAGCAGCTTGTTGCTCAGGAGCAAGATCCCGGGCGTCGGCTTCCGCCCGAAGGTATCTAGTCAGTAGGGAGGGAAATTTGTAGTGGTGGTCTCAAGGAGAGGCGATAGTTAGTTTGCTGGCGGTGGCTTTTCGAATCTTGCATGTAGTTATGGCTTTCACGGCGGATGGTATCAGACTGGAACAGAGGACAAGCTTGACGACACCTGGGAGTGCTGAGATCAAAACGGGGAAACCTACATAACGACTTTATGAGATGATTTTTCTTCAATCGTTTATCCATTCGTTTTCATGAACGTGTGAACAGAAAGAGAAGGAGGTCCATCAATGGACTTGCATGTCTCAGCCGCGTCAGCTTACTCCTACGCGAAACCGTGTATACCTTGCATGAATTGGCTAAACAAACCCCACTGTTGAAAACCGTCAAACATGAAGGAAGCATGGCGAAACAAGTTGATGCAGTTTCAACGCTTTAAGATTAAACACTAACGTTTAGAAATTAACGGCACGACAGCTTTCTTGGCATGATTACCTAGGCAGCCCTTCGCGATTGGACCCCGGGTGTAATATGGACTAAAAGTCCCCAAGCCTCGGAGGAAGCTGGACGCGCGCATATACAGTAAGTTGTAGGTAGTAAGTAATAGTAGCAGTAGGCGCGTCAAAAGAAGAGTTTCCTCCACGGTAAATAGTGTATACACGCGCGCACGCACTAGAGATATAATATTCAAAAAAAAAAAAAAAAAAGGTCAACAACCACAGCCACCTCGACGTATCATTTCCACAAACGAAAGGTATAAATAGCTAAAGAAAAATCAAGACGACAACGGCAACAACAACAAGAACAGCAACCAACCACCTTTATCTCCTACGCATCCTTCTTTTAGTTCCAGTCGATGTCGAGGTCGAGGCCGCCGCTGCCGAGGCTGATGTCGAGCGTCAGGCCGCCGATCTTGAGCTCGCCGGAAAGCAGCTCGATCTGGTTGGCGCAGCCGAAGGAGCCCTCGATACCGAACTCTCCGCCGCCCTTCCACGAGTCGTCGCCGTAGGAGAAGAGAACCGTGTTGGTGCCGGCCTTTTCGATGATGCTCTTGATGGCCTTGGCCTGCTCGTCGGTGCCGGCAATGGCCGCGTTGTTGTTGCTCGTCGACGAGTGCGGCCAGCCAGCCTCCAGGTTGAACACGTCGGTCAGGTTGGGGTAGTCGGGGCACACCTTCTTGGCCAGCTTGAGCTGGTCCAGGATGAAGTCACCCGCCTTCTCGGCAACACAGTCGGCGTTGAAGAAGGGCTGCGCGTTGACACCGATCACGTCAATGGCCTGGCAGAGGTGCTCGTTGGCCTGCTCCTGCAGCACGTTGAGAGTCTCGGTGGTAGTGAGCTTCTTGACGGCAAGACCGGCCTCGGTGATCGAGGTCCTGACGGACATGATGAACTGGCCGAGCTCGGCGGCGGTGCACCACTGGTTGAAGATGGCCTCGTTACCCACGACAATCAGCTCGACAAGCTCCCAGTTGCTGCCCTGCGAACCCCACTTGGTGAGCTCGGTGACTTGCTCCTTGGCCTTCTCGATTCCGTTCTCGTCAATGTAGATGCCGACGATCATCTTCAGGTCGTACTCCTGGCAAGCGGCACCAATGTTGATGAGACCGTCGCAGTCGGTGGCGTACACACGGACGGTGGTGAAACCCTTGTCCTTGATGGCCTTGACGTCCTTCATGACGTCGTCGGCCTTCTGGCACTGGCCGTCGGAGCTGTAGGGAGTGTAGGTGATGGCCCACTGGTTGCCGTTGGTGGTCATGCCGTTGGAGTTCTTGCCGCCGGAGTTAGCAGAGCCGGTGGCGGTCGGCGTCGACGCAGCAGGAGTCGAGCCAGCAGGAGAGACGGGGGTCACGGGGGTGCTCTCAGCGGCGGCGGGGGTGCTGGTCTCGCCCTGGACGTCACCGGTAGGGGTGGGGGTGGGGGTGGGGGTGGGGGAAGCGCCCTGGGAGCTGTAGGGACAGACAAAGACATCGTTGGTCTTGGTGATGGTGACGGTCTGCTCAGGGTGAGTGTAGGTACCAGGGGCGTACGAGGTGGGCGTGGGGTGGACGGTGACCGTGGCCTCGGGGACGCTGGTGGTGGTGGGAGCAATGGTGTACTCGCCAGCGGCCGGGCAGGTGTAGGTCGTGGTCTTGATCACGCTGGTGGTCGTGGAGTCGGTGGTCTCCACGGCGGCGTACGGGCAAGTCACAGTGGTCGCGGTGACGACCGAGGTCGTGACACCACCGTAAGTGTTGACACCAGGAGTAAGGCTGGCAGTCGTGGCGGCACAGACGGTGGTGCTGTCGGTGAGAGTGACAGTCTCGGCCGGGATGGTGTAAGTACCGGGGGTCGCGTACGTAGACACAGCCGGGGTGGGCATGGGCTTCTCGTCGGTCGGGGAGCTCGGGGCCGGGGGAGCAGAAGTCAAGGCAGCCGCAGAGGAAGTGGCCGGCAGGGGCGACGACGCAGGGTTGGTGGAGACTGATGGTCGAAGTCAGAGAAAAAAGTATAGCTAGGCGAGGTAATTGCAAGCACTCACGGGTAGCCGGGCCAGTAATGGTGCTGACGTAGGTGGTGCAGCCGCACACCTCGCCCTTCTCATTACGGGCCTCGAGCTGGGGGACGCCCCTGCGGTTGTGGAAGCCCTGGTGGCGGTCGTGGAGGGAGCCCGCGGCGGCGTTGCCAAGCAGGGCGCCGGCGGCGACGGCGAAAATGGCAGACTTCATGGTCAAAACAGGCAGATATTAGAAATAATACGGAGTATGGCCGCTGAAAGAGTGAAGCGGTGCAAGAGGAAAAGAGTGACTAAGGCAAGGCCTGGACTTGACAGTGGGGAGGAATGCCTTGAGGTGCCGACGACAGCGACGACGGCGGCAGGCTTTTTGATAGAGAGGACGGGCGGCCGGGGCAGGGCGCCAGGGGCAGCGAGATTGTGCAAAGGCGATCCATCATGGCCGGATTGGGCAATATGGGGAGCCAGCGCGGCGTCGTGTTTTTTCCTGGGGTTTACGAGGAGAATTGCCAGTCTCGGCTAGCGCGCAATTTCCCCCGGCCGCCACCCGCGACCGTCATGTCGCAACGGCTGCTCGTGCTCACCCAACTCTATTTCTGCCTCGTCTCTCCAGCCGGCAACGCTCCGTTGAGTGTTGAAGTCGTCGACGGATCGCCGCCCCCAAGGTTGAATCCTCTGTCTCGTGACCGCCAAGTCGCGTGCTCCAATATTATCCCACTTCTTTTTCGGCGCTGCATCGCCCGCTGCTCCCTGCGAGCACCTCTCCCTATGACGATCGGCATGCTTCGTTGAGCTGACGAGCTGTTTATCGCAATTCGGAGCTCGGCCGCATGGTCGATAAGGCGAGGGGACGCCGAGTACGGGGGCACGCTTGCCATGTCTTGACGTGCGCCGACCGGTGACTCTGTCGCAAGTCTGTTTCTGCCCCCTGTGCCAGATACCTCTCCGCCGCTGCTTTATTTTTTTGTTCCGCCGATCGCCTGCCAGCACTGACGCTGACGCCCGGCAAGGTACGCACAACCTTTTTTCTTGCATTGACCGCGGACACCGGCACCTTTTATACCTCTTATCGCCCGCCGTTAATGCCACCTGTGCCACCCTGCCGGTCAATCTAACTGACGACCTCAAATGGCCTCCGCATGATGGCCTCAGATTTTGATCGTCTCCCTATCCAACCCCGCATCATGCCGTTTTTGTCTCCTCATTACGACTCTTGAGCTTCGTCCACCCATTCACTCCTCTCGGCTTGCTCTGTCCATCCGTGTCTGCTTCTTCTTCCTTCTCGAACTCCTTTTCGTCCAGCATTTCCCATTCTGCACCCTGCATCTCCGCCAGGAGATGCGATCTGAGCTTGTCGACAGCCCTTGCCGGTGTCTGCAGCTTCCACCCCTTCATGAAGCTCGCACCTTCGGCGTTCCCAAGAAAACCCTTTGCTGTACCGTGCGAGTATGAGCCCAAGCCGATCTCCGGTGTTGACGCGAGAGAACGACTGCTTGCTGGAAATCTGAAGTCGCCCTTGGCCATGGGTCCATCTTTCTTTTCCTTGTCCACTGCAGACATTGTCGCCTGGGTACTCTCAATCAAAAGCTGCCACAGGTTCTTTCCAAGCGGACATATGTCTTCCCACTCATTAAACGTGTTGTTCATGCCCTGCGAGCGAGATAGCCATGCAATGTCCCAGGAGAGGAGCGTAACCCCTTCCAAGAATAGCGAATATGCTGAGGAGTCCTCTGCCGCAAGCATGGGCAGCTTACGATCAATGTACAGAGATCTTGGACGGGGTAGAGGCCGTTGGTGCTCCAGTGTCCGAGAGTCTTCAGGACTGTTGCTAGATGACTGAAAGGGTGTACTACCGGGGAATGGTACATCTTTATACATATACGAGGAAGAGGGAGAGAATATGGTGGGGAGTGGATAGTCCTTATGCGGAAGGGTGATCTCGGCAGGTAGACGCACCGCCAAATAGTTTGACACACGGACGACTAAGCCTGCTAGAAGGGTCAAGGATGCCGTGATTTGGGAAGGAGGAGCAGCTAAAACACATTAGAGATGACAGACAGTCCTGTATTACCTGACAAGGAAAAACATACTGTTGAGATCCCGCAGATCCAAGATGCGTATGCCGCCAATGTAGTACTCCATCTTGACCGAGCCGTCGCGCGACCTCCGTCTTCTCTGCTTCAGTCCGGCAACATCAGCAGCCTTTTTGCAGTGCCAGGCCCTGCCATAGACGTCTTCTTTGTGGCCTAGATCGTCTGCCGCTCGAACGGCCTTGATGACTTCTTTCACGGTGTCCAGCTCTTTCGACCTGCGTTTCTCGATATTATAAGTGGCTGACTCCAAGTCAGAGCGGCGCTGAGCGATGGCTGCCTTCCTAGCAGCGATTTCCCTCTTGCCTTCGTCTATCTGCTTCTGTAGGGACTCGCTACGCTCGGTAATGTAGCGGATGCGCTCTTCTATCTCTGCCGTTGCGGTACGACGTTGCTCGACAGCGGCCCTTTTGGAGCTCTCATGCGTGTCGACGAGCGTCTCTCCAAGTGAAACGGCCTGTCCGGCTTGATCATCGGCGCCGGTTGCCACGGCTTCGACATGATAGCCCAGCGTCTCCCTGTCCAGCAGAGTCGTTGCCTGGGCGATGCGAAAAGGGTAGAGGGCGGCGCGCGCACACGTTGGGCAGTTCAAGGGGACCTTGGGGTTGAGGCCTTTGCCACAGATATCGCACTCCATGTCGAGGGCGTGGAGGTGGGAGATGGCGGGCGCGTTGGGTTCAGGGCATGGGGCGCGTCGCAGTGCTCATGTTGAGTGCAGGTGCGATGCAGGCGGCCCATGGGAGCAGCAGGCGCGTCGGTAACTAGGGAAGTCGCGACGGTCAAAGAGCTGAGCTGCAGCCTTGTGACGCAAGGACGCCGCCAACCGGGGGGATCCCTGCCCGCACAACGGCCACACGCCCGCTCGCCCACGGTACTTCTACTAGGTACTTCTACTACTTCTACTACATGGACCACTTCCCCTCTCCCTCGGCGCGCAAGCGCTCTCACGGCGACATGGTCGCAGGTCACGATCGCTCAACCACCCCGACCGACAACAAGCCTGACCTCGATCCATCGGCCGCCCTTGAACCCTACGATTGGGAAGACGTCGCACAGCGATATCATGCCGACATTCAAGAGCTGCGCAGTAGAGAAGATGAGATCCTTGCTCACTATTCTGATCTTCTGGGAGTAATAATAGTCTGTTGACATAGTCATGTGGTTGTTGCTACTGACATCCATTGCCAATTCAGTTCTTCTCGCTCTGGGTCAACGCCTCTCGTACCCATGAGGTTGACAGGACCTTTAATCGGTAGGGCCTACCACTTCTATGCCTTATCTAAGCATCCTTTTACTTACCACACACATAGCCTTCGCACGCGTACCACACATGTCCAATACTCCGAAGAAGAACTAGAGGAGAAGAGACAACACTGTCCGTGCCCTTTCCAAGAACAGCAATGATCAAGACTAACCTAGTTGCAGACATAAGAGTGGTCAACGCTTTTGAGAGTGCGCTAAAGCTCCTCAATGCGTGATGAGTGATGTCTTACTTTTCGCCCAGCTACTTTAGAATTTCTTGAGGATCCCGCTTCCATGGCGTTTCGACGTTTGGCCCGCAACGAAGACGGCGCCTCGACCAACAACAGGGGCCACGTCACAACCTCACTGAACATCCCTCGTCGTCTTACGGGCATTGCATCAATGGCACTGCAAACGTCAAACACACGCGTGCAGGACAACTATCCATCATCCTTACCACACTACCACCCAAGTCGCTGTACCATTCTTTAATCTTTTCTGTGGCACAGTTACGGTGCCATGGAGATAGCGGAGTTTAGAGATGGTCACTGTGCTCTACACCCCACTCTCCGAGATGGGGGCTGATGATATCTATATACTGACAGGAATGTTTGCTATCACGCTTGCTTAATGCGTTCGGGGAATTTGCAATTGATGGATATGTACTATGCGGTTGTCTCAAGGGAGTGATTTGCAATCAGCTCAACAACCTCTATGAATACCCTGAAGGTTAAAGAATATATTCAAGGAATTGTAAACACGATATCTATACATTGTTGCTCATTGCTCACCAATATCCTCATTCCTATCAAGCACAGTAAGTATCTCGGGTTCCAGTTACCAGGTAGTTGCGAGGCGCAAGACTTACCAGTCACCTGGTCTCTCCTTGATAAACTTGGCCATCAGAGCCTCGCATTCGGCGCTCTTGACGTTGACGACCTCGATACCCTTGCGCTGAAGATGCTCCTCGCCGCCAAGGAAGGTGGTGTTCTCACCCAGGATGACGCGCTTGACCTTGTACAGGATGCAGGCTCCAGTGCACATGTCACAAGGAGAAAGAGTGGTGTACATGGTAGCGCCCTCGTAGGCCGAGGCCGGGAGCCGTCCGGCGTTCTCGAGGGCCGACATCTCAGCCTGCGAGGGATTACTAAGTGCAATCCAATATGGAGCAGGATGGTGGGCAGCTTACGTGAAGGGTGGCACTGCCCTTCTGGATCCTCAGATTATGGCCCCTCCCCAGGATCTTACCGTCAGCGGCAACCAGGCAGGCACCGACTGTGAGAGCAAGGATTATTAGAAACAATGAATGGGCGAGAGCAGGGGACCTAGGGCGTACTCGGGACACCGCCCTCGTCATAACCCTTCTTGGCCTCGTCGAGGGCAGCGATGAAACCGGCGTCACTCTGCGACATGGTGTTGGGATGGTTAGTACAGGCAGTCAATAGCGGCAGTCAGTAAAATATTTGTATTTTGGTCTACATGTCGGGCCTTTTTTGCTTTCGGGAGTCGAGGCCGGCGGGCACGTCTGGGGGCGGCGGCGTTGAGGCTGCGGCACTAGCCACGGCGTGGCGGTGTGGAAGGGTTTGGAATTCGGGAGAAGGAGTGGAAAGCTCTAGGCTGAACCCACGCCCAAAGGTCCAAACTCCAGGTCTTGAATTTTAGTCTGCAACCTGCTGCAGCTTCTCTCTCAGCCTCCTCCTCTCCGCTCTCCTTGCCTTTGTTGATAGAGTATGTACTTCTATCCTTTTTCCTTTTGCACCAACGCTATAGCCCGTCCAGCCTGGTCGCTCCCGCCGTCTGAAAAAAAAGTCCACTAGCTTACACTCTTCTCCTGCATATAGCCTTCTCTCTTCACCCGCCCGCCTTCACCTTGCGCCAGGCTCTGTGATTGAGATACCCAACCAACACCACCACCGCACAGCCCTCGACGCACCGTCGCAATGGTCAAGGAAACCAAGTACTACGAAATCCTCGGCGTCTCGCCCGACGCCAGCGAGGCGCAGCTCAAGTCCGCATACAAGAAGGGCGCGCTGAAGTGGCACCCTGGTATGTTGTTCCTCACCACTCATCCGCCTGGCAAACACGCGCATTCTCATCTCCCTCCTCGCAGACAAGAACGCACACAACCCTGATGCCGCCGAGAAGTTCAAGGACCTGTCGCACGCCTACGAAGTCCTGTCCGATTCCCAGAAACGCCAGCTCTATGACCAGTACGGTGAGGAGGGTCTAGAGGGCGGTGCCGGCGCCGGCGGCGGAATGGCTGCGGAAGACTTGTTCGCGCAGTTCTTCGGTGGTGGCGGCGGCGGATTCGGCAACATGTTCGGTGGTGGCATGAGGGAAACTGGCCCCAAGAAGGCCAGGACCATCTCGCACGTCCACAAGGTCTCACTCGAAGATATCTACCGCGGCAAGGTCTCGAAGCTCGCTCTGCAAAAGTCTGTCATCTGCGCCAAGTGCGAGGGCCGCGGAGGCAAGGAGGGCGCCGTCAAGAAGTGCGCTGGCTGTGATGGCCGTGGTATGAAGATGATGATGCGCCAGATGGGCCCCATGATCCAGCGCTTCCAGACCGTTTGCCCCGACTGCCAGGGCGAGGGTGAGATCATTCGCGACAAGGACCGCTGCAAGCAGTGCAACGGCAAGAAGACCGTCATTGAGAGGAAGGTTCTTCACGTCCACGTTGACAGGGGTGTCCGGAGCGGCACGAAGATTGAGTTCCGTGGCGAGGGTGACCAGCTTCCGGACGTCGAGCCCGGCGATGTTGTTTTCGAGATCGAGCAGAAGCCCCACCCGCGCTTCCAGAGGAAAGATGACGACCTGTTCTACCACGCCGAGATTGACCTGGTTACCGCTCTTGCTGGTGGCGTCCTTCACATCGAGCACCTGGACGAGCGGTGGTTGACCGTCGAGCTCATCCCTGGCGAGGTTATCAGCCCAGGTAAGCCTAAATCACGCGCTCTTTATTATTCATTTTTTGGCAATTTACTGACCCCCTGAACAGGCGACGTCAAGGTTGTTCGCGGCCAGGGTATGCCTTCCTACCGCCACCACGATTTCGGCAACCTCTACATCCAGTTCGATGTCAAGTTCCCCGAGAGGATCGCTGGCCCCGACGGTACCTCCATGCCCGATGAGGACAGGCAAGCTCTGGAGCGCATCCTTGGCCCCCGCAAGGTTGAGGCTCCCACTCCTCCGGCTGATGCCATGACCGAGGACTTCCAGCTCGACAACGTCGACCCGACTAGGGAACACGCCAGGTCACGTGGCGCCGCAATGGACGATGATGACGATGATATGCACCCTGGTGCCGAGCGCGTCCAGTGCGCTTCGCAGTAAGCGGTGGATTATTTTGCTTATGGGCTACGAATGAAACGAACGAGGGTCCGGACAGCATGACGAGAGTTTTAAGCATGATGAAGAAGGTGTCGGTTGAGTGAGGCGCAAAGCTACTTGATCGAGACGCGGAGCCATGAAGATTAACCAGGGCCTCGGAGTCGGAGTTCAGTAGAGGTCGGGTGACATCTTTGTTATTCTGCACGTTGCAATACACGAAGCTTTTTTTTACTTTCCTACCGTGCACGCCTTTTCCCGTCATGGCGGTAGTTAAGGCTCAGCGGGTAGGCTCTCTTGCATTGTTTCTTGTTCCTTACTGGCAGAACAACCAGGTAGACGGGGTGTTTTTTCTATTTGACTGGGTTTTGTTTTGGATCCGGTGCACAACGACACATTGTCCTGCTTCAAAAACTTTTTTGGGCAGCTTTCTTGTGTGCTTGCCCCTAACGTCGGCGTTCTGTAGTCTAAATGGAGTTCTTTCGGCACATTTCGTGATTGACTTTGTGTGAGAGTGAAGCTGCCTTTGAATGGATAGGTATGTCACTCTTGTTGTTTTGATAGTGGCGGGGCTGGCAGGTAGAGATGCAGGTCTTTTGGATTTGCGAATTACCTGAAGATGTCCAGCCATTAAATCATAAACAGAATTGCCGGCTGAGGGAGTCTTCCCAAATTAAGAAGCACACATATCGTCAACAATTCTCAGGTAAGGGGCTAACTAGACTACATAACAGGCCGCATAAGTCCATATAATTCAAGACATGCAGGCACTGAAGTGTTCCATCCTATCTAACTATCAAACACAAGAGCAATAATGAGCAATGACAGTTTCGTGTTCGTAAGTCCATGGATAAATCTTCGCTCAATCTACCGGCAGTAGTAAACGTGGGCCAGTCAAAATCTCCCCTCATGCGACCTATGAGCAAAATTGCTACAGAAAAGGAAGGTTACCTACCATTGACAAGGATGAGTCATGAAGAAAATAGGAAAGAGCCGGCGGCTCTTAAATAGTAGATATATATAACGAGGCTCTCGCTCATTTTCATTTCCATTTTCAATCATACCGACTCGCACCATCCAACCACAATGGCAAAGCTCCCGCCAGTCTACGAGTACACAGAGTCAACGGCGCTCCTGCAAAGCCTCCATCCTTTCCTGCCCTACTCGCTCCCACTCTACCGCCGCCTGCAATTCGGGCGGCGCAGCTCCCACGCGCACATCCTATCAACACTACCGCCCGAAGAGCCGCGACCAGCAGCAGCAGCAACAGAAAATGCAGAAGCCCTCTGCCTCGGCGTCGCCTTCGTCGACCGCTCCTGCCGCCCAGAGACAGAAGCCTGGTTCTTCCTCAGCCACGACGCGCCAGGGCACATCTCGCAGCGGCCCGCCGACTGCACCTGCACGACGCACCTGTTCGCGCTACTTGGGCACATCGGCGGCCTCGCCTTCCCTGCTCTCTCGGCCGAGGCTGAGGCCGATGCTCTCGCGGCCGTGAACGCGGCGGTGCCAGACAAGGCCGCCGCGCACCATGTGCACACGTCTGCGCCGGCCGCCGCCTACCTGACGTACATGAACGAACAGGCCTTCCTCAAAGCAGGCACGCTCCACAGCCGCAACGTCAGTGAACTGAGAGCCCGCGACTGCCTGAGGACAGACATGCCGGGCGTCGATTTCCCTTACGTGAAATACATCTTCTCCCGCGACTGTTCCACCGTGACAGACGTGTCCGGCACTGCAAACGTCGGCTCGTTGCCTGACAGCCTGCGCTGGGGAGCGTTACGAGAGGAGGACTTCGCCCTCGTGCGCAGCAGAACTGCCATTCCTAGGACGAACCGTACGCTCCGGTCTCTCCCATCAGCGGCCATATTTCCCGTCGAGCCAGCAACCGCGCCCATTGCGTGGGCATTCTTGGGCGTAGACGGCAGCCTGGTGTCGCTGCACGTGGAACCTGGGTACCGAGGCTGTGGGTTGGCTAAAACAGTGGCCAGAAAGCTGCTACGACAAGGAAATATGGCTTTTGGGGACGCACCGGTAGTAGATTTCCATGCAGACGTTGCCTTGGAAAACAAGGAAAGCCATAGTGTATGTAGGAGCTTAGGGGGAAAGCAACATTGGGAAGTGTATTGGGTGAGAATTGACCTCACCAGGATTCGCGAGAAGACAGAGAAGGGTGAGTACTAGGAAATTTTTATTGCAGTTTCGAAACGCATAGGGCTCAAAGAACATGTTCACTTAATTTAGCACCATAGCAACAAAATCTCGGATGTGATAGAATAACAAGTCATCGTTAATTTCTTCAAGCTGGGGCTTCGCTTCTCAAAGTTCCGGCCGGGATATCTTGCTGATAAACAACAATCGGGGCGCGGAGTCCGCATAATCTGTAGATGCTTAGGGTATGTCAGCTTTGAACAAAGCAAAGATTGCAAAGTAAAGTTGGTATAAGTGATAGGGCTCATTAAAAAATTAGAGTGTTTGTTGCATTTTTAATCCTCATTGAAGATCAGGGTTAAAAATTTTTAATCATTGGAAACGGGATGAAAGACCATAATAAAAAGGAGTTGAACTTACCACAGTAGAAAACACAAACTGACTTTCACAAGTTCAGTTCACGTTGCTGGGCATTGCGATTGCACGCCTCGAGGACCCAAAACTGTATTTAAGATCGCTATTTGAGTGAATGCCAGTTATCCACAGACATTCAAGGAAACAAGGATGCGGTCATCGTCCGTCAAGACCTTTGCTCACAAACGGTGAACAATTTAGTCGAACAGACCGAAGCCCATATCCTCGTCCTCCTCCTCTTCCTCCTCAGCAGGCTTGGCCTCCTCCTTGGGAGCCTCGGCAGCACCACCGGCGGCGGCGGCAGGGGCGGCGGAGGCGTACTTGTCGGGGTTCTGGATACGGTCCTTGAGCTCCTCGATGCCCTCCCAAGAGTAGTCGGTCTCGATGGCAACGGACAGAACCTTCTTGTAGTTGTTGACAATGGAGTGCATGACGGAAGGCAGGGTAGGGTAGTTGATGGCCAGCGACACGGAAGCAATGGTCGTAATGGCGCTGGAGAAAGCCTTCAGGAGCTGCTCCTCCTCAATGTCGAGGATCGAAGCATCGAAGGTCTGGCCCTGGTCGTAGATCTGGAAGATACCCATACCGTAGGTGAAGGGAGAGATGTTAAGCATGTTGAGCAGGGTAGCCTCGGAAGCACCGACCTAGCCACCTGTTAGTATAAAGACGTGGCAGAATAATACCGGAGTAACTTACCCTGGTGTTGGCCTCAACGAGCTTGAGGTCCGTGGTGATTTCAATGGTACCACGGGCAATCTTGGTAGGAACACCGAGAGCCTGGAAGAAAGAGGTCTTGCCGGGTTCCATACCAGTGTTACCGGCCGGGATCCACACATCGGCGGGAGCGACGGCACCAGCCCTGGCGGGAGCGGCAACACGGTTCGCAAGGATCTTCTCACGGATGTCCTTGAGGTCGCCGTTGGTGAAGACGAAACCGACGTTGCCCTTGACGTGGGGAAGGAGACGCTCGTACTCGGGGTTCTCAGCGATGAAGCCACGGATAGCACGGCGGACCATGGTGTTCTTGCCCATCAGGACAACACCCTCACCACGGAGGGAGATACGGATCTCGTGCATCTGCTGGGACGAGACACTGCCATCTGTTAGCATGCGCCTGGGGCCGCATCTTGAGCGTTTGGCCTACTTGTCGACGCCAACGATGAAGATGGACTTGTAGGTCTCGAGGAGGCTCTTGAGCTTATCGAAGTAAGCGGCCTTTTGAGTAGACTTGCCCCCCATAGCTTCGGTGAGGTATAGGATATTTCAGGCGAAGTCAATTGCGACGGGAAAAAAAAAAAGACGTGGGCGACTGAAGTCGTGTGTGGTGTTGAGTCTGCGCGCGAAACTCGAAATGATGTCGCGACTTGTGGGAGCGAAGCGAGGCGCTAGTGTACTTTTTCTGGCCGCCAAGACTTCCCACCAGCCTGAACACCCTACCTCACTGCAGTCATGCAGCACCCCTACCAGTGTCTCCAGGCGCTCGATCGCGTGGGATCGCAGACTGTTAGCATACTGCTGGCTGCGAGCGGTCACAACTTGTTTTCTTTCAACCTAGAAAACGGCAGCCTCTTAAATACATGGTCCGCCGAGACACCAAGTTCTGCTTCCGTACGTGTGGTCTGTATACATTGTCCAACGCAGCAGTCTGATTCCGTCGTAGGCAGCAGAAGACCCTGTACCTGAGGATGGCGAAGGGCCTCCAGGCAAAAAAAGAAAAATTGAAAACCAATCCGGGACCCCGCCCAGTTTTGTTAAACTCGTAAGCTCCGACGATGGTCGGTATGTTGTGGCAGTGACCGGGGAAGACAAATGCGTCCGCGTCTTCTCTGTCGAACCCAACGGCAAGATCCAGCAGCTTAGTGAAAGGTAAGGCGCACCAAACACGCGAGAAGCGGACATTGTTGAACAGTCTCAGATCCATGCCCAAGCGTCCTTGTGCGCTTGCCATCACCCCAGATGGTCAAACAATCGTGTGCGGAGATAAATTCGGCGATGTCTATGCACTGCCTCTCCACTACTCGCCAGAGGATGTTGCGCAAGTTTCGCCTCAAACGGTAACAACAGGACCAGAGAAGACTTTCGTTCCCTCGGCCACTAACCTAACTGTCCATACTGGTCGGAATCGCAAAGCTCTGGAAGCTCAGCTCAAGCTATCAAATCAAGCCAAAACCAAGGAGCCTCTCAAGTTCGCACACGAGATCCTCCTGGGCCATGTGTCTATGTTGACAGATCTTGTACTCGTCACTCTTGATCAAGAGAACCCAGAGCAGCCGGGTGGCTCTGTTGCAGGTCTCGTGAAGCCCCGCAGGTACATACTAACCTCTGACCGCGACGAGCACATCAGAATCTCGCGCGCCCAACCACAAACTCACATTATTGAGGGTTTTTGTCTTGGTCACCAAGAGTTTGTGAGCAAAATGTGTGTTCCAACGCAAGAAATACTTATATCTGGCGGTGGAGACGATCAACTGTTTGTTTGGAATTGGCTGGACAGGCGCTTGCTGAAGAAAATACCGATCCGCGATGCGCTTGCATCCGTACCTGACACCGGGAGCTTCTCGGGAGATGGCAAGCGCAGCGTCAGCATCGCCATTTCGGGGATCTGGGCACTGCCGAAAAGCGGTAAAAAGGTACGAATGGATGCGCGTTTGGCTGGCATGGCAGGCTAACGTTGATAGACTCGGATCGTGGTTGCATGCGAGGGCATCCCTGTGCTGCTCGACATGGATGTCGGGGAGCTGCAGAGTGCGGGGGATCAGGTCAAGGTTGAAGCAATTCCCATGGCGGGCAATGTGCTGGACGTGGCGGCAGTAGGGCCGTCGAGCATGGTGGTGTCGCTGGACAATGCACACGTCCCCGGATCCACCAGGGTGCAGCGCGAAGCGGCGGCAGAAGGTCAGCGGCTGGAGTTCTGGCGGCGTACGGCAGAGGGGCAGTGGAGGGCAGAGGCGGGGCAGCTCGAGGCGGCGAACGGGCAGGGCGGAGCGGAAGTGCGGGCATCGAGCCGCGACACGTTGTACGGCGTGTCGAACCTGCGCAAGCGCGGCGGCGGCGGCGGGAGCGAGGACTAGGGTCACGTGCCGGGCCTGGTCTGGGTCGGGCGCGGCTCGTAAGCAGAGGACCATTGCGCCAACTTAGAAATCAAACGCGTGTATGTAATGTGTCCGAGATAAATACCATCGGCCTCTTTCTGCCCGCCACTAACTTCTTCCCTTTCTCTCCCACTCGCTTTGCACCACCGCCAAACTGTTCGCCGCAGCCTTCCGCCGAGCCCCTCTCCGCTCCTCCCTCAGCGTCCCCATTGCAGCTGCTGCTTCTTTGCAACACCGCCAGTCAGCCACCGCGGGACTCCCCTCCATACGAACCATGCACTCCAAGCTCGTCAGTATGTCTTTCCCCTGCAAGCCCCTCCTCGCCACGCCGCCTGCTAACTCGCCCGTCAGTCATTGGGTGCGTTGTTCCCGCTCACTGTTCGTGAGCCTTGAAAATGCTAACTTGCACAGCTCCGGCCCCGCCGGCCACACCGCCGCCATTTACGCTGCCCGCGCAGACCTCAAGCCTGTTCTCTACGAGGGTTTCCTTGCTCTTGGCATTGCCGCCGGCGGTCAATTGACCACTACCGATGAGGTCGAAAACTACCCTGGCTTCAAGATGATCCAGGGCTCTACGCTCATGGTACGCCTGCAACTTCTCCTCAGCCAAGAGCCATTGTGCTGACGTATGATTTCTGCAGGACCAAATGCGCGCTCAGTCCGAATCCTGCGGAACCGAGATCATCTCTCAGACGGTCGCCAAAGTCGACCTGAAGTCTCGCCCTTTCAAGTACTGGCTTCACCCTATGGGCGACGATGAGAGTGTCGAGGATGAGGAGCACACCGCCGATGCCATTATCATCGCCACTGGCGCCAAAGCGCGGAGGATGGGTCTTACCGGCGAGGAGAAGTACTGGGGCTATGGTGTCAGCGCGTGCGCCGTCTGCGATGGCTCTCTTCCCATGTTCCGCAACCAGCCCCTTGTCGTTATTGGTGGTGGTGACTCGGCCGTCGAGGAGGCCATTTACCTGACGAAGAAGGCCTCGAAGGTCTACGTGCTCGTGCGTAGGGACCAGCTTCGCGCATCCAAGTCAAACGCGCGCAGGCTCGAGACGAACCCCAAGATTGAGATCAGGTACAACACCTCGGCCAAGGAAATCAAGGGCGAGGAGAAGAACGGTGGCCTCATGACGCATCTTCTTGTGAAGAACAACGCGAGCGGCAGCGAGGAGACTATCGAGGCCAAGGGTCTGTTCTATGCCATTGGCCACGACCCTGCGACCACCCTCTTCAAGGGCCAACTCAACATGGACGAGGACGGCTACCTCATCACCGAGCCCGGCCGGGGCCTCACTAGCGTCGAGGGTGTTTTTGCTGCTGGTGACGTCCAGGACAAGCGCTACAGGCAAGCCATCACGAGTGCTGGTAAGTCTTTTACTCATCTCTTGTTACAAATTTTTACTCATACATGGCTCCAGGCTCTGGTTGCGTTGCCGCGCTTGAGGCCGAGAAATTCCTCGCTGAGCAAGATACCGAGGTCGACAACAAGCTCGAAACCGAGAACCAGGCCGAGAAATCGCAGGCCAGCGGTGTCGTGCCAGAGTACCGCTCGAACCCCCAGTTGTAACTGGCTTGCGGTTAAAAGGATTTTACGCTAATTAATGTACGGGACCACATACTTTTGTGGTCACAGCCTCCCGCCCTCTTTTTAAAGAGCTAGCATCTGGAGCGCTTGTCACTATACGAACATGCCTAAATTCACACAAGTTTGATGATTAGACCGGCGGATATCATATCAGCAATCTGTTTCGGCGCGCCAAAAGAGAGGTTTTACGATTAGCGAAGTCTAAGGACTCATAGAGATACCGGCATCACTTGCGCGTTCTTGGATTGTTGCATTGCTAAGCGGCGGGAAAACATGATCGAGCTGGGCCAGAGGCAGCCCCAAGTGCTTTTTGATAGAGTTACGAAGACCTAGATACACCGGATTTCCCTGCGCATTAGACTTGTCTTATATTCCCCAAGTGTTTTCATAGTCAAGAGCTCCATAAAAATGATTTGACTTCAGGTGATCGTTCTTCCTGGGCGTCTTATTTAACCGCTATCATTCAAACTCTATTTGCAACAACGGTGTATCTCTTCGAAGTAGAACTTCAAATCATCCGGGTTCACGAACGGGGTAATGCCTACAGCGCTTGTTAGCCACGGCGTTTCTTTTAGATAAACACAAGACAAACTTACCATGACCCAGATTCGCAATCCAGCCCTGCTTTCCTCCACCAAAGCCCTTGACCATTCCTTCGACGACCGAAGTGATTGACTCTTTACTTCCGTACAAGATACCCGGATCGGCGTTGCCTTGAAGGACCTTTTTGTTTGCCTGTGCAATCTTGTAGGCCTCCGCAGGGTCATGAAGCCAGTCCAACCCAATGACGTTGTAATTGGTGGCGCACAAATCTTCCAGAGCATACCAGGCTCCCTTTGCGAAAACAGTCATAGGAACCACATCTTGCTTCAGCTCAGCCAAGCGCTTGGGCAGTCGATCGGCAATGAGCTTGAGGTACGGCAGAGAGAAGACCTTGAACGAGGAAGGCGACAGCTCTCCTGCCCAAGAATCAAAGACTTGAATCATCTGCGGTACCCGTTAGCGTGGTAACTTGAAGATACTCCGGGGCGCGGAGACGGTACCTGAGCACCGGCGATGACCTGCTGGGCCAGGTACTCGACGCACAGCTCGGCAATTTTCTGTAACAAAGCCTTGGTTGCCTCAGGATACTTGTAGATCCACGTCTTAACCTGAATAAACATCTTGCTCCCGCCACCCTCGACCATGTAGCTGAGCAAGGTCCAGGGCGCGCCGCAGAAGCCGAGCAATGGCACTCTGCCCTTTAGCTTCTGCCTCGTGAGGGTAATGGCCTTGTACACGTAGTCGAGCGACTGCTTGACGTCGACGTCGCGGGCCATGATGTCTTTGTACTGCTTGTCCTCGGGAGACTTGAGCGGCTCGGGGAAGTGCGGGCCCTTCTTGTCGACCATGACAACCTCCATGCCCATGGCCTGAGGGATGACGAGGATGTCGGAGAATATGATGGCAGCGTCAATGAGGCCAGCATAGCGCTCAATGGGCTGCAGGGTCAGGGTCGAGGCGATTTCGGGCGAGCGGCAGCAGGCGAAGAAGTCATTGTTGCCCTTGGCCTGGTGGTACTCTGGCAGGTAGCGGCCGGCTGGGACAGGGTCAGATGGGCACAAGCAAGCGGGGAGAGGGGGGAGAGGGGCGCGTTACCCTGGCGCATCACCCACATGGGCGCGCGCTCGACATTCTCGCCTGGATCGGCGCGGTCAGCAAAGGGGCGCTGCGAGCAGGAGGAAGCGTACCCCTGGCGGTGCGCAAGAGCAGGTCGTTCTGCAGCGGCTCGAACTGGGCCATGGTGGGTGGGTGTTGTGGATGAAGCGAGGATCCCCGACGTAGGAGGTGATTTGGGTATATAATTTTTTGGCGCACGCAACGACGACATCACCGTCGTCAACATCCCGATAATGGGCCTCGGGCCTGCTCTTCGCCATGCGCGCCGGTGCGCGGCTCAATGCCGCTTGCGGCCTCTGTCCATGGCGGCGCGCGCGCCCACACGCGTCTGCGCCAGGCCGCCGCGTGCCCTCGTGAGCGTGAGAGGCAAGAAGACGACGACGACGCTCAAGGGCGATGAGCTGCCCCAGGGTCCCATCGCCGCCGTACCACTGGACGAGCCCGACGAGCATGCTGGCCCCGTCTATCCCACCGTCCTGCAGCAGGTGCGCAACAACATGCGCAAGTTTGCCCATTGCGTCGTCATCACGCGCATTGGCAACTTCTACGAGCTCTATTTCGAGCACGCTGAAGAGTATGGGCCCCTCCTCAACATCAAAGTCTCCCGCAGAAGGACGGCCGCGGGGCCTGTCTACATGGTAGGTCTCGCCGTCTGTTTTCCGCCGCCGCTTCTCTCATACTCGCCAGGCCGGCTTTCCCTACTTCCAACTGGACCGCTTCCTCAAGATCCTGGTCCAAGATCTTAACAAGCACGTGGCTGTCAGCGACGAGATCCGCAACAATGCCTCGGAGAAGGTCAAGTCGGGTGGCCTGCTGTTTGATCGAAAGGTCACCCGTATCATCTCTGCCGGGACCCTGATAGACGAAAAGTTCATGGACCCTTGGGAAAACAATTACTGTCTCAGCATATACCACGAGCCCTTGACCGCTGATCCACGGCCTGGCCCCGATGACAGAGAGACAAAGGCCGCTCACCAATCTGCCAATGTTGGGCTCGCATGGTTGGATCTGTCTAGTGGTGAGTTCTTTACACAGAGCACAAGCCTAGCTGGCTTGTCCTCGGCCGTTGCACGTATCGGACCGCGTGAAATTGTTTTGGACAGCTTGATGCGGAATGCCAGTCCCTCTTCTCGCCTCATCGACATGCTCGAGGAAGAACATCATGTCATTACTTTCCAAGAGCCACAGGAACACAAGACGACACTGGATGATTGGGTGCCATTACTCACAACCGGTGCCCCTGACTTCAAAACGGCAATATTTCCCCAAGTCGAATCCACAGCCGCAGCTTCTCTTTTGCAGTACGTTCACACACAGCTTCAAGGTTCCGGGATCACGCTGCAACCGCCGGTTCGACGGCAGGCGAGTGAGTATATGAGCATCGATAGGAACACGCTGCGAGCATTGGAACTCCGAAGCACCTTGAGAGAGGGAAAATACGAGGGCAGCCTTCTTCATGCAATCAGACGGACGGTGACTAAGAGTGGGACGAGATTGTTGTCCGAAAGACTGGGTAAGGATGCCCAAAACGCCTATGTGACGATCCTACACTGACGACAGTTGAGTATCCCCTTCGATGTCGTTGGAAACCATCAATGGCCGCTTAGATCTCGTCACAAAGTTTCTAGAAGATGCGGCGCTTCGTCAAAACTTGGTTGCACTATTGCGCCGAACGTTCGACTCGCGCCGCCTTTTGCAGAAATTTTCTATGGGCAGAGGTGATGCAGATGATCTATTAGAACTGTCTAAAACAATTCAGTCTACCTTAGATATTGCGCGGCTTTTGAAGGACGAAGCATCCTCGGATCCGAAAACAACAGGGTCATCATTACTGCGCTTGTCGGATCGTCTGTCCTTGAAAGAGCCATCCCGATTGGCAACGCGCATATTAGAAGCTATTGACGAGGAGGGCCTTACCGAACAGCATCGTCTCGAAGATGACGAAGCAGCTGCAGTTACCGTTCTGGCAGTGGAAGTATTGAACGAAGAGGGCGAAGATGAACAATCTGCCGCTATCTCCAAAAGGGCCAAAGCTAAAGCAAACGGCAAGTCAGACTGCCAAAAGTCTAATGACACTAGCTGCTCGGACGTCTGGACAATGAGGCGAAGGTGAATGAGCTCCGCGTACCAACAAATCGCAGTGATCTAATGATAGCAGTGCGAGCACAACATTGAAAAGATTGCATAAAGCGTTGGATGAACTGGTGTCTCAGCGAGAAGACCTTGCTGCACGCCTTAGAGACGAGACAGGTAAGGAGTCCTTATAGATTCTGGGGGAGCAAGTGGATGAACAGTTCCCAGGATCTTCAACTTTAACATTGAGATGGACTCCCGGACTGGGACATATAGTTCATGTCAAGGGGAAGGGAGGCTCGGTAGCCGACTTGTCTTCTGTACGAAGTGTTGGTTCAAGCAGGTCCACTCGCTCGTACCACCTGCCAGAATGGACCCATTTGGGAAATCAAATGGAAGAGGCCAAGCTGCGCATCCGCGCTGAAGAACAGAGGGTTTTCGTCGAACTAAGAGCAAAGGTCATTCGTAACCTTGTCAGGCTTCGACGCAATGCGGCGATTTTGGATGAACTCGACGTCTCCTGCTCCTTTGCGACATTGGCTGAAGAGAAGGGCCTGATACGGCCAATCCTAGACAACAGGTATGTCGACAAGGACATTATGAGCCAGCCAGCGCTAATGCATCGCAGCACTGCACACAATATCGTTGGTGGCAGGCATCCAGTGGTAGAAAGCAGCCTATTAGAACAAGGCAGAAGCTTTACATCTAACAGTTGTAGTGTCGGGGGTGACAAGCGCATTCTCCTCATTACAGGGCAAGTGAGCCTTTGCTTGCATTTTGTGATATCTCGCTAATGGTTGTGCAGCCCCAACATGGCTGGTAAAAGCACATTCTTGCGACAGAACGCCTTGATTTCAATTCTGGCACAGACAGGCTCCTTCGTTCCGGCAGATTATGCAGAGATCGGTCTGGTGGACCAGATCTTCAGTCGTGTTAGTACTAAAACTCCAGTGACATGGGCAAATGCTAATACCTTTCCAAGGTCGGGTCTGCCGACAATCTCTATCAGGACCAATCTACGTTCATGGTAGAAATGCTGGAGACAGCTGACATTCTCAAGCAGGCTACGCCTCGCTCCTTTGTATGCAAGCCTGCTGAGCCTTGCTTTCGTCGAGGAATCACTGCTGACTAGGATTTGCTTGTAGGTGATCATGGATGAGGTCGGCCGGGGCACAACACCCGAAGACGGAATCGCCGTCGGCTATGCCTGTTTGCATCACCTTTACAATATCAACCAGTGCCGGACGCTCTTCTCAACACATTTCCATAAACTCGCTGATATGACTAGCGGGTTTGAGAAACTGGCGTGCTACTGCACGGACGTTGAAGAAGAGGATGATGGTTCTTTTACCTACGTGCACAGGCTGAGAAACGGCACCAACAGGAAATCGCATGCGTTGAAGGTCGCTCGAGTTGCTGGTATGTCCTCCATTTAGTTTGCCGGTGGAATGCAAGGTTGCAAGCTTGGATGGATTTTTTCACTGATTTGAGAACAGGACTCCCAGAAGAAGCCATCAAAACTGCGGCAGCAGCGCTTAAGGACTTGGAGCTCCAGTCACAAGTCAACACGGACTAAGCTCACTGGAAGCAATGCAGCCTCGTTTATCGTGCCGACACTTGTTGCTGTCTCTACTCATTGGAACACCCATGCCATTGCCTCCCGAGCCAATGGCCAGGTGCGTACAGCACAACCAAACTGTACCGATTCGCTACTCTAGTGGTTCTCGGGACCGGGCTGTTGTGCTATGTTACCTGCCTCAATTAAAATGCACTTGGAGCTAGATGACGCTATCTAGTCAAAAAGCGATGCATTAACGGTGAATGTAAAATTGCTAATGCATGTGGTTGACTGCACGGAGACCTGGGCACCATAAATATATTCATTGGCCGCTCTAGAGTTTTAACCCAAATCTTTTCTTCCGTTTTCATTTGGTCCCTCTTTTGTGCCAGCCAGAGACTCTTGCCTGCTCTATGTCAACACGAATGCCAGGGTTTGCCTTTTCCGGCGCGAATTCAGACCATCGTGCGGCCCGGCTACGATGTGCTATGGCTTGCAAGGAATACAATCAGCAGCCTGAGGATGCTTCGGGAGAGCAGCGATCGAGGCTGTGGCAGCGGTAGGTTACCAGCACCAAAACTCTGCTTCGGGGTCTTTCTTGTGCTGACAGCCTTGTTAGTATCGTCACCACTGGTTCACTTACTCCACCACCTGAGGTTTGCCCTCATGAATCTCTATCTGGCACACCGTTCGCGAAAGGTGCCCCCTACGCCAAACCGCCGCTCTATATCGACTATGGCACCAATCTCCACATTGGGTCTTCAACGTTCATCAACCGTAACTTCACTGTTTTGGACACTCCTGTGCTGCCAGTCAGTATAGGGGAACGCTGTCTGATTGGCCCCAACGTCTCGATTTATGCAGTTTCACACCCACTTGATTGGCAGGAAAGGAACGGTCCTTTGGGAGCACCGAGTCTAGCAAGTGAGGTGAGGATCGAGGATGATGTTTGGATCGGGGGCGGAGTAATCATCATGTAGGTGTTGGCGCAAATATGCTTTTCTTTTGCTGATATCCTTGACATTGCTCTAGGCCTGGCGTGAAGATCGGAAAAGGCTGCGTGATCGGCGCCGGAAGCGTAGTGACCAAGGTACATAAGACCTGTTCTGGCCTCTATCCAAGTGGGTGTAAGAGCTAATCTTTGCTGCAGGACGTGCCACCCGAGCATCTCGCATACGGCAATCCCGCCCATGTCATTCGCAGGGTTGCTGGCTCGGAGCCCAATGGCCAGACAGTACCTCTGCTTCCCGACCGCCATGTAGAGCATCACGATACGGGAACTCCACAGTACGGTCATCTGCGTTCGAACCTAAGACGTATAGCCCTCCCATTCGTCATGCTCGCTGCAGCCGCGCTTTCCTGGCTCTTTGTTTGTTCCAACAATGCAGCTTTCCGCACTGCAGCGTAACATCGACCGCAGGAAAAGGAGTCTCTTGTTTACTGACTGGATCCTGGATGACAGCTACAACTGGTTGATTCGCCAACTTATTGGGCTCCCTTGCGTAAGTGACAAAGCCCTTGTCCTGTGGTGCAGAGGCTGGCAGATGCGATGCATGGCTAGCAAGCTTCTGCGATCAGCGCTTCCATAATTAGCTGAATTCAGCAATAAGCCGACTAATGCATGACATCCATTGATGTGAGTGTACTATCCATGCCCATCCCTGCCATATGGCGGAACTTGATCTTGCTTCCGCTACCGCGCTGTGAGACGTGCCTCTGGTTTGCTGCAATGCGCAAGTGAGCAGAATTCGCTTTCATGCGATCAAGGAGAGTGGTGGCGGTTAAACCTTTAGTTATCAGCAACGCTCCAATCTACCGCTGTACTCGTAACACATCTTAGAACCCGCTCCCAGCTGCATTGCCTAGTGCTTCGAGAGCTGTTTTCCGTCCACTGTTGTACTTAACCTCACTAATCAAAATCAGGACATTTTCCTTCAACCCCTCTATAGGCAGCCTGGCTCGAGGAACAATCGACTCTTCGCTTTATCGAACGATTCCTGAACGATACCTATGGTGATATAACTCTTCAGACCCCAGTAGGATAAGTAGCCTGTTGTGCAGAGCGATGGTGTGGATGGGTGGAGTTAGACTGTACATGACAGCACCTGTGCGTGCATATGGAGAGCTGTCAAAGACTATGCAGGAGCATGCGAGAGGAATACGAGTCCTTAGCGGCTTGACCGTATCTGCCTTGCAATGCGGTAGTGTGAGGCCCTAGATACTTTACCTGCTTTTTTGTTTTATTTTATTCATTTTCTTTCCTTGCACGAAAGATCAAGGGCGTAGATAGAACATAAGATAAAAAAAAATTAAGCTATAACTTATATGAAACACAACACTATTATGCTCTTTTGAATTCTTGGTTAAAATTAGCAGAATAGCTAAAAATAAAACCATAATAAAAGTAAGAATTAGCTGAAAGAGAGATGGGTAAAGTTAATCGTAGTAGTAGCGAAAGCATACTCGAACTCTAGTAAATCTAAGTATTCCAACTCGTATGTATATATACTGTAGTCAACATCGACTTGTTTGAGGAACCTTACTTAAAGTGAAGGTAATTAAGTAACTTTACTACTTCTACTGTCTATCTGCCGTCGCTGTAAACAGGTGAGGGGAGTTGATTTGAAATATAATACACTTTTTATCTTTCCTTCTCGGAATTGCATAGAATTCTCTCGATACCGAAACCTTTCGGCTCCCAGATCGTAACTTTTGGCCTAACTATAAAATACAATAGGAACTCGAACTCAATGGGAATTGAAACAGGCAAGATCAGTTGCCCATAAACAGAAAACTCTGCTATACCCATCTTTGTTCAACATAAACGCCATGTCTTCCTGTGAGCTCGTAGTATATATCAAACACCTTGCTGCTGAACATAACATCTAACGTCTAACAACCGAGGTGCTGTAGTCGATACGCAGTTTGCGGCCGTAGACCTCCTTGTTCTCGAGCACCTCCTTCGCCTTGGTAGCGCTCGTCTCGTCAATGAAGTCGGCGTGCGCAAAACCCCTAGGGGCACCGGTTCTCCGGTCGATGGCGACTCTGACATCCAGCACATTTCTGATGTCACGGAAAAGGTCGTTCAAGTCCTTGTCAGACATCTCAAAGGACAAGTTGCCGATGAAGAGAGTCTTGCTAGGAGGGTTGCTCTTAAACGTCCTTTCGGCGGCGCCTTCACGACGCCTGTGGAACTGAACCGACATGCGACGGCCTTCAAAGACCCGTTGGTTCATGGTTTGCCGTGCGTTTTCAGCGGCCTCGGGCGACTCAAACTCAACATATCCGAAACTATTGGAAGGTCAGAAACGTCACATACATGCCTGCCGGATATACGGAAACATACCCTCTGCTGAGACCCGAGGGATCTCTCGCAACAGTTGTCTTAGCGATGGTTCCGAAGCGCTGGAACTCTTGCCTGAGGGAGTCCTCCTTGACCTCGTAAAAGAGGTTCCCGATGTAGAGAGTGGTGGAGGATTCCTCTGGGGAAGCGTTGGAGAAAGCATTGGAGGCGGATTGGGCAGCGGCCGACAGAGCGTTCTGGGTAGTTTCGGCAGCAGAAGACATAGCGGAGCCGACGGTGGATTGGTCCTGCGAGTCTGCGGAGGTGGGTTCCTGGGTTGAGCCATACTCGGCGCTAGTTTCCTGCTCGGACTGCGAAGGCGACTCGGTCACGGTCTCATCGGTTACCGTGGCCTCGCTAGGGCGGGCCTCGTCACTCGCGAACCTCTTCTGGATAGTCGAGGCAGACCATTGTTGGCGAGGGCGGACGACGGAGGGCGCAAAGGTGGCGAAGGTGCGAGGCCTGGTAACGAATGGCACGGGGGCGGAAGCCGCACGGAGGGCGGCGCGACGAAGAAGAAACCTGGAGATTGTCAATGGAATGCGTGGAACAGACTGGGAGGTGTTGGCTGACATGGTGGCGGTTAGGGATGGAGGATGTGACGAGTGAGAGAGCAACGGGCAACAAAAAGCTCAGAGTCGCGCAGTATATACGCCTCGACTTTTTTGCGCCAAGCCATTAGCGCGTTTGCGCGCCGCCACCGTCCGGGAGAGTCAGGGAATTGCATTGCCGTCAACGTGCGGAGAATGCTCTTTTCGGCTGGGGTTGCAGATGAATTGCCTTGTGAACTGCTCTTCCTCTTCCCTAACTAACTTCTGCTCAACCCTCCGTCCAAGGTGTGATGCTGTGCAGCTGTTCTCCACTGCGTCGCACAGGCGTGGGCAATCGGCCTCTGCCCTGGCACGCACCTGACTCCCTTCCCTTCTCCCCCATCCCCCGACAGAATGCGCCTCCCCTCCGAGCGTGAATCATGTCATCTCTTGATGCGTTGCGTGAGTAGAGAGAGAGAGAGAGAGAGAGAGAGGCGTCGGCCAGGGTCTTGGCTTCTCCGCAGAACACGGGCCCGGCATGACGCGAGCGCATTCAAACAGCCGAGGCCGTTGATTCCAGCGACGACCCGACCTACCCTACTCTCACTCCGCCTCCTCTACCGACCTTTCATCCCTCCGCACTGTACCTCACTTGGAGCCACGCGACCGTCCCGGCCTCGGACTCTTTCCACTCATGTCTTTTCTTGGAGGCGCTGAATGCTCCACCGCGGGCAACCCTCTCAGCCAGTTCACCAAGCATGCTCAAGATGACAAATCGCTGCAAAGGGACCGCTTGGTAGGGCGGGCGCCGGGAGGGCTTCAGGAAGGATTGAGGAATCAGGCGCTAGGTGTGGCCCAAGATCAAGTAGGTCCTACAGCTATGTTCTCTCGCAGAGGTTAACCCTGTGAGTTGTAGATGATGAACGAGTTCCTCCATGAGCCCTCACATGTCCCTCAGGCTGCTGGTCCTGCATCACCCTTTGCCATGGAGCACATGCGGCGCGAACTGGAGCAGGCGTCTCGGTTACAGCAAAGCGGTTCGCCCAGCTGGGCCGCGGAATTCGATCCAGGCATGGATATTGCACACGCGGAACCGTCTTTCAACCGCCCTCTTGCCGCCGGATTCAGTCCTGCCGAGTTCGCCAAGTTTCAGCAGATGGAAGCGAACGGACCAGTGAGAACGGCTAGTCCTGCCGGGACTCCCTCGGCTATGATGGGCTATCAAAGACCTATGGGGTTTGGTATGAGTAGTATGGGAATGGGAATGGGAATGATGAACAGGCCATATGCTACCGCTGGAATCTCGCAACCGATGGAAGCGGATGCCAAAGGCAAATCCCGCATGGTTGAGCTTGATGAGAAAGACTGGGAGGCTCAGTTCGCGCAACTCGAATCAACCCGTCAACACGACCCCGAAAGTTTGGATGCTGAGGCGAATTCAGCAATGGAGGCTGAATTGAACGATATTGACAGGTTAGTTCTCTCCGAGACAAACGAGTTTGGAGACTTTGAAAGCATCTGGCGGGGAATTCAGGCTGAGACTGCAAATGCCAGAGCGCTCGTCGAAGAGGAAAACATGGCTGCGGGCTTAAATATGGGCGACCTGGACCAGTGGGAAGGCTTTGACGGTCTGAACACACACTCCTTAAGAGATCCGCAGCTCGGCGATTATCTCTTCGAACAGACCAATCCGTTCAAAACCGTCCACGATCCTTTTGCAGAGGGAATGGAAATCCTCTCCAATGGCGGGAACTTGTCAGTTGCAGCCTTGGCCTTTGAGGCAGCAGTTCAAAAAGACCCCCAGCACGTGGATGCGTGGACTAAACTTGGTGCGGCACAAGCACAAAATGAAAAAGAATCGCCTGCCATCCGCGCCTTGGAGCAAGCCCTCAAACTCGATCCATCGAACCTTGAGGCCTTGATGGGCCTTGCTGTCTCGTACACTAACGAGGGCTATGATAGCACTGCATACCGAACTCTGGAGCGGTGGCTCGCCACAAAGTATCCGTCCCTCATAGGCCCCGATGAGCCTCTATCTTCGGCTGCCGATGTTGGTTTCACGGACAGGCATCTTTTGCACGAGAAGGTGACGAACCTTTTTATCCAAGCTGCTCAATTGTCACCTTCAGGGGAACAGATGGACCCCGATGTCCAAGTAGGCCTTGGAGTGCTATTCTACGGTGCGGAAGAATATGACAAGGCTGTCGACTGCTTTGGTGCTGCGCTTGCCAGCACGGAGCAAGGGACGAGCAATCAGCGCGACCAAGTGCATCTGTTATGGAACCGGCTAGGTGCTACACTTGCCAACTCTGGTCGTAGCGAAGAGGCGATTGACGCCTACGAGCGGGCATTAGCACTCCGCCCGAACTTCGTACGTGCACGATACAACCTCGGCGTTTCTTGCATCAACATTGGGTGTTTTGAGGAAGCGGCCCAGCACTTGCTGGGAGCACTGGCAATGCACAAAGTGGTGGAGGAAGAAGGGCGGGAAAAGGCCCGCGAAGTCGTGGGGGAGGGGGTCAGTGAAGGGGAGCTGGACAGGATGATCAGCCAGAACCAGTCGACGAACCTCTTCGACACGCTCAGGCGAGTCTTCAGTCAAATGAACAGGAGGGACTTGGGCGACATGGTAGGCCCGGGCATGGACATCGATCGCTTTCGGAGCGAGTTCGAGTTTTGAGGCTGCAATGAAGTCTCTGGAAGGATGAGCCAGTGCATGCACGGCGGCCCACATTCGGTGTTTGGACTAGAGCCTCAGTGCTGTAGCTAAAGGCAAACGTAAGCAAGGAGCGTCATCCGCCGTGCATATTTTGGCCAGCACGACCGTTTCATCGCCTCCTTGCAGCGCAAATGAGACGGTGATCGCGTCTTCACGGGCGCGTGCGCTTCCCACACGGTTGATTCCCCATCGCATCCCTGCCTTTAGTGGTCCCGGCACTCGACCGCCTGTTGTAATAGTAGGAGTAGCTATGCCCAAACGTTGTTGTCCGTATCGTCTGCTGCTGCGCGACTCTCTCTCCTGCAAGGCGTGAGCAGTCCCGACCACTTGGTCTCCATCGGCCCCAACAATGGCCCGCCGCGCGACCATTCAAATGCCCGCTCACGCCTCTCAGCCCGCGAGCCTTCCGCCGCCTCCAGTCCCCGCCCGCAAACGCAGCCAGACAAGACCGCTCACTCACGAGGGCTTCAGGCGCCTTGCGTGCGGCAGGTCGACTTCGCCGCCGCGCACCATGGCTCCTATAGCTCCTCCTCCCTTCCTGACCGACGCCCAGTTTGCCGCTTTGCCTGCTTCCGTCCAGTAAGTCGAGCCGGCATTCTGAGTCGTGGACACCAACCCGCTCCTGTCGACGTCAAGTCACGTGCTCTACACCTGCTAACCCCTTCTTTGCCAGACGTAAGTACTTCTCGCCGGCCGAACGACTGGAAATCGTTGAGCGCTCGGCGGCTTCGCTGTCTGACGTCAATCGGCGGCCTCGGACGGCCCAGTCGCCTGCATCCAGCACAAGGGACCCCAGGTCAAGGGCAGGCAGCCGAGGCAGGCGACGACTGCGGAAGAAGGATGCAGCGCATCCAGACCTCGGCATCTCGCGGGCGGAAGCCGAGTGGTTCTTATCGTTGCCAGACAAAATAATAAAAACATGCCTTAGCCGCGAGGAAGCTCACCTTCTTGCCCTGCGCTGCGAGGCCCTGCTCATCGACTCCGACGGCGTGTCGTCCAGGTTCGACGACTCAAATAACCTTGGGCCCATCCGCACGCCGGCGGGCAAGAGAAGTACATCCATCCAGGGGGACTCTGTTATAGACAGCCCTCAGCTTGCAGACGAGCAAACAGCAACAGAGGTGTCGGAGAGTGCACCTAAGATTGATCGTGAACATGTCAAGCAGCCCTCCTCGCGCCGCACGTTATCGCTTCCAGACAGTTTTTCGCGAGTGTCGACATCATCGGCTCCTCCTCTCCCGACCGCTATCCCCCCGTCATCGCAGGAGAGCAAACGACCCAGAGCGAACACGAACATTGCATTTCCACGCCATGACATCGAAGGAGCTGAATCGGAGACCAAATATTACCAGGATCCCGAAGCGCGGATGAAGCTCCGGCTATATCTCGCTTCTCCGCAAAAGTTCGACGAGGTTGTTGAGTACGGCTTCCCGTCGACTTCGCATGTTGAGAGGGCGCCAGAGCCCTCGCCATCTGAAGTTTATATTAGGCAGGCTAGTCGGGACGTACATACATTCCTTCGGGGGGATAACATGTCTTTTCTCGACAAGAGCGATAACGAGGAGCGTCCAGACGACGAGAGCAGCATTGGCGACGCCGATACGCCCATCACGCCCATGGACAGCGAGGAGATGTTCCACGATGCCACGGCACAAGCGCCGCTGCCGGATTCCAACAGAAGGATTCGCAACATGTACGCACAGGCCCTCTCCGGGAGCCGGGAGATGACGCTGCGCATGACGCTCACTCGACCGGACCTGCGCGCCGACGAGGATTGCCTATACGGATGGCAGGAGGGGGCGAAGGATGATCCGCTGGCGTTGGAGGAGCTTCCTCCCGAGTCGGACGATACGACGGGCATGCAGAGTCCCTTTGCTGTGCACGGCAACCGGGGAGGAGGGCTGGTGAGGAGGATCATGCACAAGGTCAAGGAGAAGAGCAAACAGTGACGAAACCACGACATTTTCTTTTGTTTCACATTTTTTTCTTTTTTTCTTTTGTTGTTGTTTGTTGTTTGCTGTAGCTATTTAGCGGGCGTTTTGCATTTGCATTTGCATGTAGCTATTATAACTAGCGGATGATGTTCGGAGGAGCCACATGGGGGCTGCTGACGGCGGGGCGAACTAGCGTCTCAGAGGGCGATCGCGGGCGATGCAGGGGCCTCTGCTCGGCTCATCCGGCCAATACCCTGACTCCTTTCCGTCGAGGCCTCTCCCGCCTTTGCGCGCGCCTCTTCACCTTTCACTTTCTCCCCGCGTCGTCGTCGTCCAAGTCGCCCACCATCAACAATGTTTGCACCGTCTTTCTGTCACTCTTTCTAAAATCTAGTCCGTAATCTTGGTCTGCCAGACCCAACCACTTTCCTTTTTGTCCTATATCATCCGATTCGTGCTGGTCGCGGGTCACCACGCTCTCTCTCTGTTACCTTAACACGTCGAGCCACACCGCGCTCATCCCCACACACCCGCAAAATGCTCGGCTTCCACCGTCGAATTCGCTCACTGATCCCGGTCAAGGACCTGGCAAAGTATGAAAAGCTCGCTGCCGTTGTTGGCGAAGAGGAGCAGCAGGACGTCGACTGCGAGTCAGTCGAGACCAACCATACCCAACTAACTTGGATATATGTCATCTTTCTAGCAGAGGCGTGCGTGTTCCACTCCCGGAATCTGCCCCCGCGCTGCTATACTGACGTGTCAATGCAGGATTATGGCCTCGAGTCTCCAGCCGCAGCTCAAGATGCTCATCTCCAACAACGACTTCTGTGGTAACCTTTCAACGTCGTACCTGCGGAGTATACTTGACTGCGCCTATGCTTTCGGTGGCACCGCAGGCATCTTTTGGGGCTACCTCGCCGACCGCATTGGGCGCAAGCCCGTTGCCATTGCAGGCTTGTTTGGCATGTCAGTATGCTGCCTGTCCATGGGTTTCGCCACGAACCTGATCGCCTGTGCCATATTTCGTTTCGCGGCAGGACTTGTCAGTTCTTCTGTCGTTGTCACTACCCTGATCATGCTAGGAGACATCAGCCTCAGCCTGGAAGAAAGGGCTAAAAATGTCGCACGTTTGCCTCTTGTCGCGGTGTGTGGCTCTATCGGGCCTTTGATGCAGAATCTGGTTGCTGGAAGCGTCAACGACTACGGCGCCATCTGGGAGAAGTATCCCACCTTGAGCAGTCAAATCGCGTGCGGGTCTCTGGTGCTGGCCATTGCCATTGCCGCCACTTGCGTGCTGCAGGAGGTGAGACTCTTCAAATGAAATTGTGATGCAGTTGCTGATGCATGTCCCAGACCCTCCCGAGTCTTGCTGCTGATTCGTCTGAGGTGGACTGCGAAAAGGCTGCTTTCCTCGGCCAAACCATCCAAGAAGAGTCCGTCGACTCACCCACAATCCGCATCGTGGACTTTATCCGTCCCGAGCCCATCTCTATGGTTCAGTTCCTCCAAGCCCCATCTCTTATTGTCCTTCTCTGTTCTTTTTCTCTTCTCTCTCTTCATGCCTCAACCTTTGATGTCATCCTCCCTCATCTGGGTCACAGCAGCACGGGTCATGGCGGAATGGGCCTTTCCTGCGACTATCTCGGTTGGATTGTACTCGCCGTTCGTGCTGTTGCCGGTGCAATCGTTTTACTGGCCGTGCCTCGAGCCGTCGGAGCCCTGGGTCTGCTCCGGCCTTTCCGTTGCTGCTCACTTGTCTTTCCGGCACTCTACGCCATTACTCCTCTCATGGCCTATATTGCCATGTGCTCTTCGGTGACGGCCCTCATTTCTGCCATGTCCATATTGGTCAAACATGCACTTAGCGGTGGAGCTCAGGTGTTAATGACACTGCTTATGCTCAACGCTGCGCCAGATGCCTTTTCTGCCGGCACTGTCATGGGCCTGATGCAGGCGGCGTCGCTGTTCAAGGCGCTGGCCGTAGCCGTCAGCGGTGCCAGCTTCTACCTCAGCAATGATTTTAGCGTCGCGACGACCAACTACGCGCTTTGGATCAGCCTGACGGTGTTCGGCGTAGTGGGTGCGGCGCTTGCGTGGTTTGTGAGGGAGCGGCCGAGCGTCGAGAGAGATTTCCCGGCCGACGTGCTCTGCTGGGAGACGTGTTTTGACGCGGAGGGCGAAGGGCAAGCCTGAGCGGGCGATTTCTATGTTTTTGGTTGTTATTGTTGTCATTTTGTTCAACAAATGCTCTCTCTCTCATATGTAGTTTGGATTGCGGAGTTAATGGATACGGTCCGTACAGCTTTGACTGTTTACAATGTTTCTCTCTCTATACAACGGCAGTGGTGTGAAAAGGGCTACGCAAGACGTACCGGGATATACTGATGAACGCCTTTTCACGGCTTAAGGTTACTAACTAGCTTGGAAGTTGTGACCAGTCTTGGATATTTTATAAGATCTTTTCTTGTGCTAGTGAAGGTGTAAATGACCACGCTAGGCCTAGCCTAATACCGATAAACGCCTCTTTAACGGCCGGTAGTTGCTGACCAGGTCAAACGTTGTAACCTGTAGTAGGTTGGACCCATTCGGCACTTATGACCTGAGCGCTAAGCCCGGAAGGGGCAGCTCCAAACACACCACAAGTCCTTGCTTGAATTGCATCGCGCGCCCAGGCAAGCGCGTCTCGGGTTTCAGCGTCATCTTCTTAAGGAGCCTTTGCCCGACTCCTACACACTACTACCTTCATCACCACCACCGCTCGCCGTCCTTCTCCGCGCCGCACTAGTCCCCACTTCGCGCGCATCCCTCCTCGCCCACCGCCGTCTGGCCCTGACGCCCGCATCATGGCCCTTAGCGCAAAGTACCAACAGTTCCTCGGTGCGCCCGCCGTTGAGTTGCTGTCGGCCCAGGCCTCCATCAACTACATCACTACGCTCACCACTGTCGCCAATCCTGCCGCCATCCTCAAGCATCTCACCGCCCAGGGCAAGCTGCTAACCAAGAAGAATGAGAGGATCCTCAATACCATTGAGGGCAGCGACAGCCTCTGTTTGGAGGTCGAAACCACATTGGAACTCGTCGCCGGCGGCGGCGCCTTCCTCCCAGGTCTCGATGACAACTTCATCTCCGACCGGACTGTTGTCTTCCCCATTGTGAGTGTTTCCCGGCATCCCGAGCTGGGAGCACTATCTAACGTATCGCGCACAGGTGCACGTAGTCCAGTTCGATGAGCAACAGAAAATTCGCACTATTCGACTTTATTGGGACCAGGCCTCTTTGCTCAAGCAGGTCGAGGTCATCGGCTCGCGCGCGCGCAACTGGCCTATCCGCGACGGCAAGGACCAAGTGCGCCTCATTACCTCCAGCACGTCTCTGGGTCAAACTTCATCCACCGCATCTGGTCGACAAGGCGCTCACGTGCGCGACGGAAGCGAGAACGATAACGTTAGCAGACCGCAGACCGGCAAGAGCTCTGTCAGTGCGACTGGCGACCCGCATGCGAGCCTCTCTCTCTTCCAACCCCGCGACGTCAACCAAGAAACCTCTGGTGCGCCAACGGCCGGCTTGGTTCCACGTGTGAAGCCGGCAAAGCCCCCCGCGCGTAATCTCACCGATATCGTCGGCGATGAGGATGAATTGCAGTCTACGCAGGGTGTGTATTCCTCCAAAAACGACATCCGACCCAAGGCTGGCGCTGGCAAGAACTATCATCCCATAAGGCTGTTTGATGAAGATGAATCCAACGCAAGGTCATCGCATTTATCCCCGGAACGGAAGAAAGCGGACCCCAAGAAGTACGAGCATTTTAAGTTCGACGAGCGTGAAGACGCGCCAACGCCAGATGCGGAAACTGCGCGCTCCAAGTCAAAGAAGCATACCTCACAGTGGGGCTTTGAGGACTTTGTTACTCCAGAGAAGATTCGGCCCAAGGTTCATGCCCAGAACGAGAGGCATTTCGGCTGGAGCGATGATGAGGTGAGTACTGCAATTTCCCTTTACTTATCCGGATGCCGATTGTTATTTTCTGCGGTATCCCTATACAAATGAGAGAGTATTGTGTGAATCTGACATTAGTCGCACGTGATTGGTGCGCGTTCTGAATCTCATTATTGACTCTTATTCCCAGGATCCTGAAACGTCACCTGTGAAGCGACCAGTCGTTCATCAACCTCGTGCAGATGCAGAGACACACTTCGAGATGAGGGATGATGGCACACCTGCTGCGGAACGGACTGCGCACATCAGCAGCAAAGGTGGAAAGCATAGTAAAGGACTTGGTCTGTACAAAGATCCCGTCCTCGGAAGCGAAAACGACGATGAGCATGAGGGCAATGACGGTCCACTCCACAACGTTACGAAGACTGTCAACAACGAAAGTCGCCAAAAGCATTTTGGCAGTAAATTTGAAATTTCCGATTCCAGTCCTGCGGCTTCTCGTATGGAGTCGACGTCCACGAAGGAAAACTTGGCGACAGGACCAGGCAAGGCGCGCGGCATCAACATTGCAGGAGACGGAATGGGTGGCCGCAAGGGCTCGTCACGCGCATGGCTCTTTGGAGATGATGATGATGACGATGCAGATGTTAAGGATACCCCCGTTGCTAGGCGGAAGCACGCAGATAAGGCGGAGAGCCAGCCTGCCAAGAAAGGTGGTTTCTGGGACTTTTGAGTTGTACACTCATTCAAATGAGCATCGACATTTGTTCGGGCAAATGGGTATGAACCTAGATCACGCTCCCAGATGCTCGCCGTGCGGAGACATTTCCACGACGGCCCTGAGCGCCCCGCGACAGCTTTCTTCCGGCCTTTTCAACCGACCTCGGGTTTGAACAACACAGCTCGGCACTGCATATGCTTCGGTGACGATTCGTTGCCGGTTAACCTCGGAGTTGGGTAATAGGACGAGCATGTACTCGTCAGATTCAAGTGGGCGTCGGAAGCCTTCTCACTGCGGTAGGGCAAGAAAGCTGTATGTTCAAGCTACGGCATGTATACAAATACATTTTCCTCCATGTGCTACTATTGGTGACGTGATTAATGCCCGCAAACGTGGCTCGTGAGTAGTGTGAGCAAACAAAGCAAATGTTACGAGCATAACAGCTCCGCACAGTTTGTAAGGTGGTGAATTTAGGCGCTTGCGTTGGGGGCATGGGGGGGCTGGGTCGGCTTGTCGGGGACCTTGACGTCCTCGAACTCGTCCTGGGCCACTGCCCGGATGGTGAAGGCGTCTGCGCCGGTATTGTCAGAAGCAGCGCGACAGGCGGAACGGGGCGACGACTTACAGACGCCAATGGCGAAGCCGAAGATGGCAGCGCCGGTGAAGATGTTCTTGACCAGGTAGGGCTGCCTCGCGCGGATCAGCGCGGGTGACTGGCGATAATGCTTGTCGTAGTAGGAGGAGCGCGGGATGCTGCAGCGGGCGTCAGTAGGCATGGAGGGCGGGGGAGAGAGGCGGGCATACGCCATGGCGGGCGAAGTTGGGCAGGGTGGAGAGATGTTCTTTGTGTCGCGCCGCGCTGCGCTGCGCTTCTCACGTCGCGTCGCTTACCTACCTACCTAACTGACGACTACTTTAACTTCTACACCGCGACACCATCACGACGTAGATAGCGCCCGCGACCATGGACTCGCCTGCAGACTTGGTCTCGCAGCTCAACCAGGCGCGCCAGGTCGTTCTCGACAATGCGGCCAACTACCCGGCCATTGTGCCCAGCATCCTGCCCATCATCGGCGAGAAAGCAGACGTCGAGCTGCGCAGATGGGGCGCCGATTTCCTGGCCGAGACGTTTGCGGCGCCCATGCTGCCGCCGGAGCCCAAGCAGCAGCTGAGCCTGCTGGTGCTAGACAAGCTGCGCGAATACCTGGAGATAGCGCACGAGGACGTGGGCGTGGTCAAGGGCGTGGTTCAGGCTGCCGCGAGCATCTATCCGCTGGTCTTCAGATACACGTAAGTTGTTGCTGCGTGAGAGCGTCCCTGACCGACTCACTCACGCCCAAATCCAGTATCAACAATCCGCACGATGCGCCGACATGGCAGAAGATGGCCGCCATCAAGTCCAACATCTTGCGCCGCATGGACTCGGCCCCCCCGGGCGTCCGCATCTGCTGTATCAAGTTTGTCCAGCGCGTTGTGCAGACGCAGACGCCGGGCCTCATTGCAGACCCACGGGTGCGCGCTCCCTCAAGTCCAAGTCCCCCGCCCGTCGCCCGTCTAACCGTCTTCCAGCGCCCTGAACACAATGAGATCTCGCTTGCTTTGGTGCCCAGAGACCACCCGTTGATACCCCCGCCCAATCTCGAAGCCGAGGCTTCGGGCCTGCTGGACAGGCTGCTCAGTATCCTGCAAGAGGAGCTCAGGTTAGCTGCGCCATCCTCCTCGAGCCTTCCCCCCTGTCTAACAGCATGCAGTGATGCCCTTCTCGTCACTGCTACCCTCAACAGCTTGGGTAGCCTCATTCGAACTCGTGCCTCCATTGCCAATAAGATTGTGTCCACCGTTCTCAACTTCAATCCGCTCAAGCTCGCCAATTCGCCCATGACGCCCAAGACCAAAGTTATGATGAAGTCAATGGAGCGTACGACGAGGGCGCTGCTCTTGAATGTTATCAAAAAGTATCTGCTCTCTTACTCCATACATGGCGAATGTCGCTCTGATATCTCTGCAGGAACCCCAATCATCCTCTAGCCCCAAGGATCCAACAGCACATCGAGAGGCTCCACCACATGCGGCTAGAAATCTTCGATGAAACGAATCGCAAAAGACCTGCACCTATCGAGCCTATCGATGGCCTGGACCAAGCCAAAAGGCAACGCCTTGGCGCGGACGTCTCAGGCGCACCCTCGCGTGCCCTCGGAGCGCCTCCGCTGGCCCCAGGACCAGTCAGTTATGCCCAGCTCTACACATTGACCCAAGATGAGGGTTCCAGAAACTTTGACGTGCAAGCTATTCCGATCGACCTGGTCGTTAGGATTCTCGTTCCTCTGCTCACCTCAATTGATAAGTCTCAATTGGACAGCGCCATCAATGTAAGTACCTTCCTAAAAACTCAGTCATGGCTTGGTACCCGCAAAATGTGCTGGAGAAACAGCTTGGATGTCAAAAGAAAAATTGCTGGTTCCTTACTAACAAGGACTCTCGAACAGGCTGTTAGATCACGATATTTATCACTGAGCAAGTCTCAACCAAGAGGTGCTCTTGATGCGGCAGCTGCTGCAACGCAGAGGCCTTCAGCAATTGACGAGGATGATGATTACGAGCCCGTGTTTCAACCAGCTGAAGATGCAGAGCAGATCCTGAACACATTAGATAGCGCGCCCCCCGAGGCTGTCGCTCTCGAACCTCTGCCAGGAATGGCTCTAGGCGCGTTCAGCCTCCCGCTCCCCCCGCCTCTGAGCGCGCAGGAGACGGCTGAGTGTAGCAAGGGGACCATCAACCGCGTCTTTGGTATTATGGCAGCCTTAGACGATCCCGCCCGTACCAAAGGCCCGAAGCATGGTTTCAACCGTTTGGCTGCGAGCAGTTATGATCGCGACGCATGGGTAACCGTCATTACACGCTTGGCTACGCGCGCTTCGGCAGGCTTAGAGGGCGGTCCGGTGAAAGCTGAGAACGGTGCCCTCTCGCAGGATCGCATCTTCTCCATCAGCAATGCAATCCGTGACGCGCTATACATGTACGTCCTCGAGGATTTCAGGCGCCGCATAGACGTTGCTATTTCCTGGTTGAACGAAGAATGGTACAACGATCGTCTGCAATCCGACGATGCGGAATCTGATCCAACTTTACATTACGAAAAGTGGGCTCTCAAAGTTCTTGAAGGCATTCTGCCGTACCTTGACGCTAAAGACAAAGTCCTCATCCGGTTCTTGTCCGAAATACCGGAGCTGCACTCGGGTATGCTAGATCGCGTCAAAGGCCTGGCACGAGATCCCGAAAGGATATCATTGGCGGTCAATGCCATGCAGTGAGTATCGTACCCTCGGTAGGTAACTTGGCAATAGCTGACGCTCGTGGTAGTTATCTTATCCTGATGCGGCCACCAGTGCGGGAAATTTGCATAGACGCTGTGGAAGATCTATGGAGGAATTGTACGTTACAGCCGAATATCAAGACTGCCGCTATCGCTAACAAACCTAGATGAGGGAACCAGAAGTATGGCTTCGAAGCTGCTTAACAAGTGGCGACCACACGTGTTACAAGAAGCTCCAAACGGTGCGCAAGCGAACCTAAAGCAGGAGTAAGGTATTGGCTTCGGGCATCCGTCGTGGCGCGGCACCTTTGCATGGTAAATGGAGTATGGAGCGATTCGGAAACACGGGTCTAGGTTTAGGTTATTGATATCGGTAAGCTTAGGATTAAGAAGGTAGTCCAGTATAAGAGAAGAATACTTGAAGAGCTAAGAATAAAGCCTGACTAGCATAAACGTACTTTATAAAAAAGTAGTAAATTAAATTAATTATTCTAATCTTTACTACATCACGATTTTTTTTAAAAAAAATATATATAAAAATTTAATACCTACTAATATAAATTAGAGTAATTTATTACTTAGATTTAGCTTAAATTCTTACTTTATTTTATTTTATAACTCTTAAAGCCCGCTCTAATCCGTCTAATTTATATTAGGAGAAACTAAGAAAAATTAAATAAAATTAAATAAACTTGTATTTAATTTAATTTACTACTCTACCCCTACGAAAATATAATAGTTATATTATAGATTTAGGTTGTTTAGAGTATAAAATAACTTATAGCTAGCTTTAATTATTAGACTTATCTAATTTTTATATAGTAGAGTTTTAAAAATTTCTTATACTATATATTCTTTTTTTTAAAAATATATTTTACTTTTTTTTAGAAATTTATTTCCCTTTTCTTTTTTTTTTTAAAAAAAAGACGAATATATATATATATTTAAAAAAGAAAAGCGAGATATATTCTTAAAAAAAAGTTAATATATACTCTTAAAAAAAAGTAAATATATTCTAAAAAAAAAAACTAAAATATACTCTTATTACATATTTTTTTTCTTAAAAATATACTTTTTAAGAATATATTTTCTAAAAAAAAGAGTTTCTAAGATATATAAAAATATTTTTAAGATATATAATTTCCTAAAAAAAAATTTCTAAGATGTATAATTTTCGGCTATTTACTAAGAAATATATTTTTATCGTATAATTTTTAAGATATGTATAATATTTCTAAGATGTATATAATATTTCTAAGATATATATAATATTTCTAAGATCTATAAATTAAAAAAAGTCTCTCTAAGATATATTATTTTTTGAGTATTTCGATATATTTCGATATATTATAATATATTATAAAAATACATATCTTAGAAATAAAATTAAAAAATATGTATATCTTAGAAATAAAATCGAAAAGAAATAAAATCGAAAAGATATGTATCTTAGAAATAAATTTTAAAAATATATATATCTTAGAAATTATTTTTCTTAGGAATATCTTTAATTTTTTATAAATATATTTTACTTTTTTCAAGAGTATATTTCGCTTTTCTTTTAAGAATATATTTCTCTTTTTTTTTAAGAGTATAAATCGCTTTTTTAAGAATATATTTTACTTTTTTTAAGAGTATATTTTGCTATTTCTAAGAATCTTTTTTGCTTTTTGAAGAATACATTTTTAAAAACAAATCTTTTCTTAAGAATTTATTTCGCTTTTTTTTTTAAAAAAAAAGAATATATTTTCTAGAAATATATTCATTAAAGACTATATTTTTTTACAATTTTTTTTAAAAGTATGTTTATTATTTATAGCAATATATAATTTTTTTCGAACTAATTTCTAAGATATACATATTTCTCGAATATATTTCTAAGATATATATATTTTCTTAAATATATTTCTGGGATACACGCTTTCTTTTACTAAATTTCTAAGACGTATATATTTTTAGTTTTTTCTAAGATACACATATTTTTAATTATATACTATAATATATTTGTTTATAAGCGAAATATATAAAAAAGTGTATATCTCAGAGAGACTTTTTCAATATATGTATCTCAGAAATATTATATGTTAGAAATTATGCGATAAAAAATGTGTATCTCAGTAAATAGCCATTTTTTTTTATAAAATTTCTAAGATACATATAGTATTTCCAAGATATATTAATAAATAAATCTTGGAGTTTTACGCTATATATCTATAGTATTTTATCACTACGAATATATATCTTAGAAATATATTTAAAAAAAAAGTACATATATCTTAGAAATCAAATTTGAAAATATATATATCTTAGGAATATTTTTTAAAAATTATATTCTTAATAAATCGAATATATTCTCAAAAAAAAATTCTTAAAAAAGTAAATATACTCCTAAAAATGTCATATATTCTTAAAAAAAAAAATAACTAAATAGAATAATATATATATATATATTCGTTTTTTTAAGAATACTTGTTTTATAAATATTCTTAATTTTTTATAAATATTTATTAGTTTTTTTTTACTTATGTTTAGGGGTTTATTCGCTTTTTAAAGATATATTTTGTGATAAGAATATATTCGATTTTTTAAAAGAGTATATTCGATTTTTAAAGAATATTTTTTTTCTAAAAAATATTTCTGAGGTATACAATTTTCGAAAATATTTCTAAGATACACACATATTTTCGAATTTAATTTCTGAAATATACATGTTTTTCAAATATGTTTCTAAGATACATATTTTTGGTAATAAAATACTATGTATATGGCGCAAAACTCTAAGATAAAGAATATATTTATCTTAGAAATACTATATGTAACTCGGAAATTTTGCGATATATATATATATATATATATATATATATATATATATATATATCGGTAAATAGCCGTAAAAAATATATCTTAGTAAATAGTCGTTTTATAATATATTATTATTTATAAAGTTTTTTTTAAAAAAATATATATCTTAGAGAGACTTTTGAGTATATATATATTAGTAAATATATATTTAAAATTTTTTAGATATACTAAAATTCTTTTATTATTAAATCTCTTTTACTAGATTATAGTAAATATAGTATAATTACTTAGAGTTACTATATTTTATTTTCTATAACTCTCCTTACTAGTTAATATAGGATAAAGCTAATTTTCTTACCTCTATAGTTAAAAACTCGCTTCTAACCGAGAATAGCTCTATAGTTAATTTTTTAAATAAAAATAGAAGAAAAGTTCCTAGTACTTATAATATTAGTAGGCGTCTAGCTCTAAGTTTTAGAATTCTAATTAAAATTAAGCTATAAAATTAATCGCGTAATTTTAAGTTTTAGAATATAAATTCTAATCAAACTAAATATATATATAAAGTTCTAAGTTTTAAATTCTATATAATTAAACTAGATAATAATACTATAATTCTAATTTTTAAAGTATACTTTAATTTTTTAATAAGTATATTTTACTTTTTTTTTAGAATGAATTTAAAAATTTTTATAGAATGGATTAGAAGTATATTTCGATTTTTATTTAAAGAATATATTTTTATAAAGATTATATTTAGTTTTTTTAAAGACTATATATTAAATTTTTTAAGAATATATCCTCTAATATATATTTTTAAGATAAATAAATATATAAACCTTAGAGTTTTTCGTAATGTATATAGTAATTTTTTTTTAAAAAAAAATATATATCTTAGAAATAAAATTATAAAAAATATATATCTTAGAACTTATTTTTTAGAAATATATTCTAAAAAAACGATATATGTTAGTAGAATGTACTCCTAAAAAAGTAAAAAAATACTCTTAAAAAAAAGTAAAATATATTCTTAGAAAAAGGAAAATATATTCTTAAAAAAAGAAAATATATTCTTAAAAAAGATTTCTAAAGAAGATCTAATTAGATTTAATTAGGTTTTTTTTTAAAAAAAAACTATAGATACTACTTAAAATATTTTAATTTTAAAATATTATTTCTTAGTTAATATCTAACTTATTTTAATACTATTTTAATAAGTTAGTATATGACTAAAAAGTAGATAGTAATATATATAACTAATTTTTTTAAAAAAAAAGTTAGTTAAAAAAAACCTTACTAATATTTTTTTTTAAAAAGAAAAAAGTATATAGTTTCTATAATATATTATTATACTTATAGTAATTATATATATATTTTTACTTATTTATTTTAAAAATAATTTATCTATCTTAGTAAATAGCTAAAGAATAATTATTAGTAGTTTAGCTCTAAAATACAATTAATTTTAAATTTCTTAAAACAAAATAGTTATAATTAAATATAGAAAAACTACTTTAAAGATAGATCTAATAGATAAAAAAGTTAATAAGTATATTTTAGATAACTTAAATATTCTATAAAAAATATATTTTTAAAAAAAGTTAAAAGCTATTTATAAAAGAATATACGTATCATATTATCTTTAAAATAAGCAAAAATAAAAAGTATATTCAAAGAATATTTTTCAAAAGTATTTTTTTTAAAAGTATTTTTTTTAAAAGTAAATATATCTTTTTTTTAATTTTTTTTTCGTTTTAGTATATTTTATATTCTTTATAATTATTTTTCTGTAAAATATATTATAAAGTTTTAATATATATTATATATATATTAGAAAAATAGAATATATTCTAAAAAAAAAAATTTTCAAAAAAAAGAAGAATAGAACTTAAAAAATAGCTATTTAATAAAATATACATATCTTAGAAATTTTCGCTATATAATTAGTAATTTATTATAAAAAAATAACTATTTACTAATATAAATATTTTTTTTCGTATACTTTTTAAAGTATATATAATAAATCTAACATTTAAGTATCGGGAAAGTATCTAAGATATATATATATATATTAAATATTTCTATATATTTCGATATATTATAATAGTATATATTATAAAAAATTCTAAGATATATATATATTTTTAATTTTTTTTCTACGATGTATATTTTTTATAGTATATTATAATATATTAATATATAAAGAAATAGTTAAAATATATTAATTTTAGAGAGACTTTTTAGATATATTTATCTTAAAAATAGTACAAATATCTTAGAAAATATTTAAAGAGTATATATCTTAGTAAATAGCCGTTTTTATTCTAAGAATATTTTTTACTTTTTTTTTTAAAAAAAAAAATCGCTTTTTAAAAAATATATTTCTTTTTTTGAGTCTACTTATATTCTACTCTTTCTAAAAATATATTCTTCTTTTTCTAAGGATATATTCTTTTTTTAAGAATATATTTCGCTATTTCCAAGAAATAATTTTCTTTTTTTTTAATAATATTTTCTAGCTTTTTTTTTGAAAAAATTTGTTCTTTATTTTTAAGAGAATAATTCACTTTTTTTATGAAATATTCCCTTTCTTAGTATATTTTGTATTTAAGTTTTTTTATTTTTTTTTTTTAAAAAAAAAGATAAAGATATTTTTCTAGAAAAAAGAACATATTTTCTAAAGAAAAAAGAACATATTTTCTAAAGAAAAAAAAAACAAAATATGTTCTTAAGAAAAATATAAATATACTTTTAAAAAATATTTTTTTATTTTTTTCTAAGATATTTATATTTTTAAAAACATTTTTTAGATTTAAAGTCTTTATTATACATACTATATATATAGCGAAAAGCTCTAAGACATATGTATCTTAATAAAAAGCTGGTATATAAATTTATTATCAGTAGATATCTATTATATATTATTAGTATTAATATTCAGCTATTTACTAAGATACGTAATTTTTTTCGTATAATTTCTAAGATATATATAATATTTCTAAAATAAAAAAAATATATTTTTAGAGTTTTACGCTATATATATAATATTTTATTACTAAAATTATATATTTTTAGAAATTAAATTTAAAAATATATATATTTTAGAAATATTTTTTAGAAAATATATTCTTTAATACATCGGATCTATTCTTAAAAGCAATATATTCTTAATAAATCGAATTTATTCTCAAAAATAATATATTCTTAATAAATTAAATATATTCTTAATATAAATAAATATATTCGTAAAAAAATATACATTAAGAGTATTTTTTAATTTTCTTTTAAATTTATTTAAGAATTTTTTTTTTAGAATTTATTAAGAGTATATTTTAAATTTTTTTTTTTTTAGAATATATTTGATTTTTTTTAAGAGTATGTTAACTTTTTGGAATACATTCGGTGTTCTTTAAGAGTATATTTATCTTTTTTTTTTTTACAATATTTATTTTTTAAAAACAATTACTGAGATACACATTATTTTTCGAAATAATTTCCGAGATATACATTTTTTTTTGATAAAATTTCTAAGATATATATATTTTCTCGAATTTATTTCTGAGATACATACTTTTTTTTTTTTTTTTTATAATATATTTATTTATAACCGAAATATATAAA